GAAGTACTTTCTCTAGAAAATCCCTAATATCTTACTAATACTAAAATACTTACTTATAGAATTATTATAGTTAGTTTATAATAATTCTTTTTTAAAAGCCGGCTTATTTAGTATATAGATAATATCCCGATATTTTAATAATCTAGATATATTAAGTTCCTAAGTTTTAATAGTTTTAATAGAAGTTCTTTTTAAAAATTATTTATATTACTAGTATTATATTAATAAATTAAGCCTTTAGTATTATAATAATAGTTTAAATAATATTTCTTTATCTTTCTTATATGGTATTTTAGATCTAGTTACTTATATAACTAGAATTTATAATATATATTATTTATAACTAATTATACTAGTAATAGGCTCAAGTAATAATATTTCTAGTATTACTTTATTACTAAAATAGATTTCTTCTTTAGAATTCCTTAATATTTTACTAATTAAGAAATACCTACCTATTTCTTTTTTCCTGGGCCTTAAATTATAATATTATAGAAATAATATAGTATTCTATTATTATTATTTATAAGGCTTTCTATTCTATATTCTATAACTTATTATAAAATATCTTTATTTATTCCTGCTATAAAGTCTAGCTTTCTTAATAATCTATTAGTAAAATTATTATATTCTAGCTAGTATTTTAAGATAAAGTTAAAAATAGCTAGCTTTTTTATTTATTTTATTTATTAACTATTTAGTTTTCTTTTAATTATAAAATATTTCAAGTTATTATAATTTATTTTAATAATAATAATATACCGGATATATATTAGATAATATTACTAAATATAAAATACTAAAATAATAGCTAAGAGTTTAGAATTATATATCTTATATCTATTCTTAATTATAGTTATTTTCTTTAAATAAAAGATAATAGAATATTATCTAGCTTTTGCTTTTTTACTAAAAAGCTAGGAAATTATACTTATAATTATAAATCCTAAAATATCTATTTTTATATAAATTTTTAAGGCTAGATTAAAATAATAAAGAATTAGTACTATTATAAATACAATTTATAGCTTTTTAAAAGCCTTATTTACCTTATTTATCTAGCTAAAATAATATTATAGGTTTTTATTAATTTTTAATAAATTAATTAATTCTTTTACTATTTTAAAGTATTTATAAATAAACTTCTAGTAAAAGTTAGTAAACTTTAGAAATACTTGAATTTCTCGAATATTATTTTTTAAGGCTAGCTATTTCCTAATAGCTATAATCTAGCTAGCTTCTATTTCTATACTATCTAGGCTAATTATAAATTCTAGGAACTTTATTCTTTCTATATTAAACTCGTATTTTACTAAGTTTATAAAAAGCTAGTATTATTATAATTACTTAAATATATATTAGATTACTATTATATATTATTCTAGATCTTCTAAATAAATTAAAATATTATCTAAATAGATTATATAAATAATATTTATAAGGCCTATTAGTATATAATTAATATATACCTGAAATATTATTAAAGTATTAGATAATTTAAAAAATATAATATAATATTTAAAATATTAATAATATATTCGGAATATTATTTTCTATTTATTATTTTCTTATATTTATAACTAATAATAAGTATTCTTTAAATCTAGCTTTATATATATTATTACGCTTCACCGCTTTACTGGTAAATTTAGCGTCACGTGATCGCGATAACGCATGCGGCTGGCTAGTATTTAGAATACCAAAGCTCCTATATATACGAGCTTCCCTCTTTAGTTTAGAATCCTCGGATTAAGAGCCACTCTACCTTGCTTTCCAAGCCCAGAGACCCGGTTTCGTGACATATATCTTTATTTTATAAAGTCTATCTATTATCTTATTAATAAGTAATAATAGTATTTAATTCTTAATAGTAATTCTATTTAGATTTCAATAATTAATATATAAATATAGGCTACCTTTTTTCTTTAGAATAAATATAATTAGAATACTAGTTAGGCTAGTAAAATAATAAATCTATTTTTTCTCTAAGCTAGTATTAAGATATTTCTAAAAAACTTTAAGCTTTCTTTCTAATAAAATATATATAAAACTATATAATAGTTAGAATCCTAATTCCAGATCTATATAATACTTTATTATATAGTAATTAAATAGTATACCTATAGCCTTTATAAAGAATATTCGGAAAAGATTCTAATATTTTTTAGGAAATATACTCGTCCTATTTATAATAATAATAGTAATTCTTTAGCTATTTATTATAGAATAGGTAATTAATAAAAAAACATATATTTTATATTTTATTACTTTAGTAAACTTTCTAATATTTAGAACTTTAATCTTCTATAATTAAATCTAGTATTTCTATATTATTTTTCTAAAGGAAATTAGGGAATTAATTTAGTAAAGCTATAGGAATCCAAGTATTATATTAATATAATTCAGATTAAAATTATATAATATAAAATATATATTAGCCTTTCTTTAGTTTTCTAGTATATTTTTAGTAATAATTTCAAGAATATAATTTTTATATAAATAAATTCTTTTTTTCTCTAGTAAGAATAAGGAAATTACTTTTAATATTAATAAAATACTTATACCTAAAGCTAATTTCTTCTTTATATAATTAGCCTTTATACTCGAGTTAATTAATACTTTAATTCTTTATTTATCTTTTCTTATTTTAATAATAACCTTAATTATTATTCTTATTTTAAAAGCCTTATTCTCTATAATATAAATAAATATAACTATTATAAAATATATTCGTTTCTTGGCTTTTTTAGTTCTGGGTACTTATATAATATAGCTAGACTTATTATAATTATAGTAAATTGGTTTTTTCTAATTTAAGTAAGTAATAGTATAATAATTCTTTTTTTAGTAAATAAAGTAAATTATATCCGGTTTTATAAATTCTAATACGGGTATTATATTAGATCCTATTATTATATCTTTATTACCTCGGTTTTATAAATCTTATAATAGAAATATACTTCTTTTCTATTTTCTTTTATTATTTTCTTTCTTTTTTCTTCTATTTTTTTTCTTTTATTATTTTATTAGCTTATTATTATATTTCTATTAAATAAACAGATTTAAATTATTCTTAACTTTTATAACTATAGAAATAAGCTTTTTTCTTTCTTATAAAGTATTTCTTTAATAATTAATCTTATTTTAAATCTCTTATCTTAAGCTATTAAATAAGTTATCTTACTCTTATAATAAACTCATATATTCCAAGTTATTTAATAGGCTATTTAAATAAGATATAAAGCTTTAAATATTCTAGCCTAGCTATTATTTAGTATCCTTAAACTTAGTAAGAATATTATTATTATAGTTCTTTGGATTTAAAATAGAATTCTTTATAAACTTAATAAAAGTCTCCTAATTTATAGTATTAATATCTACTAATTATTTCTTATACTTTTAGATATTTCTGGCTATATCTTTAAAATAGGAAATATAATATATAATCTTTATTATATTAGTAATTTAGATAATTCTATTATTTTTATATTATTTTAACTTTGCCTAATAAAAGAAGTTCTAGGCTTCTTTAATACTCTTTCCCTAGTAAGTAAATAGTTCTCGGGTTTTTAAAGCCCTCCGAATTAAGAGTACTACCGGGAATATAATAGGTTCTATACCGGATATTCGAATATTTTTAAAATAACGGATTTAAGCTTTTAGCTTCTCTAGATCTTCTTTCTATTATATCTCTGCTTCTAACTTAGTAATATAATAGCAAGCCACTACTAATTTCTCTGTTATTATTATTCTACTAGCTAGTTCTAGGGATATCTGAGTTCTATTTCCTTTTCCTAACTAGGTAGTATAAAGAGTATTTGGCTAGGTACTTCCCTGGATATCCGGTTAGGTTATCCCAGTAATAATAGAGATGCTTCTTCTGGTTAATACTCTAGCTATTAATAGTTTTGTCTATTAATAGCTTAACTACCTTATAATGAACTACTTCCCGAAGATTAGATTAATTAGAATATAAGGTATATAATAGCTGTGACGGCAGGAACAAAGCAATGGAACGATGCTCAAAGATCTATGATTCCAATGTCCTACAGAATCTAAAGCTAAGGAGAGAAGGAGTGAGGTGTGGCAGTGGATAAGTAGGTATGGCCAAAACCACTGAAACGCCGAGCTTTGGAAACGAGCTTGGTTTGAACCACAGCTTGGAACCTTAGCTGAAACCAACCCCTTAGCTGAAACCACGTTCGTATTAACCATGTGACACCAGCCGTCACAATAGCAGGGTAATATATAAGTAGTTAAGGTAAGTAAGCTATAGAGTAATACTTGTAAGTATAACTAATTCCAAGAATTAATTCTAATAAAAGACTAATTAATACCCCTTTCCAAAGCTAGGAGTGTCTCCCTATATATTCCCTAGTACTTAGCCAAGTCTGTAAAGCACTTTACTTAACTAGGAAACACGATCCCATGTGATCCGTACGATTCCGATCGCAAGCTTTACCCAAAATAGGAAACTAGATCCACGACATCTGACACCTGTCCATGCGCCATCACGTGTGCCTATTATACTTGAAACTATTTCACTTTTAATAAGGCTTTATATTTCTTAATAAAAAGCCTCCTAATTTAATTAATTAAGTATATGGAGAAATACTCGAATTTAGATAGTAAAGTTAAGTAGTACTATTTTAATTAATTAATTTAATGGATTTGAGTCGCAATTCTTGATTTCTAATTCCGATTTCGAGTTTTGTGGGTAGCTCGCTAATGGCCTCAGTAGCAGATCGTCGCATCTCTGGAATTTTTGCCGACACAGCCTTTCCTGAATGGGAAGCTGGGTATCAAAAATATCCGGCCGTGCGAAGCTTGTAGGGTTACCTTGTCGAAGCTAAACCCAATACAGCTCCACCGCAGAAAAGGTAGGGGGCAAGAAGGTTGCATTACTACGGAGACGGAGGGGCTGACTATATACACTGGTGCCTCAGGCTACATTACGACCGCCTTTCCCGGGGGTAACGATAAATTTCCGAAACCCCTTTCGTAGCTTCAACACGCCGCGACCTCCTTCCATAGCTAATTGCAAGGTTCAAGGATTGTCACGGTTTTGTCCTCGCAATATTTCAACTCCACGACTTCACGATTACTTGGCACGCTTTCACCTCGAGTCTTTAAAGCCTGACTATACTCAATTGACCGTTATTTGCACAATGACTTTCTCTGTCGATGACCCGCTCACATGGCGAGTCACGCTTGAGAATCCCATCCGCGAGGTAGACGGCATGGACTGGGAACGTTGTGCCTCTTTGCATAATCTGATTACTCAACTTGGCTGGACAGGCCCTGGCAACACAGAAACTGAAATGCCAAGGAGCACATGGTGGCAGGTAAACATCACGAATGAGTCACTTGAAGAAGAGTGGTCGAGACGCTTGTCACCATCTCTGAAGCTGTTCCTCCAAGCGGCCTACGAAACACCTCATGGCAATTTCTTCTACTATGTCAGTGGTCTGAACGGACCAAGTCGCCTCTATACTGGATTGCACGAACAAGGAGGCGCGATCTTGTCTTTGTACCAGATGACCAATCTGAATCTTAGTGGTCATCGAGACGGTTTGAAGTACTCGAAAAAAAATTCTAACTTGCAGACAAGGACTGACCTTCATCTAGCTTTAACCGAGAGACATCGAGGGCAATATTTTGCAGTGATATCTTGGACTCACTTGCCACAACCAATGGCCGTATGGAATGGGACCCTCTTGAAGTCGTCTTGAGTGCATGGCTGGGCATGATCGACACAGGCAAAGTCATCGCTAAAGCTGAAGGCACAGACACCAGAGGGCCGGTGGAATGTACACCCTGGGAGCTGGTTCCATACAGCGAGCATGACTTGGCGCATGCCGTCAGCTCTTTCAACAATCTTACCGCGAGGGTCGAATGCCTGATTGAAGACCCGTCACTGAGCCCACTGGAAAACCCTGATGATCAAAATAGATTGCTCGAGGCCTGCACAGCCAAGCTCAATCCGCCCGCATCAGCAGAAGAGCTTGGCCTAATACCTCGGGATGTGTTAGACAGTGCTGCCATCCCAGAAGGCTTCATTCGAGAGTTCCTGCTCCAAGTACGTCGGCCGAAAAATATCAAATATGTAGCTCCCGGTCTCCGTCTCCCTACCCCAGGCGACTTCATGCCCCACCCATTCCAAAATTTTCGACAACCGGATACAATGGAGTACGATGATCCGGTCCTTCCATTGCCTCTCTTTATCTCAGGAATCAAATCCTCAAAGCCGCTTTTTGGTTATCCTTTCCACGAAGCGTCCAACCTAAGCCACGGGCTCTGGATGGAGTACTGTAACAAAGCCGCTCATCACACGTTCGAGGATACATGTCGTCTGTATCTTCCATTCAATGTTGGTGCAAATGGATTTGCTCGCCTCACCGACGATTCGTTGATAGGTGAGAATCAGGAGGACCATGGTATCGCGTCGCCAAATGGTCGAGAGAATGAGCTCTATCAGCCGGGATATTGTCATTTTATTCCTTGGCATGGACCGCAGCTTGGGAACGTGCTGGAACTGTGGTCGAATCTGGTGGGGTTGGGGGAGTGGGAAATTGGTGAAGAGGGTGTCTTGGGTGGGATTGAGAAGTTCAGGGAGGCGGATACGGAGGAGCATTCACACAAATATCAGATCTTTGCTGAATGGTGAGCGAATACTGGATTATCGCGTAAAAATTGATGTCAAAGTCATTGTGTCACTTTCACTTGAGATTAACGTGATCGTTGGTTGAATGAGATGTATATACTTCGTCCCAATTCTTCAACAGAACTCCGTCAAGTTTCTGATTCATACATTACGATATAGAGACACAATATGCTTCACCAAGCCAGAGACTAGTGCAGTCACTTCCAATCGCCGGATTCCAAGCGTAGAACTCGGCAAAGGTGATCCCGAACTCTACTTCAATCGAAGCGCACGAATCACCTATAAAGTTAGTAAATGACCTGAATTAGACAGCAACACGTCCCTATTTCGACTTACCTGAAATAGTCAAATAATATTTAGTGCAAGAACTAGTAATACCAGTTTGTGTTGGTCCAGGAGGCGTCGGAGATGCCTTGGTTGTTGCAGATCCAGCTATTCCGACACAGTATGCTTCGCCGAGCCAGAGATTTGTGCAGTCACTGCCGACTGCTGGATTCCAGGAGTAGAAGGTAGCGAAAGATATGTCGTAAGCTGCTTCAATTGAAGCACAAGAATCGCCTATTACCGATTGTTAGAATTTTTCAGACGAAGATACCATTATGTGACTGACCAGATACGACAACATAATATTTATTACAGCTGGCGATGATTCCCGTTTGAGTTGGGGCTGGCGGTGTGACAGACGTAGTAGTCGTTCCAACGACGCTGGAACTTTGGCCACTTGAAGAGACGAGACTTCTCAGGCTACTGCTACTCGAACTAGATTCTGTATCGCAGGCCCCATCATAGCAGTTCCCGACACCACAATAGTCTGTTGAGTTACCGCAAAAACCAGAAGTAGAGCAGCAAACACCGAATTGCGTGCCTGTGCACGTTTTATTGCCGGCGAACAGCGGTCCGCATTCTCCGGTCGTGCTCTTGCCGCCAATATCTGTGTCACAGTTGCCAGAATAGCAGTTTCCTGCGCCACAGTAATCTGAACTTGACCCGCAAAAGCCGTAGATGGAGCAGCAGCTGAGTTTAGTCAGCGACGGAAATGTTACTTGATGTGCAAAGAGCAGAGAACATACTCGCCAAAAGCGGATCCGGTACAGGTGGTGTAGTTATAACTTGGTCCACATTCCCCGTTAGTGCTCACCCCAGTAGCGGTTGCATTGCAAGCTCCGCTAAAGCAGTTTCCGGCTCCACAGTATGCGTCCGTCGATCCGCAGGCTCCATAGATAGAACAACAAGAACCAAAATCCGATCCTGTACAAGTCGTGTAGTTGTAGCTTGGCCCACAGTATCCATTTGTTGTTATAGCAGGCACCGTCATCTTGGCCACGCACAACGCGTATCCTAACCACAGATTTGTGCAATCATCATTCAGGTAAGTGTTCCATGCTTGCAAGTCCGCGAATGTAATGCCGTACACTAAAGCGATCTGGTTGCATGTATCACCTGCGACAACGTTATAGTATAAACCGCAATTAGTAATCGAACCAGATTGAGTTGGCTCTGCAGGAGTGGCGGTGGTGTAGTATTCTCCAACTGATGTTGGTGCAACAACTATCCCTGTTGGGACGAATTTACCTCCTGGAGGGGAGGTACATATTCGCTGCCCAGCAACCAGATTGTCACAACTTCCCTGAATCTTTGGATTCCAAGTCAAGAAGGCCGCATTGGTTGTGTCAAGTTCCGCAGCAATCTCAGAACTACGAAGAGAGTCAGACAGGTGTGCGCATCAAGTGACATTTGTCACTTACCAGACACCGCCCCATATCACTTCGATCTCGCAAGGCGAAGGCACGCATATTGGCGCTGTGATTTCACAGGTATAGTCATTAGTGGCAGCTCGAAGATCGCCAGTCGTAACATTGTACATGTCAGAAAGTGGATTGCATCCGAGAGGAGGGCTAGAGACAGGGATAATTTGACCAGCACAGGTTGCTGTCGCCGCTGAGCTCGACGTTGTCGTGGCTCCAGAAGATGTCGTTGCAGTCGCTCCAACAGTAAGCCAAAGGGTCGCTGCGGATGTTGTGTAAGGCATTGTTGTGGAGCAGTTTCCTTGGAGGTCTTCAAATTGCTCAATGAGGTAGTCTGTGAATTCACTAGCTGCTAGATGGGGAGACAGAAGTCTCTGCTTCCACATGAGGAGGAAACATTCTGAACAATACTAGAGAAATTCAGCGCAAGGGCAGACAGGTGAGTAATCATGACCTACAAGGCTAGAATTGTACAAGTTTGTGACAGAAGACATGCTTGCACTAATATTAGCTGGTGTCCAACTTGGATCCGAGCATTCAACCGGCGGGTCATCACTGTAACACGTGTCTAGAATTTGTTAGGATGGTCATAAAACGAGATGTTAGTACTCACCGGCATTCCACGTGATGTAGTTACTTCCCTGCCACGACTCAGACTCCAGGTAGCACCAATTCTCGGAAGAATCTTGCAGACATGCCACATCATAGTTCTCGATGAAAACATATGGTACGAATCGAGGGTCTACAACAGTTTCCCCAAACGTCATGCTTTCTGAGCCACAGTTGGCCTCGACGGCGCTCAACCAGGTCGCCATCGATGCCGTGCACGCTGATGTGCATAAGGTTGTGATGTTATTCTGATACCAATCTATGAGAAACATGCGTGAGTGATGCCCGAAGCGAATATTACTTCTGTAAAGTTGGGTCACGAAAATATGACGTACAGGAATTATCTACACCTTGCGCTACCAGATTTGTTGTAGATGTATCGCAATTGAGGGTCGTATTTCTGGATACATATCAGCCTTTGTAGATACTCTATATCATGGACCCAAATCTCACACTGCAGCCATACACGCACTTGAGAGTCCGTATATAGACTCCAAGGTAGCGGGGTCGTAATACTGATACACACTGAAAGAAGCCATTGCTCTGGGAACTACCCAAGCGAGGAAGAGACATCTTGCAAACAACGACATTGCACCAGAGTTGACGATCGAACGTTGTAAGTCAGGCCCGAAAGGACAGAACAAAAATCACAAGAGGCCTTGAACTCAAGAGCAATGGGGAAACAAGATCCACAGACAACCCCTTGTTCATCCTCCATACTCAAACGAGCAGAGAGTGCGAAGCGACCATTCAGATGCACCGGGCACGGCATCCTAAAGCAGCGGCGTCATGAATAATATCTGAATGTAGACTTTCGCCATCGCGTCGGCCCGTCCGGAGTGTGGCCCAATTCGGGCCTCGTCCCTAAAAGGGGGCCGAAACCTTCACCACAACATCGTCTTAAGTTCTTAACCAAGTGGGAGAATCCCACCACAGCTTGAGGAGGGACAGCCGGAAAGTGCGGCCGGAAAAAACTAGCTGGTGCTCGCCCAGGGGCGCCCATGCTAGCGCCATCCGTTCGCTGCCACCAGCTGCGCCATCCGCTTAAATATCCGTTAAATATCCCGGGCGCTGTGGCAGCCCAACGTATGCCGAACATCAAAACTCCGACGCTTCCGGCGCATCCGGCGCATTTCAATTTATAGATCTTTTATAAAAGCAACATAAAAATTTATATAAGAACTAATAGAAAGGATATTTATTGGCCTATAATAGAACCTAAGTCTTATTATTACGTGCAGATTTATTTAATTTTGAGGTTGAAGAAAATCGTAAGCGAACGGCACAGCTGTGTCAGCGGAACGGTGATGACCGCTGTACCCGCATAGAAACAATGCAGCGCTTGCACCGCAAAAAACGACCATGCTCGTGCATGTTGCGGGCTGCACTATTGGCAACGGAACATGTGCAGCTGCTCTTTTCATCTCGTTTCACCTTCTCGGCCGCGTCACGTTTGCCTAGAAATGGGGGTGCTTCATCTCAAGCCGCCACCCCTCATCTCCGAGAATCGTAGTCTCGTGTGATCTTGATCGACAGTCTTGATTACCATGCAGATAACTTGTCTATGTTCCACCAATCTATCTTCGTTCTCATGCCACCGCCGGGATGAATGCCCGTGCGACGTCATTTTGGAATGGCTTACTTTCCAGACTCGCTATGAGGCTCGGATATTGAGCTTCATTGAGCTTGCTTCTCACCCCACTGGAGTTATAGCAGCATGCCAATTTTTGAATCGTGAAGGAACGACTTTCATATGGTCTGTCCTATCCAAACTTTTCGTCTGCATGAAGTTGCTGTTCAGCGCGACAAGATGAGTGCTTTCACGTCAAAGTTCTTGTTGCTGGTGCTAATTGCACTTGTGACTGCTAAGAATGTTTCGCTCTATCCCCCGCTGTACATGAAGCATTCAGATTCTACCCCTATTTTCGTTAATACCACAGGAAGGACGGTAAATCCTTTGATAATAGCCTTAGGTGGTGGTAACGATCAAAATCTGGCAAAGCGCCAAGCATCAACACTACCGACGGGGACATGGTGCGTTTTCTGAGAATACGCATTTTGAAGAGCGACGGATTGACATTACATAGCGCCCCTGGAACGCCATGTGTTAACGGTGCCTGCTGTGGAAGTAATGGCCTCTGTGGTTACTCACCTCTGGAATGCTCGAGCTCAACTTGTCTCTCGAATTGCAACGCTACAGCAGAATGCGGACAATACGCACCCTCAGCGACTTCGAGCTGTCCGCTCAACGTTTGCTGCTCTTACTTTGGGTTTTGCGGTACAACCGATGTAAGTTATCTGAAACTCAGCTCTTCTGTCCCGCTCTCCTGAAGCGCGTGAATTTCTCCCAAACAAAGTGGAGGTGACAGAGGACTTCTCAATTGATTGTGAAGGCTTTATAATTAAACAAGATACACAATCGACAAGAATCACACTGACAAAAGCAAGGACTTTTGCGACACCACAGGCACTACGCCTTGCCAAGAGGGCTACGGCTCTTGTGGCGCGGTCACCGAACCTTCATGCTCGGGAGCTAGCGTAAACGCACGAACAATTGGATACTATGAATCCTGGTAAAAGCAACCTGCATCTGATTTCTTCATGAACCACAACACTAAATGGTCACAGGTCAAGTACACGTGCTTGCGATAGCAGAAAGCCATCAGATCTTGATCTTACTGGACTTTCACATATTAATTTCGGTCTGCCTTTCGAGAATCTAATGAATTTCCGGGTAACAATATTGACAACTCGTAGCCTTCGCCTTTTTCAATCCCACAACGTTCGAGATGTCGCAGATGAGCCCAGGTGATGCGGCTTTGTACTCTGACTTCACAGCCGTCAAGTCGAACTATCCGTAAGTCCCGCCAGAGCCGAGACGCTATGCCCCAAGCACTATGAATCTGCTTCTTGCTGATAGCATAATCTAATTTTTACAGAGGTCTACAAACTTACGTCTCCGTCGGAGGATGGTCTTTCAACGTATGAACACCAAAACGATCACCTATATTGACATGATACTCACCCAAGTAGGACGAAGGAAATTCCCCAGATACGCGTACAGCTTTTAGTGATATGGTCAGCACTTCCTCGAACAGGGCAGCCTTCATCTCGTCTCTGAAGGCTTTCATGCAGACCTACGGTTTTGATGGCGTTGACATCGATTGGGAGGTATGTTGACACGGTCATTTGCGGCGTCAAAAGTGCTGACTTATCATGAAGTACCCCGCAGCAAGTGATCGTGGAGGTGTTGCCGCCGATACAGCCAATTTTGTCAGCTTGGTGAAAGAGCTGCGCAGCGAATTTGGCTCAAACAAGGGTGTAACGGCCACATTGCCCTCTTCTTTCTGGTATCTTCAAGGATTCGATGTCGCCTCGATGCAAAATTACGTGAATTGGTTCAATTTCATGAGTTACGATATTCATGGAACTTGGGATTCGACCTCGAAGTTCACAGGACCCTATATCAGACCGCACACTAATTGGACTGAAATTTCTCTGGGACTTGATCTGCTTTGGCGTGCCGGTGTTACACCAGACAAGGTCACCCTTGGCTTGGGGTGGTATGGAAGATCCTTTACTCTTTCGGATGAAACATGTGTTACGCCCAATGGAGTCTGCATGTTTTCAGCAGGAGGCGATCCTGGAGCATGTACGGCATCCGCTGGCACATTATCGAACGCTGGTAAGTGCCTAAACCACTCTGTCTCGGGAGTGGCCTGACAGAATTTTTATAAAGAAATCTTTGCAATCATAGATGAATACTCACTTGAACCGACGTATGATGATGCAGCAGCAGTCAACTGGGTCTTTTGGGGTGATTCGCAGTGGGTGAGTTACGATGATGGTAACAGCATGCAAGTCAAACTAGCGAGAGCGAATGCTCTGGTAGGTTTTCCGTGCCCGGCAGATTGATATCGGCGTACTGACATAACAAAGTGTCTTGGTGGCACTATGATATGGTCAATTGATCAGGACAATAGCAATGGCGACAGCATGGCGGATTTCCTTGGCATTGGTGCGACCAATGGAAACACGGCCGAAGAAGCAGCGGAACTGAAAGCCCAGTATGCTGTAGCTACCACAGCAACTGCTGTCCAGACCTCTTGTTATTGGTCATTTTGTGGGTAAGATATTCCAGCTGATAACGATTATCAACAAAGCTGACAGAGTGCAGGCAAGGCTGTGACGATGTGAGATCTTGGCACGTGTTAATAGCTGATTTGGACTTCACTAACAAGCACTAGGCCTACTATCCTGTCACCCAAGCCAAAGGAGAAGTAGCAAATAACGGCGTGGATGCTACTGTTAACACTGTATGCTCTGGCACGGACGTGCAATCTTTATGTTGTGCCCCTGGCACTACTCTTGGAAAGTGCCAGTGGGAAGGGTGGAACGGCGTTGGTATGCCCTGCTCAGCAGTTTGCGCCAATGATTCGGACATTGTAATTGCAGAAAATAGTAAGTTCACTTTGGACACATTTAATAATAAACCGAATACTAATTAATCCTAGCAAATCACTACTTCAAGTACCTCTCACCGCCATGCATGCAGCTCTAGAACAACGGCTAATGTTTGATGCAGTGACCCTGATACAAGTACAATAGAAGATCAGACGTGCAATGGAGGCTTTCAGGCTTACTGTTGCTCTGGCTTTGTAGCTTCCCCAACCGCCAATACTGGAAGCCTTGACCTTATCGATCAAACCACATCATCCAAGCGAAAGCGGAGTCTCGAAAAGCGCGGAATCAATACAGCTGTTGGGCGTGTCTGCTTGAGTGCAGCTGAGATTGCAGTCGAAGCAATTGCAGCAGCAGCAGCAGCTTTCTTTACCTTCGGTGCTTCTGAAATCGCCTTCGCAGCGGAGGTTGCTGCAAATGTCATTTGCTTGGCTTTAGCCGCAGCTGCGACGATCGAGGCTGCTGTGAGTCATTTTCTCTAACCTCTTTTGCAAGATGCTTCACTAGTGCGAGAATTCGATATACATGAAGTGACTTATGGTCTCTGGGAGATTGCTTCTTACGCTCCAATGACTCGTTTGGTAATGTACTGACTCGAATGTTTTTGGTTAGGCCGCCGCAGGTAGCGCAACAGTGGGCGCAGTTGCTATTGGCGTAGCTTCACATGCTATGGTCCTCCGTAACAAAAGGCCTGCGAGTGGGCCTCAGGGTGGACCAAATCCGAAGAATCCTAAGACCGGTAATACTGGAGGATCCAAGACCGCTTATGGGCAGTGGGTACTCTGATTCGGTCTTTAACGACTTCTGCTGATTGAATTACCGTTCAGATGGGCCATTGCAACGTATCCTAGCACGAGTGATGCGACATCATGCGACTGCAGCGTCACGTATACATGTGTCTATGGGTAAGTGAACTACTTCAATTCGTGAAATTGAGCACTAACACCCGTCCTAGAATGGTAGCTACTGCAGGTGGATGGGACGAGGTATGCGACAATCAAAGATGGGCCATAGACCACTTGCTGGGTGGTAAGTTAGAACTTTTAATAGGACTTGATCAACCCGAGAAGCTGACTTTGTCGTTCAGGAAATACTGTATATCATTACGGAGGCAAGTTAAACAGAAAAAAGAAAACAAGAAAAAACCTGTTTATATTGACTATTGAGCAGGTCGACTGGCCGATTCAAACTACATGAAAAGCCTATGGTCGCCCCAACACTCTGGTTGGCAAGCAGCCGCGCAGACTGCTATAGGTGGCGTTGCTAGGTGTCAGGTGTAAGGATCCAAGATTTTTTTCTTCCATGCATCCTGCTGACAAAAAATAGAGACGAATTCCCCATGGGTTCGCTTCTTGAAGGGAGACTCCCGAACTCACAGGCTTGTCGTTTGGTGAATGGCCCTGCCAACGGACGACAAGGAACAGATTTCGGACAGTTCCTCCTCGCTCAATACCAACCGTGTAGCTCATACAAGGCTAATAAATGTAGCTCAGCTAGTCCGGGTAAGTCCTAGCCCGTCTCCCTCTCACACTTTGCTGCGAAGTTCTCTGCCAGCTTCCTTGGAGATGCTAGAATAATGCAATCATCAAGAAGTAGCACAAAAGTTGTCATCATACCACAAGCTAACATAACCAAGTCGTGCCAATCACATGGGCTTTCTCCGGCATGGATGCGAATCGCCTCGCAGGCAGCAATGTCGCTCCCCACTTCGTCCAACGCTATGGTGTACGAATTCCCCTCTCCATCGCTCGTGAATGCATCTAACACCATAAAGTTTGACTCGCAAACAGCAGGCTCAGAGTGCTGGGGTACGTGAATAAACTTAATGCAACGATCGAGAAGAAACATGAACAACTGACCTGTGCTCAGCAACGGCATCATTCAATGACCCTAGCGGCAACCCAGTCGTCAGCACCGTCACCGACCACGGCTTCCGTGTCCTGAATAACGATCCGTAAACATCACGCTCACTCATAGAAATTCCAGTTACTAACATCCAAATAGTATCATCACCAGCGCAGCCTACGGCTGGCCACTCCAAAGCTATCGACCCTCACCCTTCGCTAATCAGCTTAATCAACCATCCAGTATAGCTAGTGCTCAATATCAGAAACGGCAAGAAGTACTTGCAAGCCTGAAAGGGGAGTATATCGGGTCTGAAATCGACTGCGATAAATGTGATGTGTTTGTTGATGAGTCGGGACGAGAGTTCTATCATCCTCATTGGCGGGGTAATAGATACAAGTCTACGCCTGCAGTTACTACGACGGCAGCTGTGGTACAGGGGACGAATGGTGCTACAAAGGCGGGAAGCACACCTGTGCACAAGGTCCCGAAGGAGACCGGCGTCGTGCGTGGCGATTGAGGTAGTAAGGCAGTGAGATAGAGAAGATATGATTTGAAACTCTTATATAAGATCTTATATAACTTAACAAACTAATTTAAGATATATGGCTTCTTTTTAATACATAATTTTGAGACCTTAATAAATATTAAATATCTTTTAATACTTTTCTTTTTAATATAATGTTTTATAAATAAATTAAACTTTAAATTATAAATAAAGAAAAAAAATTCGGTTAAAAATTACTAATATTTAAAGATTAATATAAAACTAATATTTTTTTTAAAAATTATATATATATATTTTATTATAAGTTTATAATACTTAATTTAAATAATTAATATCTCTTATATATAAAAATAATAATTTAGTAATAAAAACTTTATAATTAAAAATATATTTTAAGAAAAATAGAAACTTATTTATAAAGAAAGATTTTTTTTAAAAAAAAGTTTATATAATTAGATATATATAAATCTTTCTTAAAATCCTATTATAAACTATATATTTAAAGAATTATTCTTAATTATTTTATTATAAAAGTAAGAATTAGAAACTAAGGTTTTTTATTTAATATAATATAATATATATTATAATTAATTAAATTTTAAGCTATTACTATTACTTAAATATATATATATATATATATATATATAATTAAGTTCTATTATAGAACTTTATTTGTATTTTTCCTAATAATACTAGAGTTATAATCTTTAAAAATTAATTTTTTACTTTTTTTATATTTATTATAAATATAATACTTATTAAACATATATCTAATTTCTTTTATAAATCTATATAAAGAACTCTTAGGGGAATAGTTTACACGTTATTAGAGCTTATATTAATAGGGGTTTAATTTCTCGAAATAAAGAGATAACAAAAGAGTAAAGTATAGCGCTTGCAGGTCCCATGAGACAGTCTCTTATAGGCAGTCCAAGAGTAGTCGAGCGGGGGCCCAGAGGCTAAATAATTAAAAAAAGTAATATGATAATTAATTGTACCGTAGAGAAGTTAAAGGCCATGGATTGGGTTTACCCAATCATGTTATTAATAGAACGGAATTAGCACCTTCCAGCTGCAGTATCGCGTTCCATCCGATCAGCACCTGATACCGCGACTGCTCAGTAATCCAGGGGTAGTGCGGGGTAACTTTGCACCACGCCCAACGCGCCCTTAAACTCGCCACGTCCCCAACTATCTCTCTCCCTCTCCACCCATAAAAATGGCAACAGAATCCCACCAACCCCCAATCCTCCTCGTCATCGACCTGCAGCACGGGCTTGTAGAAGGCGATCCAGAATGGGGTCCCCGCTCAACTCCCAACCTCATCGAAAATGTCAAACACCTTCTCAAAACCTGGCGCTCTAAGAACTGGCCAATCCTCCACATCCAACACGATGCGTTCAATGAGCCCAAGAACCCCATTAACGCCGCATATCCTAAGACGTTTGCAATCCACAATAGCGCCGCGCCGGAAGGTGATGAGAAAGTTTTCGTCAAGCACACAGGTAGTGCGTTCTTTGCGAAAGGACTGCCGGAGGCGATTAATAGCTATGGACATAGGAAAACCGTGGTGATTGGCATGGATGGCTCGCAGTGTATTAATTCCACCGTGAGGCAGGGGGATGATTTGGGATATAAGATGTTTGTTGTTGTGGATGCGTGTGCTAGTTATGGGATGGAGGATTATGAGGGGAGGAATGTGGGGGCGGAGAATACACATAACGCGGCGATGTGGATGTTGGCGCCTTATGCCAAAATTACAACAACGGAGAAAGTATGGAAGGATTTAGGATACTAGCAAGTGACAACAGTAGAGTTAGGAAATTTAAGATTGGATCTGGTTCGCACGTATATTCTGCTACGGATGATGATCGACAAATGATCAAGAATGAAAGTTAGTGCTTTATGGAATCACTCATCAAGTAATATCGAAGTCTCGCAGCTTATTGCGTGTTATATTCTCGTCGTTGGAAAATTCGATTTTGTGGAGTGTGGACAGTCAGAGGTTAGACTCGGAGACTTGTCAGCCTCGGAATCCTTGCTCGGCGACTTATTCTCACTACTGCTGACTTCATCTTCAAGCTTGAAACCAGTCAAGGTATGATATAAACCAAGTCCGATGCAATTTGAATTCTATACTTTCTTCCAATATCATTTCACCACAAGGAATATCGATCATTATTTTTCGCTAACTCCTAGGAGCCCGAAAACTACCATGTCTTACAAACAACACCACATCTGGTACCTGGCTGCAGCATGGGGCCATTTAACTAGCGCCAACGCCCTCATCAACAGAATGCTACAACTCAACCCGTCTCTCCTCATAACCGTCATAACTCATGCCCTGATCCGTAAGTTCTTGCTCTCATCCGAATTCACCTTCTTATTGACCTTCACTACAGAGAACAAACTCGAGGCAGACTATGCCCTATACCCAGATCTCCACCGAGATCGCCTGCGTGTCCTTTTTGCAGGAGCCAAAGTGTAAGTTCCTCTCAGAAAACATGTCAGTGCCTCAAAAAATGCATCATTAATTCGACTTTTGGTTGCAGACCCGACCCTTCCAAAGGCAATCCGATGCTAGTCGCCATGCAAGAAACTCACTCTCTCTTCCTCTCCACTCTCACCGACCTCTGTTCCCCATCTTCTAGTCTTCCCTACCCAACTGCAATGGTGTTCGACGTTTACGGCACGAACCTCATCCTGCCACAAGCGAACAAAATCGCCGGACCAAATGTAAAGACACTCATGCATATCACGCAAGGCGCCTCGTCTATGTTTGGGTTCTTTGCGCCTTCTGCGAAGTGTGGTATCAGCGATTATGAGACAGCAGTTGAAAGAATATGCTCAGATGAGGAACTGAGGAAAGGGAGGGACAGGACGCAGATAGTTGAAGCTGTCAGTCCCCTACCATCGGAACTGCAATGGGTTTGCGACATTGGAAGAGTCAGTGCTAATGAGAGAAATAGGTTGTACTCGCGAAGAACGGCACAGATAAACTTAACGGAACCGTGATCCGCGTCCCAGGCGTCAAAGAAATTTTCGACTATGAGAGGGAAGGCTATAACGTTCCCATGCCGCCTGGTATATCCCCCATTCTCTTCTGAGTGATTCGTGTTTAGGGTTAAGCGTGCTAAATGAAGCAGGAATTCTGATCCAGATTGCGGAGATGATCAAATTGGCCGCTAACACGGACGGTACTATCCTCTCTTCCTCTTACGCCCTCGAAGGACCGGTCTTGGAAGCTTGGACAGAATTCAAGAAACCGTATCCGGTGGGTATCCAAGTCGCTCCTTTTGGGTGGAAGAAAGGCATCGTTATTAAAGACGATGAGATTCGAGGATTCTTAGATAAGAATGAGAAAAATTCAGTACTTTATATTAGTTTTGGGTATGTCGCCCCCCTCTCTCCCTTTTCATTCTTGATTCGGTGAAGACTGGGTATTGATGGAAAGCTTAGATCACACTTCTTCCCCATCACCACCCCAGGATACGTCACCGCCCTCCTCTCCACCCTCGAAAAACTCAAGTTCCCATTTATTTTTGTGCTTGGTGGACAAATGGCCAAAGACCATCTCCCTTCTGACACAATCTCTCGTATCAACCAATCCGGCGCCGGCCTAATCCACTGTGGCTGGGCCGATCAACGCGGGATCCTGCAGCATCCAAGTACGGGCTGGTTCCTCACACATGCGGGCTGGAACTCGATCTCTGAGTCTCTGGCCCAAGGTGTACCGTTAATTTGTTGGCCGATGAGCCATAGTGATCAGTTTATGAATGCGGCCTTGCTAAGCACGAGGGATGAACCGATTGCGTTTGAACTATTGCAGACTAGGATGGGTGAGGCGAGGGGCCCGCCGAGAAGGGGAGGTGGGGAGATTAAGGGAGAGATCGGGGAGGTGGAGAGGGAGATGGAGGATGTTTTGTCTAAGGCTAGGGGAACCGAAGGAGCAAAATTGAGAAAACATGCGGAAAGTATTGCGATTAAGTTGAGAGACGAGAGGGATGGAAGGGCGGATTGGGCTATTAGAGAGTTGGCAGCGGTTTAGATATGACGGAGAAATCGATACTTTCGTCATTGTCTATACCTTATGATTATTTCGTTTTATGATAGGTCTGGTTTGAATATTGAGATTTATGGCCTTGACATGCGACAGGAAATGAGGGGCTAGAGCAATTCAAAGAAACCAATAACAAGATGCTGAGTAATGAAAAGAATGGAGGAAACAGGAATTAAAACTAACCGAATATCTCTAAGTTTTTGTGACAGGACCACTTTCCTTCACTGATTATGGTTCATTTGCTGGGGTGTTTTAGGGGGGCCATGGAGCAGCTAACCTTCGTTCTTGGTCTCTTCCCTTCATAGCAAAGTTTTGGAAACTCAAAGTTCATTGACGTGGTGTCTCATTATGAATTTCTTCATTGAAATACGAAAAAAATCCCAAGAGTTTTGGGAAGTTATGAGACGACTGTCCTCACAGCTGGGTACTACTGCGCATCCCCGATCTAGGAATCCAAAACTGGTGGCTCGTCCTCGCTGATGATATACTCTTCCATAGACGTGACCGGAATCTTGATTTCAAGCTGTGCATTTTCAGCGCCATAACCATGCAAACTTGATCTCATGCAGCTAACTTGTTCAGGCACCGACACATCCGGATCTCGCCCAGTAGATACAAACTCCTCAACATAATCCTAAGTATCCTGCAATTCATCCTGCAAAGGTTTCAGAGCGCCTCTGAAGTACTCATCTACAGTAACCTGCTTAAACCCGCATTCACCCCAAGAATCTCTACTCACTGCTTCATCCATTTCGGCCAAGTCAATGTCTGCAACACCCCGAGGAGATCTTTTCCAGCAGGTAGATCAACGAGAGCTTTGACGAAGGAACCCGTATCTTGATACGTGACCACGAAAGGGGTTTAATGTGAGCAGATAGAGGATGCAGGGCGGGGAATCCTCCATCCTCTTGTTTCTGCAACGCCGTAGAGGGGAAGGCTTTCCAATTCGTGACGTAGTGTTCGATTTGCAGAGTACTCATCCTTGCGCGAGCTCCGAGAACCGAGTCTGAATCACGCGGATCATCTCTGCTTTGGAATTATAGTGATGGGCGGTAGCGTATTTGCTACCGCTCCACTTGCGGGCATCGCTCAAAAATGCGAACACGAAACGCTCAAAAGTCATTATAGCAGTTGGCGAGGCAGCGGCTTCTGCGACGTTGATTCCTTGCGAAATCACGGCCGAATGTATAGTAGTTTGGGGTACGGCCAGACAAGGAGTCTCCGGACGTCAATGCTTCATGCAAGCAGAAGACAAAATCGGTGTTAGAGAAGATAATGGTGGCGCCGTTCAAGGCCGCAAAGAGCGTAGCCTTGTCACCGAGGTTGCCTTTGACAGTCTTGACTCGTTTTTCGGATAAAGCTTAAGCGATTTCACTTGATGGGCTACATGTGATGCTCCTAACTTGCCATACTGTAAAGTCGAGGAATGTGTGGGCGATAGACGACCCATGATCTCTTTAGCACATGTCCATATGAACAGGGGTAGGACAGGAGTGCGCACCTGAATACCTGTGGCGCTGATGATTGCAATTCTCTTCGACATGATTGTCCTTGGTATTTCCAAGCTGGGTGGTAAAGGCTGTGGGACAGAATCGAGATGGCTAACATGCCAGAAAGCGTTCTGACTCTTATAAAGCAGTCCATCTCTACCCGGTAGGTGATTGCTGCGGAATCGGACAATTACTTGTGCGAAACTACTCAAAAGCAAATTGAATTTCTTTGATTTGTAAGTGATTAGACAGAAAGGCGACTTGCTCTCCTTTTGTTAGTGCTTTATCCACGCCAAAGTCGAGGGAAAGAGCTCTCTTGAGAAAGGGGCTGCTTACCTTCAGCCCCACTAGCACAAAAATCCTTGAAATCAGTCTAGCGTATTCATTCATTCAGAGGGAACACCCTCTTTTCCTCTTTTCCGGGAACTTGACCTCTCTTGGAGTTCTTGAGGTTCGGTGGTATTACGAAGATTACCCGGAAAGCTAATTCGAAGGTATGACTCCCACACAATGTGGAACACTCCCTCGGACCCTCCAGAATATGATGCGTCTTGTAGAACATCTGCAATATTGTGCATGGGAATGACGAACTCGTCGATTTAGCTGTGGAGAGTTCAGAACGATGATTTGTTCCTATCTCGAAGCCTCATGAAAGTCGGCGGTGAGGCTGGCAGTTATGTCGACCAATGAGCAGAGTGTGGCTTCAGCCCAGAGTTGGCAAAAGCACTGGATGACAGGTATCAATCCTGAGCGAGGTCTAGGATAAGTACCTCACATAGTAAATTTGTATGAGAGGTACTTTTGGAGATAAGGTAGTTTAAGCTAGCTTAAGCGAGCCTCACGGAAACTCTCTTACCCTTCTTACCTTAAATCGCCGTATTAAGATAAGAATAAATCGCAATCTCTTACGGGCCATATCTAGAGCAAGGCAGGATGAATTAGATTAATCGCGTAACTAAATTTCTTTAATATTTTATAGATAATTATAAAGTTATTCTCGATTAAGGTTTAAGGTAGGCTAGAAGTACCCTAGAATACCCTATAAGAATAGGCTACTTAGGATCGATACTAGGACCGATCCGGATCAATACGCGATACGAAGGGTATGGTGGATTTTTGCCAAGCCTGCTTCAGCCTGGCTATGCACCCTAGAAGATGTGTTGACTTCTGAGCCTCATCAACGACGACCATTCTTTTCTCAGAAAGACATCTTCTTATAGCTCCGCAGCACCAGACACTAGTATACTTGTGCATCATCTTGAAGTGAACATGGATCCTGTCACTGCACTTGGGCTGGCAGCCAGTATTGTCGCCGTCATTCAGCTGACTGGCGCGCTGATCAAGCCTGCCACCTCGTCGCTTGGACCGTCTGAAAATGATGAGAAAGAACTGAAGAGACTTCTATCGGCCATGGCCGGGTTTCAAACTGCGTATAACAATCTCGAGCTCTTCCTCAAAAGTAACCCTGGCACAGCGGAGGCTCTGGCAACGGCTATCGAACAGCCGCTCGAAACTTGTAAGGCTGTACTTGCTGAGCTGAGGCTTCGGCTGGCAGGAATGACATTTGTGAGAAAGCACATCATTGGCAAGAAATGGGACAAGAGTTTTAAACGGATGGTGAAGCGGCTGGAAGATGCAAGGCAGCTTTTCGATGTCATACTTCAAGGAGACCAATCGTAGGTCGAGTATGACCCGAAATATCACAAATATCTCTACTAATAATGTGCCACACAGAGAGAGGTTAATTAAGATCTCGCAATTTTTGGAGCAAAATTCCGAAGATATCGGAGCAATCAAAGACGGTCTCCAGGATGCCGGGGAACACCTCTCAGAGATCCATCTCACAGTACAGACTAATCAACAGCGTATGGAAGCGCAAGCAGCTCAGAACCAATCAGCGTTATACTTGATGATGGAAGATTATCAGGATAGGATTGAGAATCAGTTTTCGCGATTGGAAATAGAAGAACAAAGTAAGATTTTGCACAGCCTGGCAAGGATCGGCTGACCGGATTGATAGAGAAGCTGAAGTATAGAATCCTTCAATGGCTCACAGTCGCAGACCCCAGGTCGAATCATGACAGGGCATGCAAAAGTCACAAAACTGGAACAGGAGACTGGTTTACCAAAGGCCAACGCTACCGAACCTGGCTCGCTGAACCGAAATCTCTTTTCTGGCTGAACGGAAAAGCTGGCTGCGGCAAGACTGTTCTTAGCTCCACAATCATCGAAAGCACCTCTATTCATTGCGACGAAAATGAAGGCTGCGTAATGTCATACTTCTATTTCTCCTTCACGGACTCTGCAAAGCAACAATGCTCGAATATGTTATCTTCGCTCCTCGCTCAGCTCTCATCACAGGTCGATCTTACCCCCGATTGCCTAGTATCTCTGCACCGCACTTATCAACATACCACACCACCAACCGACGTTCTGAAAAGGATTCTTCAAAATCTGTTTGAGGAGATGCCATTCTTTCATGTGCATCTAATTATCGACGCATTAGACGAGATCCCGGGCACAGAGGGGCGTGAAGAAGCCTGCAAGTTGCTCGAAGAGCTTTCTCAAAGTCCGAAAGCCCATGTATTAGTGACCAGTCGTAGAGAGCATGACATTACCGAGTGTATGTCAGAATGCAACAGCGTCACGGACATCTCGATCCAGAACCCGGCAGTGGACTATGATATACAACTCTACGTCCGAGAACAATTAAAGGAGGACAAGAAACTCAAGAGGTGGTCTGCATTACACTCTGAGATTGAAGATATCTTAAGTAGAAAATCGGACGGAATGTAAGTTTCATTCTGGCCCAATAACCTTTTGATGCTGTGGGCACAATTCTGATCCTTTTCCACAGGTTTCGGTGGGCTGCTTGTCAACTTGAGGCTCTAAGGAAGTGCCCGAGTATAAAGAAGGTTCGAGAGGTACTAGGGAACCTTCCTAAAACGTTGGATGAGACCTATGAGCGCATCCTTCTGAGCGCCGATGAAGACTACCAAGACATCATCGCCGAAGCTCTGAGATGGTTATGCTTCTCAGAAGTAACACTGACCATCGCACAGCTCGCCGAAGCAGCCATTTTCAGCGCTACCGTGGAATCTCCGTCTGAAGAAGCTCCATTGGAGATCTCCTTCGATAACGATGCCTTCTTCCAGGACCCACTCGATATTCTGGGCTTATTATCTGGGTTGGTGGTCTGCCTGCCTCTTGCCAATACCGACGATTTTGATGAGTGGGATGATATGGACGACCTTGAAGAGTTAGGTGATACCGACGAGGCCGATAAATCGGATAGTGTCGTTGACTCCGACGATATGGAACACCAAGCTCCTGAGCCACTGGCTGAAATCGGTGTGAAATCAAAAATTCTACTCAGCCATTTCTCAGTAAAGGAATATTTAACCTCAGGTCGGTTGAGAAGTCAGGTGTGTCGTTTTTCTATGGACGAGGGTCGTGCATATGAAGTAATCGCAACGAATTGCATTTACTTTATATTATGCTTTCAGGAGTCGCCGGATGGTCCCGAGGCAAGTTCTAGCAATCACTTCATCGACCTCACACATTCGAGACCTTTCTTCGTTTACGCCTGCCGCCATTGGGATAATCTCGCAAGAAAGGTGGACTATGAATCAAAACTTACTGACTTGATTATTTCAATCCTCAAAGCGGAGTTAAGATTAAGAAAATTCTTCCTCGCAAAAGCGGTACCCGATGACCTGAAATCTCCAGATATCCCACCACTCTATTTCGCAGCTGCCTTGCAACTTTATTGGCCATGTAAAAAGTTGACTCAGAACGGAGTCGATGGCAATGGGCAAGAGGGGTATTGGGGACATGCTATTCAGGCGGCTTCAACGTTTGGCGCTAAAAACCTAGTTCAACTGTTACTCTACCATGGAGCAGATGCCAATATACGAGGGGGACATTATGAAACTGCTCTCAATGGCGCTTTATCAAGTCGCAATGAAAATATCGTTCGACTTTTGCTTGAATACGGAGCAAATATTAACCTGGAGACAGAGTACTACGGAACTGCTCTTCAGGCGGCTTCAACGTTTGGCGCTAAAAACCTAGTTCAACTTTTACTCTACCTTGGAGCAGATGTCAATGCACGAGGGGGAAGGTATGGAACTGCCCTTCAAGCCGCCATATATCAATACGAATCTGGCATCGTTACTGAGGCCATTAGCGGGCTAGCGGACAAATCCGAGAAGCGAAAAGTGATTTTCTGATTTTCTGATTTTCGTACCCACCACACCTTACTAAAAAATTTTTTGATTTTTGACACCCCCCCCCCCCCCCCCCCCATACCTCACTAAAAAAAAAAAGTACAGTATATACGCCTTATTCTCGACTACTCCTAACCCCCCCTTAGCTTGCGTAGTCCGTAAGGCAAATCCCATGGATTACGAGGCACATCTCTATCTCCCTTACTCTCTGTATCCTCCGTACTACCTATATTACTCGAATTATCTATATCTCCTTTGTTCCCTTCTCCTCTAGTATCCTTACCCTCCTCTACTATATCTGTCTTTGTACTCGCTTTCTATATCTTATAGGCAGTCAAGGCTTTAGTATAAAGGGTTTTATAGATACGGAGCGAGGCTTTCTAGACTTGGTAGGATTAGTATTAAGTTAATAGAAAGTACAGACTTTACTATTATTATTATATTTATAATTTGTATAAGTACTATTAAATTCGCCTTCTATAACTATATAGTATTTGAAAGGGCCCCTTAGTCTCTTCTTATTATTATAAGTAATATAAGCTTAAGAGAATTCGGTTTCGCAAGTATATACTAAGCTTGTCTCTAGATTTGCCTTGCCTTTCTCTAATCCCTTTAGCTTCCTGCCCTAGTATAGTTCTATCTCTCTAACTTTAGCCTTATTATTAATTCGCTTTACTACTTTAGTAATATTATCGGATAGTATAAGAAGATTAAAGTATTATTACGGAGAAGAAGAAGAAGATTATATATAAGGAGGAGGTTAAGAAGCAGAGGGATTTATTAGTTAAATATATTAATAGGAGAGGATATTATAAACTAAGTCTAAATTATTAGAAGGTATATTATAAATATTATCTTTTTGCTTATTTATAGCTTTATTATCTTTTCTATTACTTTTGCCTTTACTAAAGTCATTACCTAAAGCTATATTTAATATATCTTTAATAAAGAAAAGCTTTAATAATAATATTATATATTAGAATTAAAGTTATTTTCGGAAAAAGATTAAGGTTAAGATTAAGGCTAAGGTTAAAGCTAGTATAGCTATATCTTTATTATTTATCTTTAGAATATAAAGATATATATTTAATATAATTATTTAAATCCAAATAAATTTATAATAAATAATACCTAAAAATAGAAATATTAGTATTTAATAGCCCTAGATTAAGTATATTTAAATATTAAAAAAATTATAATTTTAGGTATTATAGTTATAAAAATAAAAATAAAAATATTCTTTCTTTTACTAACTCGTAAAAACTAAGGTATACTAATAATAATTAAATTATATTTAACTTATATAGTTAGCTAATTTATTTTACTAATTATAAATAATTCGAGGTAATTTAAATCTCCTTAAATCTCTATATATAACTTATTATATAAATTTCTATATCTCTATATTTAGTAATACTATAATTATAATTTTTGAATAAGAAGAATTTCCTTATTCTAATATATATAATTATATTTATTTCTTATTTTTTAAATATATAATTATTAAATTAGAGAAGCTTAAGAATTCTAAATAATACTTTCTCCTAAGAAGTATATATCCTTAATAAATAATAAAAGTAAATATGGAATTATATAATAATATAACTACCTTATACTAGTAACTTTATTTTCTATAAAACTATAACTTTATTCCATTTTTGCTCTAAAACCTCTATTCTTCTTCTATATTTTTTCGACTTTACTATTAATACTAAGAGCTTCTATTTTCTACTAATATCTTTTCTATTAATATCTTTATTAATATCTTTATTAATATCTCTATTAATACTAAGAGCTAGTATCTAACTATCTTATAATCTTTCTCTTTTCCTCTAAACCCCTTTTTACTTCTTTTCCGAATTCCTTTTTCTTACTCCTTTTCCTTTAATACTTCTTTTATTAATACCAAGAGCTAGTATCTGACTACCTTATAACCTTTCTTTCCTCCTCTAAACCCCTTTTTCGAACTCCTCCTCCTTTAATACTTCTACTAATAATACCAAAAGCTAGTACCTGACTATTACTTCCGGGTCACTTTTATTCAGAACTCCTATACTATAAGTCTTTAACCCACTTGCTCCTTAGAAAGCTAAATTTTAGATCCCTTTTCCCCTTTTCCAATATTTTCTTTTCCTCTTTTCTAATATCTCTTATATCTTTAGGCCCTTTGGGAATATCCTCTCTCAAACTTCCAAAAAAAAGGCTAACTCCTATTTAGATTCCTCCGAACTTTAATACCTCCTCTCCTTCTTTAATACTTATAAAAGCCTTTAGGCTATTACTAAGTACCCCTATTCTTTATCTTGAAATATATATTAACTTATTCTTATAGGAAATAGCCCTTCTCTCTCTAATCTTAACTTCTTTAATATATATTCCTTGCCTTTAGGCTATTTAGATATTTCCCTATTTACTTTTATGAAATATATACTAACTTACTTTTTAGTTCCCCTTACCTTACCTTTCCTTTAATATTACTATATATATACCTAGTTAGTACTAGTTCTTATAATCTATAATTAGGCTTTTTATTTATTAAATATCCGGATATTTTATTTTACTTTTACTTTATATATTTTATTTTATATACTTTACTTTTCTTTTATTATAGATTAGGACTCAAATAGTATTTACCTTAAATACTTATACTTTTGGGTATATAAGACTCCTATAAATCTTTCGGGATTATAAACCAGCCTACTTTAGTTCGGAAAAGCTTTCTCGAGAGTATTTCAGGAGTTATAATATTTACTATAACTCTTCTTAAAGATTAATATAATATGGGTATTTCTAGTCTATTCTCTTTTTATAGAGTAAACCGCTGCCCTAAGTTTATATAAAAGTCCTAATTATCTCTTGAGTTAAAATATAAGTATTTTTTATTCTTATTAAATTAGGTATAAAGGATAGTAGGCGCTTTCGGGCTAGATTATAGTACTAGTTAAGTACTAAGATTCCCTATATCTATCTTATAAACTTATAGTTTAAGATATATTATATTTAATAGGGCTTCTATATCTAATTACTTTATATTATAGTAAAATATCTTAGTATTATAGTTAGAGGAGTTTTACTTTATAATCTTATCTATTACTTATAGATTTTCTAGCTAATAAGTCTTAGCTAATAGCTAAAAAACTTATTAGCTACTCTATCTAAAGCCTCTAGGAGTAGGAAATTACCTTAATAAAGACTTAGTATTAAAAATAGGTTTAACTAATTAATTTAAATAAGGAGTTTATAGCAGGAATCTCTATATATAAGTAATTCTATATAATAAACTCAAGTTCTTGTCCCTAGTTATATAAATAAGCCATATAAGAAACTCTTTCTGGCCTATTAAAGTAGTTCCTATCCCTGGTTATATAAGTTATAATATATAATAAACTCAAACTTTTCTTAGGTTATTTTTGGAAGAATTAGTAAGCTTTTCTAGACAGACTTATTAAGGCCTTAGTTTTTAAAGATATTAGTCTAGCCTTCTTACTTCTTCCTTAGATAATAGTTTAGCTTTCAGGAATTATATATAAATATTAGAATAAATAAGGAAATATACTATATATACTTTCTAGATAGATTAGAATAGAACCTATAGAATTCCCGTAATATTTTTATTAAATCTATAGTACTAGCTAGTAAAGACTTTAATAACCTTAATAAGACTTGAATTACGAGTCCGGCCCTCAGATTTCCCGCTTAACTTAAAGATTAAGTAGTTTATAACAGGTTACCTATTATAGAATATATTATACTCTTTTCCTAAAAAATACCGGATACTAGTAATAGTCCGGAAGCCCTAAAGCCCTTGAGACTCTTTATAAGTTTCGGGCTTTAGGGCTTTTCTATAGCTAGCCAATTATATAGAGTTATATAACTATACAGGTCTGGTATTAATATAAAGTAATTAGTAATTTTATATATAGATATAGTATGGTTTTTAGTATAGCTAGTCTAATATATTATATATTTATATATAAATACCTATAATTTCATTATTATAATATAATATATCCTTAATATAAAAATCCCTTTATAATTCTAGACTTTTAGGAGCCTTTTCTATACTAAAGGCAGAATATATAATACTATTTGGGTATTAAACTCAAAAGGTAAAGAATTATAAAGGCCCTAATAATTATAAGACTTTATAAACTTGGGTAAATTTAAGTATTATAAAAGTATTAAATTTAGTAGCCTGACTTTTAAATTATATAAGAACTAATTAAAGAGTATTATTTTAAAGTATTAATTATAAATTCTAAATATATATATATCCGTAAAGAAATAAAACCCAAAATAGTACTAAGCTAATTATAAGATATAAGAAAAAGTATATTAGATATTAGGCCCATTTTTTCTTAATTACCTTAATTTTAGTAAATATTCATATATAATTTATTAGACCTTATATAATAGGTTTGCTTAGGAGAAGTAAGATTAATTAGCCTGGGAAGTTTAATAATAATAGTTAGACTTCTGTCCGGGATAATAGGTAAAGTACTAGTAGTAGCCCGGGTACCTTGGGTTTTACTTATAAAGCTAAAGATATTATACTTATTAATTCTCTATATTTAATAAGGAAAAGAGATAGTATATTTATATCTCTAATATATCTATTATTATAGAGTAATACTTATATGATCTATAAGATTAACTATAGTTTCCTTTACTAGAAAAGAGAATAGTAAAATTAAAGAAGGATCTAATAGCCTACTATTATTATTATTATTATTATTATTAGGATTAGCTTTAGTAGTACTTTTAGTAGTACTTTTTGTATTATCTTACGGCTTCCAGAAATTAGTAAGTAGAGAAGAATCCTGGTATATATAAGTTAATTAAACCTAAAAACAAAAAAGGGTCTATAGAAGAAATAAAGAATAGGAGCCAGAATTAAAGAAAAGAATTATATATATACCTTTATTTATTTACTAGTTTATTAGATCCTTCCTTATTCTTAAAGTCTTATACCTATACTAGCGGGTAATACTTTCCTGGGCTTTCTGGGCCTCCTTAGTCTATTATTTAATTTCCTTAAGTTACTATATCTTTTAAGTATTTTCTAGCTTTTTATAAATAACTTTAAGATAAAGATTTTTATATAAAGTCTCTTTCTAAATATTTTCTAGCTCTTTATAAGTAATTTCAAGACGGATATCTTTATATAAAGTCTTATTCTAGTATAAAATAAGGAAAATTATCTAGATACTTTTAGGACCTAGATATATACTATAGCAGGAAAGATTAAAGATAGTTTAGATAGAACCTAATAAGACTATAAGTTCCTGGGTTCTTTTACTATTAGGACTAGTATAGAATACTAGTTTATTTGTATTATTAATAAATTAATAATAGTAAATAGGTTTACTAATATAGAGAGAGAAGTAAGAAAGTAGCTATTAAGAAACTATATTAGAAAGAGTAAAAAAAACTTGATTATTTATTTTAAATCAAAAGCCACCTATTAAAAAATATTTATTAGAATTTATATAGAGAATCTAGTAAAAGAAATAGGAGAAAACTTATTACCGATTTCTTTAGAAAATTAGATAGTTCTTTACTTAGCTTTCTAATTCTTTATATTATTAAATACCCACTTGCAGAGAACTAGCTATAAAACTATAGTCTATAATTTTATAAAACTAGATCCGGCTATATTTTAATTTATAAGACCTTAAAGGGCTTCAGGTAGCCTATTACTGGTATAAGAAGCTATGGCCTGAATAGTAGCCTGAGTAACTCTCGCATTTATAGCCTATTAAGTTTATATAATAGTATAAGTACTACTAGAAAAGTAGTTAGGTTAAGTAATATGGCTTATAGTAAAAGGAAATATAAAAGGAAGTAATTATAGGGCTATTAGAGCAGGAAAAGCCTGGAATAGAGTAGAACTAGTACCTAGCGGCTATATAATAATAGTAACTAGAGGAATAGGTATAGTAGATATTCCTGAAAAAAAAGATATAAGATAAGGATACTAAGAAAAGCTAGGAATCTAAAGTATTCCAGATATAAAGAGAGGAGTAAATACAGACGGAATTCCAGAGCTATAAGGTTTAAGTTTACTAGTATTACTACTCTAGATAAGTAAAGCGGCGGCCTCTATATTATATTTATTATTAGTAGATTAATAGAACTTATAATATTAGATATTACTATACTAGTATTTAGCTACGGGATATATAGTATTAGGACAGGTTTTAAGAAATAATAGTACTATTTTGAGAGATAAGAATTTAAGGATATAGAATATTTATATAATAAATAAACTTAATAATTTTATTAGTACTACTCTCAAAAGTAAGAAAGGGATTTCGAAAATAATATATTTAATAATAAATAATACTTATTTTAATATATCTAATTATTTTATAATTAGCTCGTTTAATTACCTTATATTATTAGGAGTATTACTAATAAAGGGCTATTTCTGGATAAAGCCCTGGACTATTAGGAACTATACGGGTATTCTTCTGGCCTATATATTATTTATATATTCTATATTTATTAGAATAACTTACTTAAAAATCCTATTTTATATAATAGTAATATTATATTTACTAGTTAGTTTCTCGGACTCTCTTAATATTAGTAGCTGCCCTAAGGCTATATATGCCCGGACTATATATTAGAGCTAGTAATAAGCTTAAACATATAATTAGTTACTATTTCTATTAGTATTTCCTATATAAATATTGGCTATATTTATATTATAAAACATAAGCTTCTAATAGTATTACTCTAGTATTTCTCTTGGTAGAAACTCATTAATATCTATATTAGTATATAAATAAACTATTTATATAGAGCTATATAAGGTTATATTACTTACCCTAAACTAAATAATTATTAAGGATTATATTATAAAGCTCTATATTTATAGGGCGACCCTAGTACTATACCCCGCCTAGGGGCCTTATATATAGTCTAAATAGCTTACCGGCTACTATATTAGGCCTAGATCTATCTTTTCTAATTCTATAGATATTTCATAAGTTTATAAACCTATATATCTCGTTTTGGATCCGCTATATATAAAATACTAGTAAAGTAATCCGGTTTTATAGGTATTAGTAATTATAACCCTTAATATAGGCCAGTTCCTGAAAATAGTTCTATATATACTAATTAGAATTAGTTATATAATCCGGTACTATAATACTAGACCTAATAGCCTTAATAAAAAGCAGTATAATTATTAGTACCTAATACTTCCTTCTAATAATAGAAAGAATAAGGGGCAGATATAGGGAAACGGAATTACTTATATACTACCGGTATAGCTAGCTCTTCTAAAGCTCCTGCTACTAGGATTTAACCCGCTAATTCTCGGTACTTTTCCCAGAAATAAAGTAGTTCTCTATATATATAACTAATAAATCGGCTATCTATAAGAATATAAAGTGTATTTTAGTAATAAGGGGAAGTTTAGAGCCTCGATTAGCCCTAAAGAAATAAGAGTAATAGCCTATTTGAGTATAAATCTAAAGATACTACTATATAACCAAATAGGTAATCTAATTAGAGATTCTAATATATATCTAGATAATATTATATAAATAAGTATTAATATAAGTATATATCTCGATCCCAAATAATAATAGCTTATTATATTTATTAATTAACTAAATCTAGTCCGGCCCAGGTATAATATATTCTCCTTTCTTAGACTATATCCGTTACATTTATAGTATAATTGTCTCGGGATCTAGGAGTTATAATATTATATATAAGCTTTCCCTATAGATAATAAAATACATTAGTAAATAAGGCCCTAACCTTCCAAGCTAGGGCGAAATAGTAAAGTATAGAAAGACTAACCGGATTACTAATAAACCTTATTAATAGAAGTATATATATAAATACTACTATCTATAACCTATAACCCGCCTATTATTTAGCTTACTCTATAGTATTACAAATAGTTACTTGTCTATTACTTGCCTATTTATTATAGTTATATAGTAAATAAGACCAAGCTTCTTATATATATAGACAACTCTAGTAATTAAAGCTATATAACCGTAATCCTCAAGATCCTCAAGTATTTCCTTATCTATATCTCCCAGATAATACAGGATTATAATCTATATATAAAGAAAAGGCATATCTACTATTTAAGTATGTATTTGGATATTCTATTCTTGTAGTTACTATCGGACTATATACGGATTAACTGAGATTCCATATAAATCTTTTAATCTATTCGTAATTTCTTCTTAATTAATATTCGTACAAGCCCATTTAGTAATAGATTTATTAAAAGTCATAGTATTATTTTAATAAAATCCACTAAGTTATTTTAATAGGGATTAAGTTCAGAGTATACTTTACTATTATAACGTACTTTTTAGTAATATAAGTACTAAAAAACTCGAGTAACGTTACCCCTATATAATTTTGTTAATTAATTACTAAAAAAAAGTAATTAGCCGGCTTCTCAGTTATTTTAATAGTTTAATTTTCTCATTTCTAACCTCGGGAACATTAAGGAAGTCATTAGACCCTGTTAATAGCGTTATCCTAGAAGGGCTTATAGCCTGTGGTCACCTGACTATAGTAATTTGTAATAAATACTCAATTTTATATTATATTACCCGGCCTAATTTTGGCACGATTTTACGCGGTAGTATAGGCTCTCACTTCGTTAATTAGACAAGCAAGCAGCCTTACTATTGTTGCGTTATCCAAGCCGAAAGTCACGTGTGGGTGCTATACCCCTAATTAGGAATTCTGCCTTGGGGAGGAGGGGGGGGGGGGGGGGTGTGCGGGCGCCAGTGCGAAAATCAGAAAATCAGAAAATCACTTTTCGCTTCTCGGATTTGTCCGCTAGCTAGCTGTGGGCCTCAGTAATCGTTCAGCTGTTGCTTCACCACGGAGCGGATGTCATCAGTGAAGTTGGTTATTATGACACCTTGCTTATTCCCTGGATGCAGCGAGGGGATTCTGGAATTGCGATCATGTTACTTGAACATGGCGCAGCCATATCCAACTTTGGTGGCGGTAGCGAAGCAGAGGAGGCATTAGCGAGGAAAGACTTCCGAAAATTCGTCGCTATCCAAGTTGAAGCACTCCTGAAACAAAAAAGCGAGAGGGCGAAGGCAAGAACCTAAGAATGATTCTCGAGCTCGAAAGCGAAGAATATCGTTGTTCGGAGAACCTCACGCCAAATTCATTTTGAACCTGAACGGCCACTAAAGTGGATGTTCAATCCGAGAAAACGTCATTAGAAAGCACTCAAAGGGGATGGAAACCATTACGAAGTCTATTGTATTTTAGGGCTCTCGTCCGTATATTTGTCTCACCGCCCTACCACTCACTACCTTCAGTTCAAACCGCTATCGTGGGATTCCCTTAGACTTAGACGCTCGAATCCGTATCCTTCCCCGACTCGACATGCTCAATTCCATGAGGTGTCGCCTTCTCAGTCATACCCATCTCAGCAGCATATGTGCTATGCGGCACCCACTTGGCACTCGTCATAGGCGTAGTCTCCTCCAACATTCTATCGACCTGCTCCAGCGTAAGACCCTTGGTCTCTGGGATAAGGAAGTAGGCGTAAATCAGACATAACAGGCAAAGAGATCCCCAAAGGAAGAAGATCTTCGGTCCAAGATCGACTCCACCACCTGCTGTGGAAGTGATGTATGGCGTGATGATTGTGATGATCTGTGGACAGTCAGTTAAGCAGTTGAGTTTTGACGGGTGTTGAACATACGCAGTTCCACAGCCAGTTCGAAGCAGTCGACAATGCAACACCTCTTGACCGAATTGGCAGTGGGAAAACTTCACCGGTGACAACCCATGCACCAGGTCCCCAAGTTGTTGCAAAGAAGAAGATGTAGATACAGATAAACGCGATCATAGCTGAGATAGCAGGCTTGGCGGAGTCCGTAACACCGATAATTGCAACGATAAATTCGCACAAAACCATGCCCAAAGCACCCCAGATCATAATTGTTCGTCGACCAAATCGTTCAATAATCCAGAATGAAATTGGGGTGGAGCAGACGTTCACCAAAGTCGTGATCAAGCTAATCAGGAACGGATTGTTGATCGTCCCAAGCTGCGTGAAGAACGTCGTTCCGAAGTAAAAGATAAAGTTGATTCCAGTCCACTGTTGCATCATCTGTAAGCTCGTGCCCAAGATTGTCCGTCGGAGGTTGCTAGCTGGGTTGAGGAGACTGCCTCTGAAGCAGTTTGCCCAGCTGGAAAAGTAGCCGCTTTGAGGGATCACCGACATTTCGTACTCGTGATTTGCGATGATCTCAGTGAGCTCGGCTTGTACGAGTTCTGATCCGGGAGGCTGGTCACGAAGGCGTTCGAGGACGTGGGCGGCTTTGTCGAGCTGTCCTTTCATCACAAAGTAGCGAGGGGACTCGGGAAGCCAGAGCAGGCCGCCGGCGAGAATCAGGGCCCATAGAAGCTGAAGGGCCATGGGGATGCGGTAGGATCCGGAGTCGATTCTGTTCTCGGTGGCGTAATCAACGCATGATGCGAGAAGAAGGCCAATTGTGATGGCGAATTGGTAGCCTGGAATATGTCAGAAACGTTCAGGGAGTGTTGGTGGGAGGGAATCTTACCAGACACAATGGCGCCTCTCACTCCTTTCGGTGCAATCTCAGACATGTATAGAATGATGATTGCGGACACGAAGCCGACACCGAACCCAGCGATGAGACGGCCTACGACCAACAAACCCAAGCCAGTGGATGCAGTCTGCAAGATGCAGCCAAGCCCATACACAATACATCCCAGAATAACTGTTGTCCTTCTCCCAAACCAGTCCGCAAGATCACCGGCAAGAATGGCACCGAAGAAAGTTCCTGCCGAGAGAATTGATACAATCAAGGATTTGTGAGGAGTTGGGATGACGAAGGCGTTTTGCACTGCTTTCGATGCACCTGGACCTGGAATGGGGAGGCCGGTAAAGAGGCTGATGAAGTAGTCCATGGCCAGAACTCCACTGATGTATCCAGAGTCAAAGCCAAAGAAGATTCCACCAAATGCTGCAAAAGCACACATCATATATGACTTCCATGTCACTGGAGCTTCGACACGGCCTGTATCCGCTGTGCCTTGAAATGCTACTCCGCCGCCCATTGTGATGTTGGAATGAGATTAAAACAAGAAGGAATAATATTGAATAGGATGACGAAAAAAAGCTTGACAAATCTGCAAATGGGTGCGAGCTGGTGGAATATATACTCGCGAGGCGACCTGCCGCCTCTGATTCCTATCGCAGCTTTTACTTGAAATGAATCGGCCCTTTGAGAGCCCCATCATGGTCTCCACACTCCTCACATTACACCCCGAGGGTCTCGAGAGTCGATATGTTGGAGTCACGGGGTCGCTTGGGCTCTGCCTGGATCTCCCGCGCAGTCTCGTAGTCTTGCATTCATATCGGACCGCCAGCTCGGTGAGTTTCCGCATTGTGGCCGAGATTCGTCCCAGATCTAAAGCTAACTTTGTTTCTCCATTGCGCAGAACCAAGGCAATTCGGCAGAGATACAGGACCGAAGTTTTAGAAATCGTAGACTGAAGAACAACTTCCGATGTCACAAGCGGCTTTCTCAAGCATGCCGTGAGCGTGCAGCTATTTCCATCGTGTCCCGACCACTTGATGGAAGAGTGAAGAAATCGAAATGTACGTAGTGGTATGGAGATGCATAAGCAGAAAGTATTAATAGCTGAAAGGTGGGATGACACGAAAATCGCTCAACGAAAGCATTACACACGCGACTTCGGCCTTAGTAAGACGTGTCTCGTAAAACTTGACACCGAGGAACACGCACGCCCACGGCCCGATTTAGCGACAGTCTGTTCTTTAGGAACTCTTCTGCGGAGTCATGAGTCGCGAGGACATTGTGGACAGTGGAGAACGGGGAGCTGGAGGAGAGTGGCGTGGGGGTGGGATTTGGAGAAAGTAATTGAAGCTGAGCTGAGATGATCTGAAACAGAGAGTCGGGCGCACTGCGGCTCTTTGTATTTAATGCCGCGCGCTAGGGCACGACATGAAACGCAATTCTTCCCTGTTATCGTTTCAATCCTTCAGGAAACAGGCCGAGAAGATAATGCGGGAAGAAGTTTTAAAGGCTCACCTGGAGCGGCCGATTCATCTCCAGTCCTGTTTCGGTACGCTCTTTGGGTCAAGCTGATGTTCAATTCAAAACTTACTCTCGCAACTTCTCTATTATACTCCTCGATGTAGACAGCCCTTAAAGGCGACTGTTCTATCCGCTTTCCTCTCTGGTCTCCCAGAGGTCCATCTTCTGCTTACACGTGACAAGTGTCACGTGCTAAACTACTCCTTTCTCCGCGCAGTTCCGTCCCAGACCAATGCTTCTGTGCCTCACAGCGTAGGGATTAATCTTGACCAGGCTCGGCAACGGTTATTAGGACATCAACTAATTACTAATTACTTAAAGAAATAGTAAGTAATTGCAATAATTAATAATAATTTATAAGGAATTAATTACCAAGGGAGAATTTATAAGTACTTTCTATAATAAATTTATATAAGAAGTACTTCTAAGATAAATATTAAGTTAAGTAAACTTGAGCTAGCTTTATAATAATTTATTTACTCTTCTTACTAGAAAACGCAGTATTGGGACAGGTATAAGTCTAAATCTCTTATAAGCTATATTATTAAAGAAGTAAAGTTAATTAGAATAATTATTTAATAAAATACTTTTAGTATATAACAAATAGTACCAAAATTATCCGAAATTAAAATCTAGGATATACTTGAAACTCCCGTAATTATAGATAATAATCTTATGAATCTTTAGGGGACTTACTCGCTAAATAATTAATAATAATTGATATCTTATAATTGTGCATTAATTATAATCGATTGTGCGATATTAGTAATCGTTGCAGGGCCTGATCCTGGCCATGCTGGGGAAATCCAGATTCTCATAATTTTCAATGTTTTTCATAGTGATAACGGCAGCGGTGCCGAAGTGACGAGCAGGATTCTGACTTCACTGACGAACCCGCAGCAAGCCTAAAGCCTAGAGAGTAGAAAGGCTTTATGATTTTGTGAGGCAGGAGCGGTGCTAATGTAGTATTAACTCAATTCTCTCTCGTATTGCTACTCTGACTCGCCTAGAAGAGCCTTTAAACTGTCCTTTCAAACCACATATTACGAAGCGATGGCGGGAATGTCAAGTGTTAGCTTCGCAAGTGGAGCTTGAATTGGACCTTCCTTTAGGGAGCATGTATCTTATCACCTAATCTGAGATTTGGTGTGTCGTCCGGAATACAGCAGCTAACCACCCGCGTTTCGACTATTTTGAGGTCCGATAAACCCGCTATGTCGGTACTTCCTTCCGACAGTGGGGACGCCAGTCCAGCCACACTGGCATCTCACAAAATTGATATAATTTACATCCCCCTATTCGAGAATATGAGGGTTAAATCCACACTCTTGCTTAATTCATCTAGAACTTCATCTAAAACATTATGACTGGAATAATTAAGAGAGCTTTTTGGGATGCCCCAGAGGGCCAAATTCACTACCGCTACATCCTCACCACTGCAACTGAGAAAAAGGCACCCGTAGTCTTTCTGCATCAATCTGCATCATGTGGGTGGTCCTACCAGTCGATGATGAAGCAGTACGCTGAGCGTGGGCACGATTGCTACGCACCAGACATGCCAGGGTTTGTTTTCCGGAACTTGCTTCCCCGGTCGCAAATTTAAAACAAGTTGCTAATACCTCTTCAGGTTTGGGTGCTCGTATGACCCGCCTGAGGATCCGGCAAGTACCAGATACTACGTTGATATCTGGATGGGACTATTTCGCCACCTGAAACTGCCTAAAATGCATTTAATTGGACACCACTCCGGCTCTGCTCATGCTATGGAATTGGCAGCCATCTATCCTACTGAGATTTTTACTGTCGCTCTCTCGGGACCAGCGTTGATGAGTGAAGAAGAACAGGCGGCTTCATACAAGATCATTGGAGGCGAATGGAGCAAGGTAGGTGTTTAACACTCACCTCTTCCTTAAACCAGTGGTTATGAACCGGATGTATTGCGTGTATTGAACAAGGGTTATTCCGTGGACATGCATCAATTTCCCCTCGTAGTGACTCCAACCCTCTGTCAGAATGGCGAAGCTGATTCAGTGAACACTTAAAGCCAAAGGAGGACGGCTCCACTTTATGAAGGTCTGGAATACACTAAATGGACCGCTTTGGGACACCCTCGAGCTGAAGAATCACGAAGTTATCGACAGTCTCCGCGCTTGGAAGGGTCGTGACCAGGCGTATGGCGTGTCTTTTTTTCAGCCAAAGCTGAAATACTTCAAGAGCATTACGATTCCAATCCTAGCCATGTGTTCGAGGGACGATATCCTTTGGCCTTGCTTTCACTATTGCAAGGAACTGGTAAGTCTATCTGTTTTTGAGAAGAGAAGAGAAGAGATGGTTGACTTGGGATCTCGTAGCAACCGGAGGCGCGATGTGAGGTGACGAAAGGTAACTTGTTTGAGAATGGCAAGGAAGTCGAAGGAAGCATTTCTTATTATCATATGGACTTTTTGGACAAGCTGGGCGCATGATGACAGTTAGCAGAGAATTGATGAGATCGCTGAGCGAGCATTTATGCGGCTGTAGGAATGCTTTTAAGTACAAGGTGGCTTGCATGGGAAATTATACGTGTTTTCGTACACCCCTAAATTCAAGGGTAGTTCTTTTGAATGCCCAGCAAGGTCGACAATGAAGCAGCAATGCATGCCAAATACTTCTCTCGCTTGTTTCAGGGCCCATGTCGTCTCTTTTCTCCATACCTCGCGGTTCTGAAAAGAAGCTGTAGCCAATGTGCTATAGGAAAACTCAACAACTGCTAATAAAGGGATAGTAAGAAGTGACACTGGCAATGTAGACAGGCAAGAAACGTGTCGCGAATTGTAAGAAGTCAAGCCAGGAAGGGGCTCGGCTCGCTTGGGCACTTGTTTAAGCGAAATGAGCGGGCATGTGACCACCTCATAGAGTATCTTCTCGATGGATTGCCTAAGATTTTTCTCATTGACTTCATCTTTTTCTTGCAAGTGAGTGGGTTATCGAGCTCGCAGGGCCTTGGTCACCGGTTGGTATAATCTCCCCTCGATAACCCGCACCAACATCTCCATATTCTAGAGTTGTGAAAACCCCCAAAAATAATAATCACGAAAGCGACAACGCATGTGTTGAATTGGTACTAACTTATCAGTCCTTCCAGCACCAGGTTCAACCACTAGTTTAGTGCTCTCCACTCTCATTTGTCATGCGTCACTCGCCGAGCTTACCAAGTTCACTAATATATTGTCATTTTGATTACTTTTGATTTATTAGCTAATTTATAATGTATTAGAGAAAGCGGGCCCGGCATCATCAATATCGCCAATAGGTAATAGGGATAAAGACCCTTACTTTGGACACTCTCTCCTCTACTTTTAGACTTCACTCTCTTGTATCTAGTCATTCTACAGACTGTCAACCTCCAATATATCGATTTTGTACCAATATATTGTTCCCATTCCAATAGCATGCTTGACACCATCTTCCATGCATCGATAATAATTGTCTGATATTCGGATTCGCCTTCACTAGAAAGGCGGCTGTAGGCGAGCTTGAGTTCCAGGATTGTTCGGTCGAAGCTGATGGAAGGAAGAGGCAAGACTGGATGAGTTGACTGCGAGCACAAGTCTTCGATACTGAACTACTATAATCGCAACGGTCAAGAGTTCCAGTTCCTCCTTGATGAACTTAGGGTACATAGGTTTTGGTAACATCTAACCCTCCACACCCGCGGAAATTCTCCAATGCTTTCTTTCCGGCTGAGGAGAGTTCTCCCCTCCAGGGATCATCAGTCTCGAAGCAGATTTCACCGTCGTCTGGGCTATCTCCATCGAAGATGACTGGGGTGCCTTGTACCAGTCTCCAACGTCTATGGAGAAACTTCCTTTGCAATTAAGCGGCTTTTTAATCGCGGTTTCATTCATGACTCCACTATCCCATCCGCGAAGCTCAAATGCGAAGTCCCCTGGTTAAATTGGAGGTAATTCCGGTAACTTCGATAACGACTTGCCCAGAGGCTTGAAATGTTAGCTGCATGCCATCGTAGCTCACAGAAAGAGTGCACTTGTCTGGTGTGATCAGTCGTATATTATCCATAATCTGTCAGTGTGTGAATAGACGGAGGTCTTCCGGATATATATATGTAAATGATTTGCGGATCAGAAAGGAGAACCTGCATTTCTGAGAAATGGGCTTGACTTTATCCATTCCAACCAGCATTCTCTCCAACTCACTCCATCCGGAACCGCAAGCAGCCTCAAACGAGAAGCAATCTTCTGAATAGAGTTCCATTCACTCTCAGACTGTCGAGGGACTGCCTCACACGGTTTCGTTTTATCTGCGAAATTTTGCAAGACCTAGAGCATATTCAAGACCAGGATGAGAGCTTTGGAATGATACCCGCCTTGCCCTCCTTTCCATGAAAGACACAAGTGCTAGGTTTAAAGCATGGGGCGAAAGTATTGCAGCATTCCATGACGGACATGTCAAAACTTCACTTGATTCTCGGTTCAGGGAAGTCCCGGAAATCAGGGGAAGGGCGTTGCAGATTCTCCAGTACTTGCAGTAGTATCTCCACGATGGCGAGTAGAAGAGCAATTCGCAACGATGACGCCCCTGTGTTCTCTAACATCTCGTAGCAACTCTGATCATTTCCGGAGAGAAGCCAAACGCGCCATTGGACAGTAGTTCAACGAGCGGGTCAAGTGACGAGTCCCAAGGAGAGGACTACGGAAAGGAGGAGAAGGTGGAGGACCATCAAAACCCAATAGAGGATCACGACCACTCTACCGAGACGTCAGAACTACAGGAAATATTCACAGCCATAATTTATTCTAACAAAAGCTTGATGAAGCTTTTAATGGCCATTCGAAGCTCGCCTGCTCGAGATGACTACATTAAAGTAGCTTCACGTTACAAAGACTGGGATCCATACCCAGATATTAGGCAGGTGAAAGAGAAGCATGCATCTGCCAAAGGAAGTACTGGCTGGATGCTCACTCGTCTCGGAAATGTTATTGCTAGGCGTCGCCAATTCCTCAAATACCGTTTCGAACATTCTGAGAAAATGGCTGGTGGATGGGACGAGGCGGAGAAGACACAGAAAGAGGTTGAAAACCCCGAGAAGACGATCGCATGGACGAAAGCAACGACTTTCATTCGAAACGACACGGTTTACCAGAGAGAAGGGTCCGATACCGCGGGTTCCTTTGGCTCACAGACATCTTACGGCCAGACGGTCTTAGGTGATGAGACTGCAGCCTCTAAGCTCGCCGTTCCCCCGCCTCCAACTTTGGCTTTCCTGCAAGCTCTATTTTAGTATGGGGAACCGTTTAACTGTTCTTATTGCTACACGGGGTAAAACGTAATGAACAAAGCTGTTTGGAAGTACGTATGTCTTGATTCTTTAAGATAAATAGTTCACTAACAGCAACCAGGAAACAATCTAGCCAAGACTCAGAACCAGTGTGTCTAAGGAATACTCAAACTACTTAAGTTACTTAAGTACATACTCATCGAGTATTAAGTAGAGTATAAGTAGCCCCTCCATAACTAAGCTTAAGTAGAGTAGTGTCATGGCCTGAATAGGCTGTGCGGAAGGATATAGGTGTATATTGGTATAATAGTAAGGAATAATGGTGCCCTAAGGGCGGTAAAGATACTATATATATGCTTGTGCGTGGCCTGTGCGTAGCACGTGACAAGTAGAGTAGACTACTTAAGTGGTTTAACTATTTATTATATAGTTTATTCTATTAAATATCTCTCTTTATATTATAAATACTATTTAATTCTTCTCTTTATTATCTTTTCTTTTTTACTACTTAAAATCCCTCTAATACTATTTATTATACTAGGAAAAATTAATATAATAATTATGTATTATTTAATATATGTGACTTCCAAATAATAAACCAAAGAGAAAAGGAATATATAGGGCTTATTTTGACTTTCATTTACTCTAAGTGTGACGGCGCTGGCTGGGGCCAAAGGGGAGTGGCTGTCACATGACCAGTTTCACCTAGCTAGCCCGCGTTTCAGTGGTTTTAGCTAGTATTTCCCTCCTTTTGACCCTCTCCTTCTTCTCTTTAGCTTAGTATTTCCAATACATGAGATTCTTGGATCTTTGAGCCCTGGCCATTGCCTCGATCCCGCCGTCACACTAAGATATAATATAACCTTTTAAAATAAGTTTAAAGCTAATAATTAAGTCGGGGGACCCCCTCATAAGGATACGTGCTTGCACATGACTCACTATTTAAGTTAAGTATATACTCGATGAGTATTGAGTAGAGTATAAGTAGGACATATTTTGGCTGAGTAGAGAATGAGTAGGACCCACTACTCTACTCTACTTTACTCATTTGACACACTGCTCAGAACTTGATCAAGACTCTGCAGGTGGCACAGACATCTCGCTGACTTCCAAAGCAGAGATGAAGTAGGCCATTAGCGTTGGATCGGATAATCTCACTCAGCGCAATGCCCCACCCCACCGACAGGTTTTCGGTGATCGATACGAGTTTGGTCCTTCATTGGCTGCAGCATTCAATGCTGCCAACGTAGTTCTAAGTGGTGAGAGAAGCCTGGACATGAAGGCGCCGACTCCATCTGGGACTGAAAACCCTGAACTGGCTTCTGAAGCCTACAATGAGTTGCTAGACAAGTATTGCTTCGTACGTACTGTACAAACGAGAACCGTTGAGGACCTACAGAAAGCTGAGCTAAGCTAATTGTTACTGTAGTTTGGATCCCAAAAGCCTACCCCGTCTCTGAAGGATGGTATATTTCAATCTGGTCAATTTAAAGAGATAAACGAAAAGTCGATTGAAGCCTCGATCAGGAAAGGCGAAGAAAGTGTCGATTCGAACCTGCCCGTATACACCAGATTGTGTCGGAGACATATTTCCATCGAGACACTAAACACATATAGACTTGGTTATGAGTTGGATCGGGTAAGAACAATTCCTAAGAGGACGTCGGGATACTAATAGAACACTGCAGGATCCAGAGTATATAGCCATAAGACACCGGGTTCCTGAGTATGAGCGGGAATTTCTCTGGGTTCACACCCGTGAGATCAGAGCAAGGAGGCAGGGAGTGAATCAACGGCAGCTTGAAGCATCAAAGCAACGATGCAAAAGGCCAAAGAGAAATTCGATCTGAACAGCCCTACAGAAAAGGAGCAGATTGGAGCCGCGATCCGCAAAGGCAAAGAAATATTCGATCCGAATCGCCCTATGTATACTAGAATTTCTCGCAAACACATTTCCATTGAGACTCTGAATACACAAAAAAATCGATTATGAGTTGGATCAGGTAAGGCCATCTCTAGCTTGAAGCAAGCACACGCTAACAGAAGGCTTCAGGATCCAGAGTACGTCCTAATCAAACGATGGGTCCCAGAACCGAGACAAGATTTCTGTGGGCGCATACTCGTGAAATTAGGGAAAAGAGACAAGGTGACTCCAAAAACTCAAGCACAGGGAACGGTCGAGGGAATAATGAACTCGGAACCAGAAACCTTTCGAAACGAAAAAAGAAAAAGTCCTCCCCACTTTTAGCGTTCTTATCTAGAAGTCGGCAAAAGGGTGTCGAGAGTGGAGATAAATGGGAAGATGAATGAACTGGTTGAGCAGACTCCAAGGATGGAAAACAAAAATACGCCGAACGCCGGAAGAGCGGGTCACCCCTGCCCAGCTCGCCCTTTGGCATTTCGAGACACGACAGAAGGCAAATCTTTGCTTGATAGCGCCAAATAATAGCAACTTTCCCAACTTCGTTCCCTTGTGCTCTAGACGCGGAACAAGTGGTTGTCTCTTTTGAGGTCAAATCAGCGCATGACGGAAGCTAAGTGTCTCAATCACATCTTCGGATACAAGTGATTGCCTAGTGTCACAACTACACCGATTCGGAAAATAACAAGCATGATCATCTCGGTTATTTCACCACTTCCATATTCATTCCACAGGCAGGACGCAAATATCGGCAAGACTCTGGCGCAGGCTGCCACAAACTCACTACTTCAGCACCTGTCCCTCGAGCGCCCACTTGACCCTAGCCACGCCACTGTTCCCCACAATCCAAAGATCCTCATAATTCGCCCCCGTCCACGCAAAATTCTGCACCGTAAAGTTCGTCTGCACACGCACCAACAACGTCCCATCAGAATCAAGTACATCCACCCCCTTACCTGCTCTTGTCACGATATAGCCGTTGGCCGCGACCTTCAGCCCATCAGGCACCCAGTCCTGCGCCAAGTAGACGGGACGTTTGTTGAGCAGGTGCTTGCAATTCGCGCTGAGATCGAAGGCGTATATCGTGCGCTTGCACGTTGTGTTGAATTCGGTCCCCTGTGGCCCGAGACTCTGCTGTGTCGTGCCTGCGATTGCGCCTGTGTCGGAGATGTACACCGTTCTTGGACAGCCTGCAACGACGGGTGCGATTGCAATTCCGTTCGGTTGCACGATGTCGTCATTGATGACTGAGACCGCACCAGTTGAGGGCGTGAAGCGGTAGCTGGCTGTTTCGAGTTGGGGCGCTCTATCTGTGAGGGCGTTGAACCAGGAATATTGTGGGTCGGTGAAGAAAATGTCGCCGTTGTCGTGGACGAAGAGGTCGTCGACCGTGTTAAAGTAGTAGCCGAAGTAGTTATTGAGCAGTGTGACGGTCTTGTTGGTCAACGGATCGAGAGTTGCGATGCTAGGCCTCTCTTCGATGCCGCCGATACTGTTGTTTCCTCCAGAGACGCCCCAGTATATCCTATCAGGTGTGGTCAGTTCTTTTCTTTAACAGTAAGGTTTTCACGCTTTGGACTTACAGTCCGTTGTGGTCAGTGTGTCAAATAAGTAGAGTAGAGTAGAGTAGTGAGTCCTACTCATACTCTACTCAACCAATTATTGCGCTACTCATACTCTACTCATGAGTAGTATGAGTAGTGTGAGTAGGTACCCACGTGACAGACTAGCCTAATAAGGTAAGCCTCCCGTCTAGCGCCGCTCTAGCGCCACGTCTCTACCCAATTAGGCAGTGGCATTACTTAGTAAGCAAGACGGGGGAAATCAAGATCTAAAGAGTATAACTAGTTTATTATTATAGAAAATTAGTATTTAGCTAGTCTTATATAAGCCCTAACTTACCTTTACTAGGGCTACTTAATAAATACCTGTATTATTTAATCATTATTAAATAAATCTTAATTTATTATTGTCACGTGACGGCTACTCATGAGTACATACTCTACTCTACTCAAATTTTTAGGACATTACGCTACTCATATTCTACTCACGCTACTCATGAATATTCATGAGTAGTATGAGTAGCATGAGTAGTTCTTTGACACACTGGTTGTGGATCGTTCCGCCATTTGGGGCATATATGGATCCGATATCAGCTCTCCAAGCTCTGGGGGATCAACATTAAGATTGACGACGAGCTGTGGAAGAAAACCTGGTGGAGATTTGGTTCCACGAAGCTGAGAGAAATATAGCTTATTCGTCACTGGCGAATAGACTGGTGCTTCATGCACGGCTACCTGCTCAGTCAGTGGCAGTTCTCCAGTCAGGGAAAGATCGTGCATCATTCTCCATGGAGAACCTACCATTGTTGACCTCAAATACGTATTCATAGCTCGGACTGGGTCCCAGCAGGTCCAGTCCACGGGCTTGATCAAACACTAGGAAGTCCGCTTTCCTGACAAGCCCCCAAGAGGTGTCATTTGGGACCATAGTCGAAGGGTATATGTCTTCGTAAGAGCCATTATAAGACGGCTCTCTGAAGAAATGATATGGCATTACAGATGCATATTTTTTAATGCAGACAACGCTGGAAGGTGGTCCACAGATTTGTGCCAGTGGTGAGACTGTGCCTAGAGGCTGAGCGAAAGCCCCGGCCGAGAGTGCGAAATAGACAGTAATTGAGAGAGGATTTAGCTGCAGCATGGCTTAGGATAGCAAATTTACAGAATCAAGTGACTGGGAGATTCTCTAACATATTCGTAAATTTTCGTTGTGGTGTTGCGTAGATGACGTGTTGGGATTGTCAAATAAAGGTGGTTGGAAGCCTTGATTGATTATCGAAGCTGGGAAGCCCATTAATATAAGTACATAATCCACTAGTCTCCCAGCCCCCTAGCTACCTTAGGTACCGTGGGCTTGGCACCTTTCAACAGGGATCCAGGGCTGTTTTTGCCTTGGACCTTGGGGAAGCAGAAAGTGCCCGAAATTCAAGAACGGGATTTTGAGTTATATTTTTCCGGTTCTAGCGCCGACTGGCAATCCCGTGGATATACCCCTCGTGCTTAGGTTGACCCTGCGCTAAGAGATGGACCAAATTGTAGCGAGGTCCTTGTTTTTGCTTATCAAGAGCTAGATTTGTGCTTCTAATTCAATTAACCTTGTTTTTCAACGAAAAGATCCATGCCGTTTCCGTTTCGCCATAACATCGCCAAGGTCTAATCACGTCTCCGTCGCTTTGTGGCTCAAACTAATTTCCATTCACTCTCTCATTGAACCGCGATAGGCCGCTGATTAGAAGTGGGTGGCAAGAATATTGCTTCCCCTAACATTAATCAAGGTGTAGTGCCAAAATTAGTTGATACTAGAAGCCAGATTTGAACTCAAATTATTTTGGCAGAGGTCAATAAAGGAAAAACAGTCACGAAACCACCAAAAACATAATGCCTTTCCTATTTTGCAACATATGTACTGTACAACAAACATTCGATCCCGCTCTCATATATATACAGACTCCCTTCATCCCCGAAAAGTACAGCTCACCAATCACTGATCCCAACATGAAAAAGGGCTACTTTTCCCATATTCCCCAAGTCTGCGTTAGCGGTTGTAAGTTGCCATACACGGAATTCTCCCCATTAGGTCAGCGCAGCTGCAGAGGCATATAAACCCTCCGCTGAACTGCACTTCTTGTACTTTAGATATCTCAACCTATATTAACTTTACTCTCATATTTGAAGCCTAACTACATATTAAATACTGCTTCATTCATATAACCGTCAGCAATAGCTTCTACAAGAGATCGCTACCCTTTATTACACTAGAAGCTCCCGTCGGCAGCATAGCCGCATTGCGCTGCTCTGGCATCGGCAATGGGTGTTGCAACCCCGGTGGCTGTGGAAATGGCAATGGCATCAAGAAAGAGGACTACGAACTGCATTGTGGTCTGCTTGGATGAATTTACTAGGCCCACAAAACGAAGCGAACGGGGAGAAGATGGGAGAAACTACTTACAGATTGGACGATTTGAGTGAAGGAGCAAGAGGAAGGACTGAACAAATGTTTTAACAAATAGGTATACTGTTTGAACTGTTTTTGGAAGATGGCGCAACTTTAGGAAGATTTCGTACTCTTCTCCTCAAAAACTCGCGTGCCTCGCACTCGGATATTCCGTCCCCTTTACTCCTTTCTAGAATCGTGGAGGATTTTGGGGCTTACATGAGTCCCAAGTCTGCCAGACAGACATATCCGAATGCTTTGAAAGGGCTTATATCGATCTCTTCTAGACTTTGTGGTGTGCCTCGTGGAGAAAGGGGACTTGTTTGGGTAATTTCAGTGGTGAATTCTGCGAGCTCACCGTTGCCCACTCTCAGTCTCTCACTACATTCGGCCCTTAAATCTGATATCAGTGAAGCTGATATAGTTCCCGTAAGGAGAACTACTAAGCTAGAAAGGGAGGTGGAATCTATGGTAAGCGGTTAATCGATCAGTTAGAAGGGGGCCCGGGGGTAGGGGAAGCACGCGACTAGCAAAAAGAGTGCACTCGTCCTGGTGTTAGATTGATTGTATTCCGAATATGCCTATACCTTATCTAGAATACCAAGACATCGAAACACTCCAATACAGTGATCTGGAGATGATCACAATTGCTCAGCTAATCTTCTAAGTCTTGGCATCTTCGCAGCCTGCACAATCTCTATTCTCCGCTGATTTTGCTCCACTTTAATTGCACGGTTAAAAATGCCTCATGGGCGCTGGATGTAATATTTATGTAGTCCCTATCTATCATACCGGAACTATTGCGAATGCTGCAAGGGAAATTTGTTACCTTTAGTAGTGGATGGCCTACATCGCGTTTGCACTCAGGCTCGACTTCGCCGTTATTTTGCAGTCTCACCCAAATGCATCAGCCCCCCATGGTCGCCACTGCCTTCGTGTTGAAGGAGGTGCCACAATATTCCCTACAAACCCCTCGCCCCACTCTGTACAATACCTCCGAACGACATCTACCAACCTCCCTCTTGTCTTCTTCTTATAAAATACCTGCATATGATCCAATTCCCGAAACCACAGCACATCCAAACCATCCCCCTTCCATATGCCTTCTTTCCAGATTCCTGTTTCCCGACTCCCATTGTCGGCGCCGGTCAAATACTTCCCAACAACTTCTGTATCAACGATCGGATCCTTCCCACCCAGCACCACGGTCACACGTCGGCGCTGGATATTTTCCTTCCACAGGATGTTTTCGCTCCAAAAGAAGCGCCGGGAGAGGGTGTGCGAGACGCCCATATCTTTAGAGGCGAAGTAGGTGAGTTGGTGTTCATTAGCACGCCTCGGTTTGCGACAGACCTAAGGTTGGAAGGAGATTAGCCAGGATATACTGGGACGGAGATGGAAAGACCCCACGAAATTATACGCCACATCTGGGAGATGCAACAAGAAAGACACCGGGTCGATGAATAAGATCGGGCCGACCTTCTGTGCGATCTGTGGTGTATTAAGGGGGTATGTAGAGATAATGCTTCCATAACTTTATACGTTGTTAATGTCGGTATCAATAAGCACAGATAGGGAAAGAAGAAGGGAATTCCCACGAATGCGACACCAACACAAACTTCTTCCACTTATGCTCCTTCACTATGCATAAAATCTCTTGACACATCTCTTCTCTCCTCAACGCTTCACCTGTAATCCTGAGGCTCACAGGCATAATCTCCACCGCGATTATCCCTAGCTCTCCATCTGACCTCTCTGTTTTACTATCCACATTCAGCTCCGCTAAGAAATTCACATAGGGATAGAGGCCGATGCCGATGCCGTGGATAAACAGGATCGGGAGTTTCGTTGTGGAGGTGTGAGGGCGGTGCTAGTAGGTGAGAGTCTTTGCTGGGGACCGATAAGGGCTGAGGAGCGAGAGTGGGTGGAAGGGGAAGATGGTGGGAAATCGGAGGAGCGAAGTGCGGTGGAAGTTGAAGGAGTAGTATTGCAAGTAGCAGGATGTTAGTGTGTCTACGACAAATACGCACTAAAGAGAGGGGTAAGGATTAGCAACCCAGTTTGTGCTATAGAACGACAAATATGACTTTATCTTTCTGCAGGAGCTCACCATGTACCACGTCAAGCTCCGATGTAACATATCAACCTTGTCAACAGTCACTCTCATGCACTTTGCGCTTCCCCTTCCAGGTTCAATCTTCCTCTCTAGCAATTTCTCCATCTCTCCAACATACTCGTCTAGCTCCTCATCGTCTACCGGATCATGCTCTCCCGTATTGAAAAACGCCCACAGAAAGAAGTCCTTGACGTTGTCACGCTTCATCTCCGACAGAGGGGCGTTCAAAAACCATTTTGACAAATATCGCTCCGGGTCTGGAATATTCTCGTGGCAGCGCTGGAAGAGTAGACGGCGGTGTTCGCGAGAGACGGGTATTGGGTGAGTCGCAGCTGCCTGGAGGTAATATTTGCGCGGAAGGTAGACCAAGAAATAGAATGCTGTTTCGAAGGCAACCCAGGCTTCTAGCGCCCAAGAGACATGGAAGGGAGAGGGGCGGACTAGGTAGACGGCTAGGCAGTAGAGGATACTGAGAGGCGCGATCCAGTGAAGGAAGAATATACAGGACCGGATGAAGATGTAGTCCCAGAGTGTTGTTCCCTATCATGTCGATGATTGGCGTCGCTAGCGGCTAACGACGCAACTGCAGGCGTCGGCTAGTGAAATACTGGTGGCTACAAGTAGGGGGCCAAGAACTTTAATTACAATATTAATTCCGTATAGTGGTTCAAAGTAGGGTGATGTTGATTTCATACCTGAGCTGAAGGGATTCCTCTTCTTAACAAAGAGCATTCCTATATACACAACGACTGGCAATAACTTTGCGATCACTACGCCATAACGATCCCAACAGAAATTTGCGACGCGTTTGCGTTGGCTCTTTTCCATCTGAGAATGGGGCTTCCGCGTTTCCCATGTGAGAATACCCGGCTTCCACCTTTGCCATGTGAGAATCGGATGTTCGACATTTTCCATGTGACAAATGCCATGTAGATCTGGATCGGCGCAATTCGATTTCAATAGTTCTGTGGAGGGCGCGGCAATAAACCTTGCAACTGCAAGGTTCAAAAGGCGTTGCGCGGCAAGAAGAGGCCCCTGTATCTACAGGGCCTTACAGGGCTTTCAGGGCAAATATGCGCACTCGCACACTCACCCTATAAATATCGCTAAAGATACTGCTCCTTCAGGCCTTCAAGCACCTGAGCATGATCACTTTACTAGGCCTATCTAGCGTCCCAGGTTTAGCGTTCACCCCTGGCGGTTCCAATACTTATAGCCACGTCCTTCGTAGACTCTTGGGTGTTTTACAATAAGAGGAATCTTGAAGACCTCGGATGGGCGGCACACACTCATGTTGACAGGGTCCAAAAAGAAGGGTCCAATATCGGTAGGGGTGGTCGGAAGAGCGCAAAAATATGGTGGGGTCCCAAGGGTTTTCCGGCCTAAACCCGCACGGGCTGAGCTACTCGATGGCCCTGTAGAAATGACCTGCTTTCGGCCTCTCAGCAGCGCAAAACCGGTTTTTGTTCAGTGTGCACAAAATTACAGTGGGAGAGTTGCATGACTGGTTGTCAGGCCACCTCAACCAAAACCCCGACCATGACGCCAGCAAGCCCACAATGCCCAGGGCGTCGCGCCTTCAATTAAACTTTTAAGGGTTCTGTCGGCTGTTAGCGGTGCCCAGACTTTGAGTTCATATTTCAATGTAAGGAAAGACTTGGTCAATCTTAAAAGGAGCAATATGACAAACTATTATCACAATACTACCACATTTCTTATACGTCCCTTATCCTTTATTAACGTGTTGGTAAACACCATCCTATTATATATCTTCCCTTATTCTCCTCTGCCTCAAGAATGTCGCTTATCAATACTGCCGACCCGCTCTATTCCTCCCTTGGCTATAATTAAGCTGATATACTCCGGTGCAATTCCCAAACCACTACAGGACATTATAGCCCCTTTGCAGAAGAGTATCAGTCACAGATATCCCTAGAATATGGACAGAAATCACAGGATTACGTCGGTTCCACCAGCGAGTCATTCAAAAGGGAGCTGGATACGTGCAACTTAATGCCAACCTGGATCAATTTCTTCATGAACCAAGATTGTTACCGCCGGATGAAGTCCTAGACTCATCCCTGCGGACCCAGGTCTTCGTCATATAAGTCCTATTGATCAGTCCAAGCTCCCGAGTATAGCTCGAGTCGACGCCTATTATGCTCCCAAGCCGCAGTCCTCACAATGAACCTGTATTGCTCTGCAGCAGGTGCATATACCATAAACTCAGACGTGTTAGTGACACAACCTAAAGTCTCACTCGAAACCACCACAGCTTGACTAGTCTGCGGGAGTTGGGAGGTGATCGGAGTTGAGCACGGCCGGGTTACGACCAGACGGTATCCCTCAATGACCAAAGTTCAAACGGATCACCTATACCGAAGCCGGGAATACAACGACGAGGTGCTCAAGTCACGAGATGGAGACTCAAGACCCAAACCGAGGAGAGAAAGCCGGGAGAGCATCGAGATGCCTACTTCTTAGTTAGGATGGCATTTAGCAAACAGTTAGAATCAGAACTTGGCTTACTTATGAATATAATTTAATAGTGATTCTATGTATTTTGAAATTCTTGCAATGCGAGCAGACCATTCTCCGCGGTGTCGTACTTGTAGTTGTCTTTGTAAATGTTTCAAGAGGCTTTGCCACCATCAGTCCTGATACTGGTAATGCTGACAGGAAAGGTCTTTTCAATCTCGGGTCTAGAAGTACCTTGAGGTTAATGTGGTTATCCTCAATCAAGAGCAGTACAGCTTTCCGCTTTGCAGCATTGTAGGCACACTTAGCAAACGTTGGGGATTCATTTGCTGGTCTTGGGTGAAGCATTATTGGCTATCTCTACCGAGATATGGGTCATGGGCTTGGCCTGTGATCCATTCATCCACTCGGGGCGAGATTCCCTATATGGGCTCCGTGGCCATATGGAGGAGGTGGAATGGGTCCATGTTGGAGGCCTGCAGATTATTACACAACGATCGTAAAATATCAAAGTGATAATAGAAATCGAAAAGGGAGTAGAAAGATGTGCTCCTCGTATCCCCGTCCTTTACTCACTCGGAATGGTTGCCCTATTCAGAGTGACTCAACGCTTTGGGGCGTATCTGGCAGTGACTGGTCCGAGCTGGCAGCCTCCTGTACTTGCAGCCTGTTAGAGTCCGGATTTGAGGGGACTCTCTAGTGGAGCATGCACATCGAACGGAAAGGAGCTCTTGCTGACAAGTCACCTTTGCTTTGTTTATGCAATCTCCCTATCGTCTTAGAATTTCCATACCCAAGTCGCTATCTTCGTCTTCTTCGCCCAGCCAAATCATTACTCCTTGCGTTTAGGAGTAGATCTTTCCCATTACAAGTATTTGGTAGTTCTTCTCTTCAACAGAAGATAGGTGAATGCATATTGCATCAATCCAGAGGGTCCGAGTCATCCCTTGGAGAACCTCCACAAGGCGGAATGGAAGTTCGACGTAACCTGATAGGGATCCCATCGAGCTGGATTCCCGCCATAATTGCTGGAACGCCCATGCAAAAGATAGTGTGAATACTGAGGGGCCGTGGGAAGTTCAACAATTTCGATGTGGCAGTGGCCACGTGTGAAGTTCGGAGCGATGTATCTTCTAGACGCCCACCCCTGCAGCGGAAGTCCATAGCACTGGCCCGGGGCAATCAATGCCCGTCAGCCATCTGACCACGCAGCCTCGAATCTCAGCTCTCATTTCGAAAATCCTTTCTTAGAAACCACAATCATTCTCAACGTTTGAGCCCCTTCATCATCACATACCCGCATGGCCGAAGCCGTAATCGGCCTTGGTGCGTCGATTGCAGGTCTAGCAACCTTCGCCGCCCAGATCGTCACAGCGCTTCGGACCTACGCCTCCTCGTACGCACGCGCCGAGCAAAAAACTAACGACCTCTCAAGCGATCTCGCTCTTATTAGTTCCATTTTGACGGATCTCGGAACTTCGATATCGAAGTATGAACTAAAGTTTCATATCACGGCGAAGAATTTCGTGGAGGTGAAAAAGACATGCGAGAGAAATTTCGAGAGGTTGAATGAGGCGCTAAAGGAGGTAAAGAAAAGGGATGTGGAGGAGGAGGAAGGAGTGGGAAGGAAGGGGAAGAAGAAGGGATTGGGAGCTTGGGAGAAATTGATGTTTGCATTAGGTGGGGAAAAGGAGTTTATGGAGTTTGTCTCATCAATTGAGAGTTCAAAGTCGACTCTCCAGCTTCTTCTAGAGTCGTTTAAGTTGTTCATTTTACTGCGATTGTAGGTTTGCATTTCAGCTCCCCGGAAATTTGGTTCTTCCTTTTAGATTGCAGTTGCTAATGTCGTGCAGGCACGAGTTGAATGAGGAGCAAATGGAAGATATTAAGCTCTTGAACCGAAAGGTTCCTGTGCTTGTGAGAGGGATTCAGAGTGCTGGACTGGCAAGTTTTGAGCCCAGGCAAAGATTGCTGAACCAACACTCTGCGAATGAACCTATCACAGTGATGCATGTCAATACAGTCGATAATCCAAGCGATCGGCTTAAAAGTTTGTCAGTTGGCTCACCACGCCCCTCTGAGATCTCACGGAGGAGTACTGCACCAGTTCCAACACACCATAGCGTCTTTGCGGGTCAGCAGAACAGTTCGAATATTTTCACCCGGTTTCTGGGCCACGCAGGGGCGCTATCGAATGAGGCAACAGAAGCACCAGAAAGCATGCAGAGCCCTGTGATTTCATTCCCCCCCGAAGTCGGTCAAGCTCAACAAAACCACGAAGAGGTGCTCGATCCACCCTCGGACCCCGAGGTACCAAATGACCCGCCAAGTAATGCTGAATTTTCACCTAGCATGCTTCAGCCAGTGACAATAGCCCCAAAAGTTACCACCGACCAACAGGACGAACGTGAATCGTTTCATGGAAAGGAAAACACCTGTCAAAGGCTATCACAATCACACATCACTCAGCATGCACCTAGATCTTTACAAAGCATGATCGCAGCAGGTCAAAATCAAAGTCTGTTGGCTGCTAATCTAAATACCTCTGGGTACCTGGACGGACCCAAGGACGTTATCGGAGACCAACCTGGAGGCGATGATTGCAAAGCAGCTGGATCAAGCATACACAGAAGGTCCATTTCCAGTGCATCTGATTGCTTAGGTGAACCTCCACCTCCTCCAGCTACCCGTGAGATTTTCATTGGGGACCGCAAGTCTCCCGGCCCTCCCCCAACTCCACATGCTCGTGGGGTTCCCCCAGGAGATGGGTCAAGAGGAGGGCCTCCTCCCATTCTGAACCATCAGAGCAATCTGGAACATGGTATTCAAACAGAGCACTCTTACAAAGACCATTCAAGTGATGTAGGAAATGTCTCCAAGCCTGTGCAGAGTCGAGGCCCACCGACTTCAACCTCCCGTCTAGTCTCCACAGAGAATCGGGACCAAGACAGAAGAGATTCTCGTCAAGTATCATCAGACGACGAAATCTTCTCATCAGCATCTCCGATTTCTGCCAACGATGGAAACAACATCGAACTTCGAAATCTAGGGGCTCCACCAAGACTAAGAGAGTCATATTCTTCACATTCTCCCTCTGTCGATACGCGCTCTTTCTACGAAGGCTGGCTCCTCGAGCCCGAAACCGGTCTACGAGACGTTCCCGCCCTGACTGTCTTCTGCTGCTCTCGCTCCCCAATCCACCTCCGAACCGACGAGTCACCTATGTGGAGCATCCACCCTTTCTCCCGTGACAGTAAGCTCCTGAAAACACACCTTATTAAAGACACCCCGAAATCTACAACTAGAAATAAACCCCCAAACAACAAAACCAAAGGCTTTGCCACACCCATCCCAGACGCCAATATCATAGCGGCGCTCTCCCCAGACGCACGGAGAGAAATAAACGAGTTGTTAAAAGACAGAAATAAGCAAGCTACGAGAAAATACGGCTGGAAATTGGCTGCGATAGCTAACTATCCTTACCCATCCTCAAAATCAAAACGCTCTCTCCTGCATCCAGAAACCGCCAAGACAGAACGCTACCTCATCATTCTCAAGGGGGGCCCAAAGCTTCCAGCTGGCTCTGAAGCAGCGGTCCAGCCGATTCTGATAGGCACCGAAGAGGACCTTCCCGATCGACACAGCAATCCTTGGGCCCAGCTCGACGACTTCGAGTTCAGGCATGGGGCAGCACTAGACTTCCCCGTGATCCCAGGGGAAGAACACCGAAACAGTGCGCTGCTACAGATCAGGGAACGGTATAACGATTCCCGTGACACCGGTAAGAGGGTCAGATATCGTCAGCGTCCGAAGTCGCGATCTAGATCGTTTGTTGATCCAAGAGATGATTACGAATTTAAGAGACCTCGCAGGGAACTAGAGGGATATAATCGTGCTCATACTCGAGAAGATTATGAATTGGAGCGCTCTAGAGAGAGGCTGGAGGCGGATAAGCTCCAGGAGGTGCAATCCCGTGAGGAGTACGAGTTAGAGCATGCTCGGAAGGAGCTTGAGAAATATAAGATCCACTCTACGGAAGAGGACTATGAGCTGGAGAAGGCCAAGAAGGAATTGGTGGCCTACAAGCTTGAGAAGGAACGTGAGGCGGAGGAGAAGCGTATCAAGAAGGAGACGGAGTTGAGGAAGTTGGCCGAGGCGAAAGGAGAAAGGGAGGAAGAAGCCCGTCCGAAGATGGATTCCGAGAGGTACAAGCAGGAGCAAGATGAGAAGGCAGCGAAGGAGAGGAGAGAGAAGGAGGAAAGAGACAAAGGATATCAATACCGACTCGAGGATGACCTCCGCAAATCTGGAATGGATAGAAGAAAGATTGCTGTGGTGCTCAAGAAGGACAAGGGAGTCGATCTAGGCCGCCCGACTTATACAAGAATGTCTCGCAAGTATGTTTCGATCGAGACTCTGAATAGGTATAGAATTGATTATGAATGGGACCAGGTAAGACCAATTCTAGGGTATGTCCAAGTAAGAGCTAACCGAGATTTTCAGGACCCCGACTATATCCTAATCAAACGATGGGTTCCAGGATATGAACAAGATTTTCTGTGGGCTCACACTAAGCAGATCAGAGAGCTGAAAGAGAGGGAGCTGAGGGAAAGGGAGTTAAAGGGGAGAGCACTCAAAGAGAAGGAAGAAGAAGAGTACAGACGAAGACCTGATAATGATCTCCGCCAGAGCGCTGGACCCGTCCCTTCAAGCGCAGCGCATCTTCGGGCAAGCGGTGGTAATTGGGAGACTGCACCTGATTGGCAAGAGCCCAGGGAGTTCCCAAAACGGTCGACGAGATTTATGGAAGGTCACTACAACACATCTCATTATAGTAATCCCGCCTTCCAATCAGGAGAGTGGAGGTCTGAGACACCTGCCGTGGCGGGAAAGCCACAAACCCAGATGGACGTGTGTGATGAAGGTGAGCTGGGTGAAAAGGGAGATGGAGAAGTATTAAGTGATGAGGAAGCAAAGCGGTTGATGGCGGAGTTCTTGAGGGGGTTTAGTGCCGATAAGGTGGATCTTGGGGCTATGGAGGGAGTTGGAGAGCAGAAGGTGGATGAGGAGAATGGGGAGATAGAATAGGATGAATTATGTCAAGAGGAGGGAAATACATAAAGTAAGGATGTAGTTGATTGTTTACAATGAATCAAGTACATCGTATCTCATATCAAACCTCAGATTCTTGTCCCAACCATCTGGAAGACGAGTGCTTATGCCCTACGAGGCGAATTTGATGCGCCTGTAATACTATATTGCGAAGTGCCTAATACAGAGTCTATGAGATAGGGATTCATGGTGGCTGCATGCAGATTATACAGAGGCCGTCTCCGTATCGTAGCGAACATTATTTTGACCCCGGCCCAAGTAGACACGCCGTCAATGTCGGGACCGCTGTTGTCTGTATCCATCATATATATTCGCAGAACTTTGTCAAGAGCAACAACGGAGTCCGTCGTCATACCCATAAGTCCAAGCGTTTCCGGATTCGCCACGCCCAAAATGAGGATACTTGAATGCCGACTGGCATCAGTGTGAAGAATGAATAGAGTAAAGTAGAGTAGTGACCCCTACTTATATTCTATTCATCAAATATTTCCACTACTTATATTCTACTTATATTCTAATTAAGGTATTCATGAATATTCATGAATACTTTGAGTAGTATGCACGTGACGCGTGCACGTGCCCAGCTAGCCTTATTTGGTAAAGCTCCGGGCACTCTCGCTCTAGCGCTACCTCGCCACCCAATCAGGTAGTGGCGGCGCTTGGTAAGCGAACCAAACCTCAATAATACTTCTAAAATTACCTCGACTTGAGAACTTAATATTAATAGTAGAGGGAAAAAGGAGAAAACCCAAGATTCTGAGGAGGATAATTAGTTTATTATTATAGAAAATCTTTATTTAAGTAGCCTTATATAGGTACTAGCTTAGCTTATATAAGGATACTTAATAGGAATATTAGTTCTTTCTTTTTAAATAAATATATATTAATTTATTAAGATCACGTGACTTTCAAGTGCCTATTCATGAATATTCATGAATATATATTCTACTCTACTCAAATTTTTGGAGTTTTACGCTACTTATATTCTATTCATGAGTAGTATGAATACCTTGAGTATTTCTTGCTCACACTGACTGGCATTGAAATACAAGTCCCATGTCTTATCTTGGGACAATGGAAACAGTGGATAATGGTCCCCAAACCAAATCCTTCAATCGGGAGGAAGTTTACAATTCCAATGAGGGGCCCACGATGGGAGACATGTATCTCGAGAGGATTCTGAACTGGAGGGAAGGTTAAAGATCGTGAGGTTACCGGGAAGCTCTTGTGAGCGAAACTGCGAGCAGCTTGTAACATTCTACAGTCGACGAGGTTTTAGGCTGAGCGTATAATCGTCTCTGATTGTCTTGCCAACCCTCGGGGTGCTGTGTGTTACATTTAGCTGGGCATATTTAATATTGGAATTTTCCGATATTTGATTCTCATGTATACTACACGCTTGACAGCGATGAGAGCATTGACAGCAGCAATACTGGCTCCTGGAAGTTGGAGGGAGAAGCTAAAATAACTCCACTTTAAGACATCCAAATTCCTAACAAAATAAACCACAATAATATCGCTGAGACGGGATTGCTCAAAGGCATTGGAAAGAGTGATTTCCTAGCGCTTCCAAATTTTTGATGCGAAGCTTTAAACCGCGAACTGTCACATCTTTCATAAGGAATTCAGTCTCCTTTGATGGCATGAAAACGAGACAGATTTACGACAGCACTCCGCAAACATTTCCCTTCTCCAAGGAAGTTTGAGCCCGCTAGGACATACTCATATCGCTTGGGTATTTAATATATATTGAACGTCTCTTGAACGACATAAATAGAATTCCCAAATAGCCGAGAGGCGAGCACGACTCCTGGGTGTATCGGGAAGTCCGGTTAGCTTATATTCCAGATTCTGAGCATGGAGCGCGTGGAAGGAGAGTGACCCAAAGTTCCAGCAGGTAGCCCTAAACAGAGTGAAAGCGAGTCAGGGCTAGAATGGTTGAGTATCATGAATCAATGTTCTCTTTCTTATGCGTCGCATGGGGTTGCCGCTCTTGCTCAGGCGCTCATCACCCCCAGCTCACCTCGGCTCGGGCAACTTGCCGGAGCTCATTTCATGTGTCGCGAATCGGGATGGATCTGCGCCCCTTTTCCATCTCCTTTCGGGAAAGGCGTCCTATTAGTCAGCGCATGACAAGGGTTACGAACAGTCACCCCTTGCTGCACCGGAACTCTTGACGCGCCACGCAAACATTTTCCAATCATACTTTTTTTAAACTTATTCTGAACTCTACATGCAGTTTGAAGGCCTTTCGTATGGATTTCGTAAGATGACATGTATTAATTGATCGGTAAGGATATATCCCAAGGGCGCACACAAATACGGGCACTAACAGGGGTAGTGCAGCCCTAATGACATCAAGTTTTGTCAGCTTTTTCTGGTGAACCTTCGCTCCTTTTCATGTCGCGCCTCTCGATATCAACAACCCACAGCCTTTCACGATGCTGGGGACGTTGCGTCGCAGTTCAGTCATATCTGCGATTGGTATCTGTGTTCTAGTAACGGTCTGGCTCAGCTCGGGGCGATTACAGAACACCTCGTTTGGTTCCTCGATTGTGTCCACCATCTCTCAACACACGACTCCAACCACATCTACAGCCTCAACGGCGGCGATAGTCAAGAATAGCCATCTCCCTGCTCCAGTCTCGCTATATTTTAACCAAGTTTTCTCCCCTGACGACGCGAACCCTCATGATTTCCCTGCTCTCCGAAAAGCATGTGATCGCGCCACATGGCACGAGGATGTCTACCTGCAATGTGGCGGAATGTTCGCGGGCATGACTTCTATCATGTCAGAAGTGAAGGTCTGCTTCAAAATGGCGGTTGAAGCTGGAACGGGGCTCATTTTACCAACGATACCGATAAGAGACAACACCAACTTGCTAGAATTCAACAACAATGACGACGAAACTGGCGATGCATATATGCCATACGACCAATGGTTCGACACGAAGCACCTGGTAGAGACGCTGGGCAGAGCATGTCCGAAGATGAAGATCATTCATCCAGACCAACTAAAGCCGGACCACGCGAACAAAGTGGCCGTGAAGAACCACTGGGAGATCGACGTGTCGAAGGCTCCCGGCTATCATTTCACCGTTAGCCATTTCTGGACCGGCAACCCGTTCAGAAAGTTCTTCGACGATCAGTTGGCCAAACTAGAGAAGGACTCCAGCACCACGGGAACCGGAATCAGCGTCATCAAGATCGCTTCCCTTTTCCTGCTCTACAACATCACAAATGACCCTACAGGCGGGGATCTCAAACTCTGGAATGAACTAGCAATGCTCATCCGGTTCCTCGAGAAGCCAAGACAAATCGTCAATCAATTACTCACACATATCAACCGTCCTTATTACGGGGTGCATTTTAGAGCAGAGAACGACAGCATCTGGAATTCCGCCGAGGATCAAATGCACAACGATCTCGACGTGCTCGACAAGGCCTGGGCCAAGTATGGGAAAGGCAGCGCTTCCGGCATCAACTCCCAGAAACCGCTCGTCTACCTCGCATGCGGAGACGAAAAGCAGGTAGAAATGTTTGCTGAGGTGGGGAAAACACGTGGTTGGGAAGTGACGCATAAATGGGAGCTCGCTCAGAAGAGCGCGAACCCCACGACGCTGGAAATGATTAATGCGCTGCCGTTTGATTTTCAAGGGGCGGTGGATATGGGCATGATGGTGCAGAGCTACTTTTTCATTGGGATTAGTGGAAGTGCATTCTCAAATACAGTGGCCCATGCGAGGGATCCAATTGGACGCTATAGATGGAGTTCACTGGAGGAGGAAGATGATGGAGGGGCGAGGACTCACATTGTCAGCGACGGGGTTCAGAGTTCTTATCCTTGCTGTTTGTAGGTTAGTATAACAGAAACGAACATTAATATCACTTTGAGAATGAGGTCAAGGGTCGAGCTTGGCTTGTTTCAACTTCGACATTCGCTTGTAGTTGCGCAAGTGCCAGAGTTATGAATTTCACTTCCGTATTCGGTACGGAACCTCAATCTCCGCACCCAACGTCGAGATCCTCACATCTATTATCCGAAGCACAAATGATGAACAGCCTGTCTAATAGCCATTCCCGACTTGGCTGCAAGTAGCTCTGCTATATTACAAGTGTTTGGACGGGATTTTTCATCCCGTTTTATATGACGAGCATGGTTTCCCCGCTGGGGGGGGGAGTGGGGGTCGCTGATGTCGGGACAAGTTATTCTCCGCCGGCATTGCTTTTAAGGGGATTGTATAAATACAGGCATGAGATAACTCTCGTTCAGGTTTGATTCCAGTCTCCACTTCTTGCTCAGCTTGAATTTATTCTTGGTGAAGTTCTGTCATCATGAAAATACTCCAGATCCTCTTATTGTCGGTAGTGGTCCTGGCAACGGCTACTTCTTTTCCTTTAAGCTCAGTAACCCAGACTGAAGCCGAAAATGAGGCAACCTCAAGTGAGCTCGAGAAAAGAGCGACCTTCCCCTCAGTTTCCGGCCTCAAGTTCAACATCGATGGCTCAACTGTCTACTTCGCAGGGACAAATGCCTACTGGATCGGCTTCCTAACCTCCAATACCGACGTCGACAAGGTAATGGATCACCTACAATCCTCGGGTTTAAAGGTGCTTCGAGTCTGGGGTGCGTCTCTTCCCCTCCCTTGAAGTCCTTGAAACTGACCAAGTGCCGTTCAGGCTTCAACGACGTAACGCAAACCACCTCAGGAGTCTGGTACCAGAGCTTCGTCACAGGCCAACAGCCCCAAATAAATACCGGAGCGAACGGCCTCCAACGCCTCGACTACGTAGTTTCGTCCGCCTCTTCCCATGGCATAAAACTAATCGTCAACTTCGTGAACAACTGGGGCGATTACGGCGGTATGCCCGCCTACAACACCTACTACGGCACCACGAAAACAACCTGGTACACCAACTCCAAAGTCCAGGCACAATACCAAGCTTACATCAAAGCTATCGTAAGTCAGTATAAGGATAGTACGGCGATCTTTGCGTGGGAGTTAGCGAATGAACCAACGTGCAACGGGTGTAACCCCAGCATTGTGACGGATTGGGCTACCAAGACGAGTGCGTACATTAAGTCATTGGACTCTAATCATATGATTACGATGGGCGATGAGGGTTTCGTTAATGGTGGGGGCGATGGGAGCTATCCTTATACGACCGGTGAAGGGATGGATTTTGAGGCGAACTTGAGGATTCCTGTACCTTCCCTTAAAAATCATCCCTCTAATCTGCTTTGATGAACCAACAATCTTTGTAGGATATCAGTTTTGCGACCTTCCATCTTTATCCTTCTTCCTGTGAGTACATCCTACTTCTTCTCCACCAGAGAAAAATGGGAGTTAACAAGTACAGGGAGCGAATCGACAACCTGGGGTTCTCCCTGGATCGCCAACCACGGCGCTATCTGCGTTAAAGTCGGCAAGCCGTGTATCCTGGAAGAATATGGCGTTACCACTAACAAAACAGCTGTTGAAGGGCCACGGCAAGCTACGGCGCTAAGCACGGCAGGCATTGCCGGTGATATGTACTGGCAGTACGGGGATACGCTAAGCAGTGGGAAGACGTCGGATGATGGGAATACGATTTACTATGGGTCGAGCGATTTCAACACGCTGGTTACGCAGCACGTTTCTAATATCAAGGCAAAGGGTTAGGGGGAGAGTGGATTTGAGAGGAAGTTTGGGGACGAGGAGCTGCTTGTGCCTAGTTGGCCCTTTATGGCAACCCTCTTTGAAGAAATAAGCTATTATCAAGAATCCCATGCATAAAGTTTTGGATGTGTCGCCTGAACATTTTGCTTGAGGGCTCTTTCTCCAGGACCATTTAACCTCTGGCAATTGTTGTATGTCCTCCGAAGTGAAAAATCAGTCTCGTTTATAAAAATTGGGACCTATAACTCATCTTTCACTCTTTTTGAAGTTGTGACAAACACCAGCTACGTGGAACCTCAAGCAACTGGAAAATCTTTCTTTTTGAATTGCGAACTATGGACGGCATTCTATTTCTTGTAAACTCGCATCGTCATCTCGTAAAATCTCCGGTCAAATGAGGTTATCCCTCGCCCATTTAGACTAACGCAGCTCAATTCCCCGCTCCAAGAGCACCATATATCTTGCTTTCGATATCAACCCACATCCCTAAAACCTTCCCATCTGCAAAAGGTAGGATTTGTGTGCAAATTATGCCAGCAACCCCGTTCTCTCTATCGCACCACCACCATAGGTTCGGCAATCCGGCCCAGAAACCGGCCCCGGTTGATCTCCCAGTTGCACCCCCATTACTCAGCATCATCGTGAGCCCCCAACCTTGAGCCGGATTTCCAGAAACCGGGTAGATTTCCGGGATAACATTGGTCAAGTCCGGCTTCGCGGCTGGAATTCCTTGCCTCCCAAAGTTAGGAAACTTCTCGATTTGGTTGCGAAACATTTCTTCGACGGTTGTTTCAGCCAAAATTCGGGCACCTGTAGTGGGCGAAGTTCCGTTGTTGAGAAGTGTCGCAAGGATCTCTGTGCTGGTAAGATAAATGACAACGGAGAAGGGACAGTGGACCCACGGCAATAGTCTCGAGGTTTAGCAAAGCAGCCGGCCCCGCCACTATTAAAGCAGGAGGAGATTTCCTCTGCAGATTCCACCACCAGTGGCCGTCGAAGTGGATGATCCCGACTCATCAAGGGTCCGTCCGGATTTCGTTGGTTCATGTAGGCTAGCTTGCTCTTCATGGACTTTGTTGGAATCATGGAAATGTCGCTGAGACCTAGGGGCTTGAAGATATTCTCGTGAAGGTATTCGTTAAGGGATTTTCCGGTGACTCGCTCGAGGGCAATACCAGCCCAATCTATGTTGATCTGACATTGTTATTAACCAATATTCGTCCAACCTGGATTTGGACTTACGCCGTATTCCCATGCCTCTCCTGGTTGGTTAACCAACGGTTGCAGCATGTCGTGCATACTTCCGGAGAACTCATCGTAGCCAACAGGAAAACTATAATCTCGAAGCTTCTCATTGAAGAAAGTGTACCCGAATCCAGCTACAAAAATTCAGAACCATATCAGTCTTTGCATGGAGTCCCATCACGTACCAGTATGGGTCAAGAGCATTCGGAGAGTAATCCCCGTTTTCTTCTCCACCAATGTACCGTCATCTTGCAAAACCTTGACACTTTTCAACTCCGGGCATAACTCCTCCAATTGGCTTGAGTTGTCCAAGGCGATTTTACCTTGTTCCACGAGCTGCAAAAGAGCTATGCCAACAATCAGCTTGGTGCAAGATGCAATCCAGTATACATTGTCCTGGGTCATTGGCTCATGGCTATTGACGCCACGCTTGCCTGCGCAGTGAGCAAAAAGTTCTTTGCCATCTCGCCCTACAATTACAACGGTCGCACCTGGGATGTCCGCCTTCTGGTCTGTGCAGGCGGTATCGACAGTTTGACGGAGGGAATCAAGCACTGCCGTAGATAATTGCACCATTTTAAGAGTATTTCAGAGATGAGAAGTTGCAGAAACGAGATATCTGATACAGAAGGTAGCATGGTAGATGCCACACTTGCAGCTGCAGGGTATTATGTGACAATAATTGAATAGACTTCGCAACGAAAAGTAGTCAGATCGTGATCCGACCCCATCTCATGGTTCCTTCTTTGGGAACCGCAGACCTCCTTGGCCAACGGCTCCGATGGAGATTCGGAGCCGTCTGTGTTTTCATGCAGCCCGCTCATTGTGGAGCTGCAGATCTCTAGTGTCAGCGCCGGAACAGGTTAGCGTGCACAGATCATGCAGAATTCAGGGGACCCCGCAATCTTCCTCGAGACTGGGCCTTGTTGAATCGAATTTTAACATAGCGGTTGGAATGAAGCACGGCTTCGTGCGGTTAGTGCCGTTGAGAATGACTTCGCAACTGGGCAGAGGGCATGGCCATGCTTTCTGAGCTGGGGATACGAGTATATGGAATATTGCGGTGTGCTCCGCTTTGCCTTGCCCCCACCCCCTTTTCTAAACGAGATACGATAGGACGTGAGCCCAGCCGAGCATCCGAGGTGACCCTGGCTTTTCCCCGCATTCTCACCTCCCCTGTTCCTCCTGCGCCCCCCGCACTCTAACCCCTCGAGCCCGAAACCTGCTCCCTCCTCTATTATCTGGGGACCAGAAACGGAGCCGGCGCCATTCCTCCATGCTTCAACAACTCAACTCACGATGACGAAACGAGCATTGCAACAACCTCTACCAGCGTGGGAAGATTCAGCTGTGGAACGAGTACTTTGGGGAGATCAGTCTCTTCCCGGCGTGGTATCAAAGTCTGGTCGAAAGCAGCATCGAAGCTGTGATCAGTGCAGGAAAGGCAAAAAAGGGTGTGATGCCATCATTCTGAAAGATTTCGGAAATGATTTGGCCGATGGTAATGTAGAAGGTAGCTGGGGAAGAGGTGTGTTAGAGTTCCATTCTGATTGCTCTTGTGGGGTTTCTGACATCACCTAGGAACATTTCCTCTGGGTCCATGCTCGAACTGCACAAAAACTGGCAAGGATTGCACCTTCGTATGGCTTTTCTCACAAGAGAGAGACCGTGTCCGACGAACGAACAATGGGCCAGGACCATTTTCGAAGCGCACCAAGCTGCGAGCAACTGAAATGCAGTCAGATATTCCGAGCCTGGGCAGTCTGTCATCGAATGGTTTCCGAGAACGTTCAAACTTTCTTTCCGCATCGTCCTCAATTCCCAAAAAGGTGCCACGTGCAGGCGGTGGACAGAGCGAACTCTCCTCTGTCGTCAGTCTTGACCACTCAGCCAGGCCTCCTTCGCCACGATGGGACTTCGATGACATTTCGGAAGGGGATAGTGTGTCTGCAAGTCCCAAAACTTTCTCCAGCACATCGCAATCTTGGAACAGAAGGACCTTTGATGGAGAAGAAATCGGCCAACCACTCCCATTCTCAAATTTCGTCTGGAGTGAGCCCCTCAACCCTGAGCCATTCCACGATAAAAACTCAGAAGGGGCAAATAACCCAACAGGATTCAATTTTTCCGCTGCCTCTGACATTTCTCAAATTGGGGGGAAACAACCTCGCAACTCAAGGCGAAGGAAACGACCATTCCAGACACCAGCCGATATCTCTCCTTTCTCCATATCAGAAAACATGGCAACTTTCACCAATAAGAGTCTTATGACTAAGAATTTGATGAAGGTGTACCATGATAGCTTTGAAAATGCACTATCATGCTGGTTGACAGAGAGGACGTGTCCTTACGGCAACCGAGCATTAACTTCAAACTGCGCTGACTCAATGGACCCATCAATGCTCCGCGAATGGGGCCCTGATTGGTCAAACAGAATATGTAGACGGGTCATCAATCTTGATCGGAAGTCTGCTGTCGTTCGGGACAGGCCGCTGACCGGGTCCGAAGAGAAGGCAGCTTCTAGCGCACTAAACCTTGCAATCATGGCTTTTGCAACTCAGTGGTCTCAGTCGAGCCAGCGGAGCCAAGAAAAATTTCAGTCTGTGAATACGAACAAGGCCCCATGGGAGGGGACCAACGATCTCGTCAACGACGAGGCGCAAGGCACCGCCAGCCATCATTTGGACGACTTTATACCTCCAGCAATAGAGTTTGATAGGATCATTCAAGAATCACTTTGGGCTCAAGCAAGACGTGCAATTCAAGATGCAACACATGTGGAATCATTTCGGGTTGTTTTTGCTCACATCATTTTTGGTCTTACTCAGAAACCACTGGGTGTCGACCAGCACTTCCCCTCCCCACGGTCAAAAGTCAGAAAAAGATCTTCAAGAAGTTTACACACAGCTTTGACTCCAGAGAGTGAATATAACGAACAGAGTGGTTCCACGTCGGCGGCCACGGATCGGGAAGCGCATACCAGACTCGTCGGGGAGATCGAAGATATTATTGATCGAGATGGACCCCCGATTTTCCTAGAACAAGGACTTCGCCACATACATACTCTCCGATGCAAGGTGGATGGAGGGAAGGTACAACGATGGAAATCCAAAGACGAAAGCGGACGGATAAAGACGGGAGTTGACTCCATCTCTGCACAGCTTACCCAGGAAGACAGAAAAACTGTGGATCTGCTTTACTGGCTCGGAGTTATGTTCGACACCCTCTCAGCCGCAATACATACCCGGCCACTCGTTGTATCCGATGAAGACAGCGATATACATCTCGAAGTTGCTCCTGATTCAAATTATCTATGCCGGCACGGCCATGACGGCGAAAGCAGTCAAGCCCTACTGATGGAACAACATATTCCGGATCGTTTAATGCCAACAAGTACTTCAAAGCTCTGGAGCATGTTTTTCTTTCAAGAACAAGCTCTTCGTAATAGGACCCCACCTATCCGCTGGCCATGTTCGTACCAGTCTGCAGCAACTGCGCTCGCCGATGCTGCTCCCATCAAAGTCTTGCTCTTCCGCAGAGTCACACGAATACAAACCTTGATATCAAGACATGTCCACGGAGAGCAGCTGGAAGAAGCCATAAAAGACGCTCTCCATGTGCATCAATACTGGAATGCCTTGTATGGACCTTTTATCCTCGACCTCGTCGCTCATCACGACCAACTTCCCGCTCGGATTCAATCTTGGTACATCTGCCTAACCGGACACTGGCACCTTGCAGTACTTCTGCTCGCCGATGCCATCCAAGCTATCGACACCGGCGGCCAGTTAGGTCTCGAATCTCAGCGTCGCTGGCGCGAATCATGTGGCCTGGTCACTGCTCTCCGCCGACGTACATCACATGCTGTCGCCGACCTGGCAAGATGTTCCTGTCCGAGGGACGATGCATCTTTCCCTGACGCAGGCGAATTCCATTATGCGATGAATCAAGGAGCCCTACTTACCGAGCCGTGGACTGAGGTCTTGATTCGTGTGTTTGCTAAAGCTGGAGCTTTACTCCTGGCCGATGCAGCAATGTCTAAGTATGGAACTGATCCCGTGAAAGGCTGCAAGCAGGCCTTAGAGTGTAGTGAATCGTGCGTTGAAGCTTTGTGGTACTTGGGCAGAAAGTCTGATATGGCGTTCCTTGCGGCCAAAGTGTTAACAAAGGCTTTGAAGGACGCCGGGGAGAAGATGGTCACTGCGGAAATGTCCCGGATTTCAGAAGAATGGCTTGAACCTGGATTCTCGGTGGACGACGACTTCTCTTTTTCTGGATTGTCAGCTGAGATGAACGGTTTTGCTCAGACAGGTGGAGATGCTAAGTTTGGATTCTTAGAGGAAGATGCAATGCAGAATTTTCACGTTGATTTGATGGGCGTTGATCATTTCGAGTCACTTATATGACATCTTCGTTCCTATGAGTAGCATACAAAGTCGTGCCATTGGAGTATACAGATTCAACTTAAATCAAAAAGCATTCATTTCTCCTTTGATATGGAGCCGTGAGGTTTCAATATCAAATATCTAGATCCCTGTTCTGGGACCACTCTTTGCACGGGTTTTTGCTCCGTTGTCAGTACAGTATTTCGATCCGCAGATTTGAATCGTTCAATCCTGCTCCGCAGTAAAGGTGTAAGGGAGGAGTCGGCTCCGCTCTTTACGATATTGAGGCGGTTCCGGACATGAGTGCGGCACCGCAAACTAGCTTGAGGCAGACTTTTCAGCCGAATACAGCGTAGGTAAATTCAGATCCCCGCGACTAGGCTTGGCGATGTTCCGTACTGAACGAAACGTGCCAGGACGTTCCAGGGGTTTGTGATAGTCAGGAACGGGTAGTATTAGATTGATCCCCTCGTTCCTAAGCGAGGTAATCCCTATATACCCTCATTTTTTTTTAATAAAGGCTTTTATAAATTACATTATTAAGAGGCTAAATACTATTATATAACCTTTATAAGAAATAAGAAAGGCCTTTCTAAAGCTATTATATTATTATTATTATTATTATTATTATTATTATTATTATTATTATTATTATTATTATTATTATTATTATTATTATTATTATTATTATTATTAATTATAATAATATTAGACTTTAATTAGTTTTATTATATAATATTTATTATTTATTAATTATAAAAAAAGAACTAATTTATATTAATATTAGAAGTATTACTAGTATTAAAAGAAATAAGCCTTTAAATTTATTAATTATTATATAATAAATATAATTAAAAATAAGAAAATTATTATTAGTTTAGATTTATAAAACTAGAAATAAAAAAGTTATTTAGGGCCAAATTATTTAATATATTATTATTATATTAAAAACTTATAAGATATAAAAAGTAATAAAAAGCTCTTTTATAAATAATAATATTAGTAAAGAAAAACAGAGAAAATTAAAATAAAATAAAACTTAAATAATATTTAAAAAGTTCTTTAATTATATAAGAGTTTTAAAAATTATTTTAAAAAAAATACTACTTGTTTTAATATTTTAAATACTTTTTTATTTCTTATTTTAGCTTATTTTATAATAAATTTTTTGTAAGGCACATAATAGCAGGGTAATATACAAGTAATTAAGGTAAGTAAGCTATAGAGTAATACTTATAAGTATAACTAATTCCAAGAATTAATTCTAATAAAAGACTAATTAATACCCCTTTCTAAAGCTAGGAGTATCTCCCTATATATTCCCTAGTACTTAGCCAAACCTGCAAAGCGCTTTACTTAACTAGGAAACATGATCCCATATAATCTGTATAATTCCGATTACCTGTATAATTCCGATTACCTGTATAATTCCGATTACCTGTATAATTCCGATTATAAGCTTTACCCAAAATAGAGAACTAGATCTATAATATCTAATACCTATTTATATGCTATTACGTGTATTTATTATATTTTTAAAAGAATTCTTTTTAGTTTATTACTTATTAAAGAAATTAAAGAAATATTAATAATTATAAATAAAAGCTTTATTAAATATAAGCCTCTTATTTATTAATATTATAAGAATTTTAAGAATTTTAAGAATTTTAATTCTTTTATTTATTTTTATTTATAAGTTATATAATTTAATTAAAGATATTAAGCTTTAATAACTTTTTATTATATAAGAAAGAAATATTATTATTTAAATAATAATAAAAAACTTTATTTTTATATTTTAAAATTAATTTATATTTATAAGAATTAAATTTATATATTTCTTAATTAATTAGTTTAATATATTATATATAAAAGCCTAAATTATAAATTAATAATATAATATAATAAAAAGAATAGTTTTAATATAATATTTATTAAATTATATAAATTTATTACTTTTTTAAAACTTAGCTTATATTATATTTAACTAAACTTATATAAGAAAAATAAGAAACTTATAATTATTTTTTAAAGATATTTATTATATAAAATATATAATTTATAAAAATAATATTTCGTTTTATAATAAATAATAATAAAGAAATTTATAATTATATAAAGCCTTTTAGGTTTTATAAAATGAAATATTTATTTATTTAATATTAGTTATTTTATTTATAATCTTTATTTACTTAATTATATAAATAAATAATTTACTAATATAAGTTATAATATAATATAATTTATTAAATAAACTTAAAAGCTTAAACTTTACTTTTTTTTTATTTTATTATAATTATTTAATTTATATAATTTAAATTTCTTTATTTTAATTAATTTAAAAAATTAAAAGACTTATATAATAAAATTAATAATATAGCTAATATAATAAATTTATATATATTTTACTTAATATTAAGCTCTTATATTATAATATAATTAGTTTAATCTTTTTAAAAAAATTTAAAAAGTAATTTAAATATATTTAAATATTTAAAGAAATATAAACATATAAAATTATTAATTAAAAAATTTCTTATATAATATTCTTATATTAGACTTAGAATTCTTTAATTTTAATAAAGGAAACAAAATAAGAAATAAGAAATATACTTTTATAAGCTTTATTTAAAACGTAATAAAATATATAAAACTCTAGTTATTTTTTTATATTATAAAAGAGGTTTTATATAATAATAAGAATAATTAAGGCTTTTATAAGAATTCTTTAATAAATTTATAAATTAAACTTCTTTATATTTTTCAGTATTTAAGCTTATTAATAAAATATTTTAGTTTATTAATTAACTTTTTTCAATTCTTAAAGATAATAAGCTTAAGAGAAATAAGTAAATAATAATTTTAAATATATTTTTTAAAAGTTATATAATAATAAAAAAGAATTAAATTTTTATTAAATATTAAATAATAAATAGTATTATTTCAAATAATCTAAAAAAGCCGTTTATTTTAATAAATAAAATATTTTAAGAATATATTTAGAGTAAAATAATTATATAAAGAAAGAATAAAGAAAGAAAAATGAAATTATAATAAAATTAATAGTAATTTAATACTAGTATTACTTAATACTTATTAATACGGTCTATAATATTTATAAAACGTTTTAAAGGCCTAAAATCTAATATATTTTATTATATTATTAGTAAATTTAATATATTTTCTTTATTAATTATATTAAGTTAATTAATTAATAAGAATTATAAAGCTATTAATATTCTTATTATTATTACCATTATTATTATTACTATTATTACTACTATTATTATTACTATTATTTCCTAAATTACCTTAAATACTTTTAATATTCTTATTTAATAAAAATATTGCAATTTATATTATAAACTTATATATTTTATTTTCATAATTTGAATATAGTTTTAGAAAGGTTTTTATTAAAGTTTTACAAATTTTGAGAATTAGGAATAGCTATAAAGGTCGAGGCTATAAGTCTTGTAATTACTAGAGCTGTTGCCTGATAGCGAGGGAAGCACTATAATTATAGGGCCTTACAGGATTTCCGGGGCCAAAATATAGCGTGCAGGCCTTATAAACATCGCTAAACCTACTCTTCTACAAGCTATAAAGCCTGTAAGGTTCATTGCATTAATTAATTAGCTAGCTTAATGCGGCGGGTAGAGAAGGTATGTCAGATTTACTAATAACACAGCAGGATATATCAGATTTTAGGCCTGTTCCAAGGTGGATCATCTCCAAGTTTGCCCGCGACCGACATGCTACAAGCCTAACTTGTTTCCAGAATAGTAGAGGCAATGTGACTGGTAGCGGCTCCGAACCTATCCTGCAGCCGGATCCTGATACCTACCACTGGTGGGAGGTACGAACGAGTATTCAATCGCGGCTCCGGAAAGGTATACAGCGTGGCGGTAAGGATAGAAAGTGGATCAAATTGATCCAAAGGGCCTCTGCGCTGGATCAGGGAGGAACTGATATAGTGAGCATTTCCCAACTAACCAGAGCTTTTATTCTGAGCAATCAACACATGTTTTCTGTCGTCATTCGATCAACAAAACAAAACATTATTTCTTCCTTTGCAAGCCAAGCCACACAATCATCCGTCAATATGGGTTCCATCGATAAGGGCATGAAAACTGAACTGACACAATACTCCCACCGTCGTAGCAACATCGGACCCTACGCCGATGATTTGGACGTTGATGTTATTATTGTAGGAGGAGGTTTCGGTATGCATTATACCAGCACAACTTCAATGGCCCGCAAAACTCACATTAATCTTAGGTGGTGTTTTCTGTCTCAAAACACTCCGAGAGCATGGTCTTCGGGCAGTCATTTATGAAGCTGGCACCGACCTCGGCGGAACTTGGCGCTGGAATCGCTATCCCGGAGCCCGAGTTGACTCTGAGGTACCTGAGTATCAGTTCTCTTGGCCAGAGGTCTACAAAGATTGGACATGGACTACCAACTACCCGAATTATCAAGAGCTTCGAGCTTACTTTGACCATGTGGACAAGGTTCTCGATATCAAGAAGGATTGTTCGTTCGAAACAGTTGTAACTGGTGCGCAATTCAAACCTTCTGAAGGGAAGTGGCACGTCGAGACCGAAGACGGTCGTGTGGCAAAGGCAAAGTATTTCATTGTCGCCGCTGGATTTGTACGCATGCCAGACTCTTTCCATGCTGGACCCTGACTTACATTTGTAGGCATCCAAGCGCTACATCCCACCCTTCAAAGGCCTTGATAAGTTCAAGGGGGTCATTCACCATTCTTCTTTCTGGCCCGAGGAAGGTGTCAACGTTAAGGGAAAGCGTTGCGCGGTAATTGGCACGGGCGCCTCTGGGGTTCAAATTGCCCAGGAATGGGGACCCGAAGTCGGCGAGATGAAAGTGTACCAACGGACACCCAATCTGGCAATCCCTATGCAAAAGCGCATGCTCACCCCAGAAGAACAGAATCTCGGAAAGCAGTGGTACTACCGCCTTTTCGAATACCGCGAAAAGTGCTTTGGTGGATTCTTCTACACTCTGTATGAGAAGAATACATTCGATGATTCCCCAGAAGATCGTGAGGCATTTTACCACAAGCTGTGGGACTACGGAGGATTCCGCTTCTGGATTGGCAACTACAAGGACATGCTGGTAAATGCTGATGCCAACAAGGAAGCATACAATTTCTGGGCCAAGCATGTAAGAAATCGAATTGGCGACCCCAGGAAGCGGGACATCTTGGCACCACTGAAGATGCCGCACTTCTTCGGCGTAAAGAGGCCCTGTCTGGAGCAGAACTACTACGAGCAATTCAACAGGCCCAATGTTGATATCATCGACATCAAGAACAACCCCATTACCGAGTTCACCGAGACAGGTATCAAGCTCGAGGACGGCAGCCACGAAGAATTCGACGTCGTCGCCATAGCTACAGGTTTTGTCAGACTCCCGAACCACCCCCAAGATATGCATTGTAGCTAATATTCAAGACAGGATATCACAACCGGTGGCATGACCCACATGGGCCTCAAAAGTATCAACAACACCAATCTCCATGATGAGTGGAAAGCGGCAGCGAACACCTACCTTGGCATGACGGTGTCCGGGTACCCGAACATGTTCCATCTCTATGGTCCACACGGCCCAACACTTCTTTCAAACGGTCCAAGCACTGTTGAAGTTCAGGGCCGGTGGATCGTCGACTGCATCCGCAAGATGGAACGCCAGAGCATCAAGTACATCAACCCCACAACGACGGCCACCAAAGTGTGGAAGCAGCGCATCAATGACATCAGCAATGCGAGTTTGTTTCCGACAACGAAATCAACGTACATGGGTGGAAGTATGCCTGGGAAGGCATTTGAGCAGGTTAACTATGCTGGGGGGATTCCGAACTACATTATTGAATGTCGGGAGGCTTTGGATGGGTGGAATGGGTTTGAAGTTGTGAAGGCATAGAATGTCACTGCATGTCATTTACTACAGAAAACGACTTCGCCAGTCAGCTTCGCCAGAGTTTACTCTGCCTAGCCCTCACTGCAAACCTCGCTCTCCCAGCCTTGATTCTTGTCACTGTCACTCGTTTCTAATCCCTCCAATGATGACTTCCGCAATCTCCACCCTCCATCTTAAGTTGGTGGCTCGGAATAGTTCCTTTTAACACAAGATGTCCACACTATCCTTTGCGAATCCACTTTCCTCACTCCCGGTTATCCGGGTTTCCGTCGAAGCCTCTCCTTCTACACAATTCACTAAGTTCTTCTCCCATGTACATCGACAACAGAATAACCCTCTTTTCTCATCTCCCCCAACCATACACTCCGCACAAACTCCATGTCTACATTTCGCACATGCACTCGCAATGTTCAACTTCCAACCTGGACACCGTCTATGCTTGCAGGGACTACAAATCCACACCTCTCGGGTCTCAAACGTCAACACATCCTCGAAATTCGTCACTTGGGTTAGATCCCCTCTCTGACAGTCCTGGCAGCGTTCCTGGTGACATCTGTGGCAAAACTCGAACCAGCCTTCGTCAGAGTCCCATCCATAGTCCACTTCGTGGCCAGAGAAGTGGTCGGATATTAGGGTGTTGATGGAATGAACATCTGAGAGGGAGATGGTCTCTTCGCCAAGGGTTCTGAGACAGTAGGCTGGGTGGGTGCAGGTGCAGTAGGGGTGGTTGCATGGAGGTGGAAGCTGCGGCTTCGCTGGTGGCGAGCTGCTGACGAAGCCTTTGAGTTGTTTTAGCATTTGAACAAACTTTATTCTTGAGTGGGATATTGATTAGAGATGGGGAGGGGGATATCGTATCATGAGTAAATATTTTTATGTGAACTTCAGGCGCAAATTTGTAGTATGACTAACCTATTTTTGATAAAAATAGATGATCGTCATGTCATGCTTCTAGTTTTCGAAAGTACGAAGAGACCAAATCCATCGTTCAAGTGAATGGTGTTTCATTCTTCGCGCTCTGGAAAGAGCAAATATGCTCGAGTCATTGTTCTATTATAGATTGATGATTGACACTTACCACATTCGGGAATCGAACCATGACTGATTCACTTTATTAGTCCCCAAACCCGTGAAGCATAAAGACCCCTCGTCAATCCAGAGTCTCGTTACAAACTCCGCCACCCTCCAAACACAACCTTAAACAGTCCACTCCGCCAGATCACAAAGAAAACACATAAAATATTCATCCCGCACTCTGAATATCCTCTCGAGGAAATACCCCCGATTACATCGATCCAAACTCAGCAGCCGCAAAGCACGCACCTGTCAAGCAAAAGAGCGGTAAATCTGATAACCCATATTTATGCGTCAAATGCGCCAACTGTGGCCACAAGCCGCGTGCTTCATATGATGAATGTATATTTGGTATCAATATGCTCGTCCCGAAGCGGAAGTGCTGTAGCTGTGGAAACAAGGAGAAGATCTGAAATGAGGGTCAGTGGGTGGCATGGAAGTTGAGAAACCCGGCGATATTGGACTTGAGATTGGGGGTGAGGAATGGCTAGAGGAAGTGAGAGTGATTTTTCTGGCGCTTAAAGCAATCCGAAGATTGCGGCATAAAGCGACGGGATCACAGGGCATTTGTACCTCAAGTTGACTTTCAGGCCACTTTCTACTACACTCAACTACTAAAGCCCCCTATATTTCCAGGCTACTCGTCTATAAGCACCCTGCAAACTGTGAATAAGGGGTACTACACCTTTAGAAGGCATATCCCTTGTACTTACAGGGGCAGAGTCGCCACTCCCAGCTAGTGATATCCTCTTGAAGATGTTCTACGACTTTGTAAATGTCTCACAGCCGTGATTGAGAGCTTCAAGCCCAGAGCTACAAGGCTTATAGGGGGTGTAGTACCTTAAATCACACCCCGGATACGCTAAGCCCCTTACGCGAGCGTAAATGCCCCGTAATCCGGTCACTTTATACCGCAATCTTCGTAGCAAAGTCTTGAACACTTTTCTTTGCATACTAGTCGATGGTTTTTATAACGTCGTTGGCCTTATCGCGCCGCGTTTGTGATACGAGCATGATTCCAGTCGCTCCGTGGGTTTTGAAATTTCGGGGATGGGTGGGGATAAAAAAATGGAGATCGGAGAATGTGTACTTCGAAGTTCGTACAGTACATGTGTGATTCAATCTTTCACATCCCGGATAAATTATACCACCATTGCATAGCGCCGGCTGCACTTCATAATATTTCAAGGTTCGGCCTTGATTTCGCCAATCCACAAAGATCCCTCTCTAAGAAAGTTGCATTCCCCGATTGCCTGTATTCTATGTGAGCCAGTAGTTGAACCATATTATCAGTAGCGAGAATACCCTTGTATTTTCCATAATATGGACCAACTTTCCTTACCAAAAACCACTCTGTGTCTACTAGCTTTAATGATACAGACACCTGTCCTCGTTCACACACTCCTTCCATTCCCGACCTCCTCCCAACGGCCCGCCAGGCGCCAGCTAGGCATACTCCTAGCATATGCTTAATATTTACTACTAAGAAGCATATAAGTAAGTTAGAATGCTTTACTATTACTATTACTCAAGCATATGCTTGGTATATACTGAACCTCTATTACTAATAAGCACATAAGTAAATTAGAATATATCTGGCTTTATTATTACTATTACTCAAGCATATACTCGGTATATGGAACCCATATACTTAGCATATGCTAATCCTAATCCGTAGGGCCTTTACGCTTTAATATATCCCAATGCGGGGGGCTCTCGCCGCCCCCGAACCCCCCGGACTGACCCTAAGCCCTGACCCTAAGCCCCCTCGCAAGCTCGGGACTAACCCGAACCTTTCTAGCCCGTATAGCCCATAGGCTATACATATGCAGAGCACATGCCAAAATATAACTGCCACAAAACCTATTCATTTACTCGGCTAGCTGTCTCGCTTCCTTAAGCGATACTATGGATAAGTTAAATAAACGAGCATATGCAGAGTTTGATAATATGGTTCAACTTAAGCGATACTATGGTTCAACTTAAGCGATACTATGGTTCAACTGAAACCCCGTTCTGTGTCTGCGGTGAAGGTAGGAAACACTTTATCGGTTCTCAGCAACAACTTGTCCCACAACGGAAACTCAGAGTAGGCAAGGTATCATAAATGCTTCGTGAATCCAAGAGCAAAAGTAACTTGAGAGTCTATTGAGCTGTATGTCGGGACACACTCTTTTGCCTTGATCTCTGTTGAAATTAGGGGCCTGAGGCCCCTAATAGGCTTAGTAAGCCCTGGAACCGAACGCCATGGGGCTGTGCACTAGCTTAATACCCTGTCCAGCTGGAATACCCTGTATAGCTGGAATACCCTGTACGGCTGGAATACCCTGTCCAGCTGGAATACCCTGTATAGCTGGAATACCCTGTATAGCTGGAATACCATGTACGGCTGGAATATCCTGTATAGCTGTAATCGGTTCAGCTGGCATAGGGATTTAGTACATGTGACTTAGGGGGTTCAGGGCTATATATACGGGCTACTTACCACTGTAGAACAGCAGTCAATTCAGTACGTTTTACTTGGTTTACATTGCAAGCACGTGACCCTAGCTATATTGCTTTAGCTAGTTCAACAATCTCATCGGTTGACTCCACGTCACGTGACTGCCCCTTTCGAGCGTTCGGACAGAAAACGGCTGTGATGATTGTGGACGGCACGAGAAAGAAATGGATACAATGCGATAGAGTTATTTCTGGCTGACTCATCGTTTCAACCACCCGGAGGGTTAGAGCGAGGCCCAGTAGTGTCACATTGGATAAATTTGGTCGGCCGAGGGTCAGACGAAATCAGCGACGTTTTGTCCGTCCTTCACCCACCTCTGTCAGCACACCACTTGAGGGCATATGATTCTAAAGCCCAGCCATTTACTACAAGGTGGACGAAATACGAGCTAAATGGCTGTCAGCGTGACTGTGCTAGGGTGCAAGAGTGTGTTTCTTGGTGGAAATGGTTACGACCGCTTCCAGGTCATGGCTTCACCCGTGAAACGCCCGCTGCTGATGTGCCTGACGTACAGATGACTTTATGATCGACTATTACCTTTGCTATATAATCTGTCTAACGGCTTTGGGTTGAGCTTATATTCTAGCACAAAACATCTTCTTACGAGCCTTGAGTCTTCCGTACGTATTGGAAAGAAAATCAGTGTGCCCCTGCCAACCCCTGCAACACCCCTGTTTTGCTCGCGTAGCATTCCTAAAACATGGGTGTACGCCCAAAGGGGAAATGACAGGAGGCTAACTCTGATTAGAATGCATAAGTACCTTCTCTGGGTAAACCCTAGAACGGGTGCTTATGCAATCGAGAATTGGATTCCCTTCTAGCCCCCTTCCCCCGCATTTCGCAAGCTAATTTTTATAATTTTATCGTAAAGTAAGGCTTTCTTTTTCGGCTATTCTTTAGCCCCCGGTATACGTACAAAAGGTGGGCAAGACGCACGTCTCTCTGTCCTTTACTTGTAATCGCTTAGGAAATATATCCTCAAGGATATACGTACGCTTCCCGTACTTAAGGTATAGGTATATATACGCTCCTGTAAGGCGCCAAAGGCGCCGAACACCGTGCCCCTGGCCTCCTAAGCTCCTAGTATTAGTAGAGAATATACTTTAAATATAGATATGCTTTATATACAGATATGTCCCGTACGCAGTTGTGCCCCACACGCCGTTCGGCGCCTTCAACGGGGTGCCCCTAGCCTATTAAGGTCCTAATATTAGTAGAGAAATAAGCTTTAGAACTCCCAGAACTAGCGCTCTGTCTAGTTTCTTCTCAACGAAATCAATCAAGTTCCTTGTTTCTACAGCATACATTTTAGATAGCAGCCATGTCGGACAACAACATGAGGGAGTTATCTCCTGAAGAGAAAGAATCGACTATCTCGACTCCAGCGACTTCAATGAGCCGAATCCAAACAATCAGAAGGCAGAGCAATTAGGTCCGGACGAGGAGAGAGGGGCTACCTCCGAGCTTGGAGTTGAGTATGCTAGTGGATTCAAACTCGCAGTTGTCGTTATGGCTCTCGCTCTCAGCGTCTTCTTGGTCTCGTTAGATATGACGCTTGTCGCAACCGCAATCCCAAAGATTACTGATGTAAGCTTTCACAAGAGAGCATTCGATAGCGGCATGTACTAACAATTTCTTGGACTTTCAAGTCTCAAGATTTCACAGCGTGGATTGGCCGAGCTTTCTTCCTAACTCTCGCCGCCTTGCAATCCACTTGGGGTAAGGCCTTCAAGTTCTGGGACCTAAAATATACCTTCTTGCTATCGGTATTTATCTTCGAGGTCGGCAGTCTCACCTGTGGTGTTGCGCCTAACCCGGCTGCGTTAATCTTTGGTCGTGCGCTTGCTGGTGTCGGTGGAGCTGGCATCGCGAGCGGTGCCTATACGATCATCGGGTTCGCTGTCAAGCCAGAGCTTCGGCCTGCGTATACTGGTGTTATTGGTGTGTCCTATGGTCTTGCCTCTGTCGTCGGCCCGCTCCTTGGGGGTGGTTTCTTTGATAAGATGTCTTGGAGATGGTGTTTCTACATCGTGAGTCGTCAAAAATACACTCTTCTTCTGATGCCATTCTAACTTAGATCACAGAACCTTCCTGTTGGTGGTATGTCCGCCTTGATTATCTTCATCTTCTTTAAGATACCTCTGAGTTCTGTCCCAGTCAAAGCTCCTCTGAGAGAGAAAATCCTGCAAATGGATCCTTTGGGGACATTGACACTCATGGCCGCCGTCGTTTGTTACATTTTAGCTCGCCAATGGGGCGGTATCACTAAAGCCTGGAACTCCCTAGACGTGGTCGGTACCCTGGCCGGCTGCGTTGCCCTCATTATCTTATTCATCTTCCTACAGTGGTACAACGGTGAGCGTGCAATCATCCCATTCCGCCTTGTGAAGGAGCGCACAAATTACTTCAGTATGATTTATATCTTCACTGTCGGCGGCGCCTTCTTCATCTTGCTCTACTACCTCCCCTTTTACTTCCAAGTCGTTTCCGGCGTCAGCCCACAGGAGTCCGGAGTCCGTAACCTGGCCATGATCATAGCGGTCACGCTTGGCACCATCGCATCCGGCTCCTACATCACAGCAAAAGGCCACTTCGTCCCTCTCATGATCGGTTCCGGTTTCGTCTCAACTGTCGGCGCCGGTTTGATCTTCACACTTAACATCGGTTCCTCGTCTGGGACGTGGATCGGGTACCAGATCATCGCTGGCCTGGGGCTCGGCGTCGGTTTCCAGATCCCAATCATCGCTACGCAGGCCATTTCTCGCGTGGCGGATCTTCCATCATCTGCCGCAATGGTACTCTTCTGCCAGACTCTCGGTGGAGCTATCTTCGTTGCTGCCGGCCAGTCTGCGCTCGCGAATATGGTGCTCAAGAAGCTACCAATTTATGTGCCGAGCGTGAACCCGGCTCAAGTGTTCGCTGTGGGAGCAACAGACCTCAAGAATTTGTTTCCAGCGGCTTAGCTCCTGGGGATTCAACACGCGTACATGGATGGGCTGCATACGGCATGGGCCATTGCGATTGCCAGTGCCGGAGTGGCTTTGATTGTCAGCTTGGCCAGTGAATGGAGGAACCTGAAGGGGTTGAATATTTCTGTTGGTGTTGTTTGAATGTCTGCCATGAAGCGTTTGGTGCATTGATTGGAATTATAGATTGGTGATGGAAGATAAAAGGTGGCGAATTGTTTCCAACAGGGTTTGATATGGCATTCTTTGGAGTCTTCGATTTACTACTTGGTGCATCTCATTCTGGTTTTAGTCTGTTTGTTTATAGAATGTGTGTGACTCATAGATCTATAGAAATAATATCTTTACTTAAAGTCTTATCTTGAATGGGAGTGGTTTTGTACTATTATTCAGCTGACTGATCGTCCGGAAAGGGGCTCGAATCCCATCCAGCAATCAGGAGAACCGCCTCGCTTGACCCTCAGAACACTTCAAATCCCCAACCCTTTTCTAAAAGGCGTAGTTCTCATAAGTTACAGAAACCTAATATCTAAGACTTAACTCCAGTAATTCTAAATTCCTTCACCGATTACTGAATCCTATTATCCGATACTTTGAAGTGTTAAGACTAAGGTAAGTAAGCATGTTTTACCCGAACGAACCGGTCGGGATAATTAATTTATCAGATCTTGGGGGGTTTCCCTAAAGGAAAAAGAGGGGAAAAGATGGGGAAGAGAGGGCAATGATGCGTGTCGCTGCCTGGCTGTCTTTCTCGGGTGATTGTAAACTGGCAATCTAGAGACTGAGAAGGGAAACATTTCGAATTCTGGGATGGCAACGCTCTGAGCAGTGTACCTGCATTATGGGGCAAGCTTATACATCCGCACGGCTTCTACACTCTGGAATATAGGAACGGGGAATTGAAACTGTCTTTCGCCTCCCATAATGCCGTTACACTCTTTGATTATAGCTTTGAGACCATACGCCATTGCGAAACTGTCATTTCCACCGCAAAGCTCCACGCCACCACATATCTTGAACTCGAGAGAATATCGTGGATTAAAAAGGTATTGGAAAATGATCGATATATTGATGGAAAATCGACATATTGGAGGTTGACAGTCTGCAGGATGACTAGATACAAGAGAGTGAAGTCTGAATATAGAGGAGAAAGTGTCCAAAGTAAGGGTCTTTGTCCCCATTACCTATTGGCGATATCAATAATGCCGAGCCCGCTTTCTCCGATATATTATAAATTAGCTGATAAATTAAAAGTAATCAAAATCACGATATACTAGTAAGCTTGGTAAGCTTAGCGAGTGACGCATGACAAATGAGAGTGGAGAACCCTAAAGTAGTGGTTGAACATGGTGCTGGAAGGACTGGTAAGCTAGCTAAGGTAGTGCATCAATTCAACAAAAAGCTTGAATATAGAAGATAATTTCTCAGAGTGATATATTGCACTTGTGATTTAGGTCGATAGTTCTAGGGAAATAATCGAGTGGCGCCACCTCATGCTCAACTTTGTCATCGTTGACAAACCTCCCAGCCAGGGTCATATTATTAAAACACGACTCTCTAGTCTGTCCAGCTCCCAGGTATCTCGGAAGTATCAAAGTCTTCTCTAAGACCATCTTCATCTTCAATCCAATCCCAGAACTCAGCAGCGAGTGGTGTTGTTGCCCAGAGGTCATCGAACAGGAAATGAATGCTGTCTCCATTTCCCGTTATTTTCATATCCAACAACTCGAACATGCACCAATTTTCAGAGCCAAGCAGATCCTCAATGTCAATATCAAAAAACCACATTCCAATACCCTTATCATGCATATCCTTTTCAATCGAGATATATTCCTGGAGATTGACCCCTGAGTTTTGAAGAACGCCCAGCCAGCTTCCGATTCCTCGCTTTGGCCAATAAAGATCTCCATAGGTCGAAGATAGAGCGCCCAAAAGGATATCCAAGAGAGCAGTGTATGATCGTTCACCCTGAAAATATGTAATAACAGGATGTGGATCTGCGCCAGCTGTAAGCAGCTCTGTTGTCAGGTTCTTCCAGTAATCAAGGGTAGCCACATCCCTATCCAGAATAAAGCACAGAACGAGGTTGAAACTTGACATCAGAAATAATGTCAAACCCTCCTCCCAAAGGCAAGTTGGGAAGCGAGCTTGAGAGAGTTCGGGTGTTATGGAATCTACTGGTAGGAGCTGACGAACCAATTCAAATCCGTACAACCAATCCTCTTCCGCTGCCCACCATAGGATATCCATTATTTCATTTGCATTAAAACTATATCCGGGTCCCAGTTCTTGTTGCCTTAGCCAGCTAAATATTGACGACGGCCCCGTGAACGCCTGGAACGACGTCCTGTGGTACTGGTCTTGTTGTGACAGATCAAATTTACCGCAGATGACTAGTACTTCTACCGTATTCTGGAAATCGTCTATAATGCTCTCATCACCATCGGAAAGACCCAGTGAAAGTAGTCCTCGACCGTGGGTTATCAGGGGCGCTCCTATGGCGAGGAGGAGATGCATTGGGGTCCTACTTCACTCAGTATTTTATAATTTGAAGGGAAGAAAGTGTGTATAGCATACGAATATGCGGGCCAGCCACGGATTACTTGCTCCCCTGTTATCTCACTATCGGATCTGTACCACCCTCTGCCAATGGCTGCATCTTGGTCGCCGAACTTTCCCTGCCAAGATGTAAGGGCATTGGCATCTGCTCCAAGTTCTATCAGCAACCGACATGCTTCGGGGCGGGCATGCAAAGCAGCGTACTATTCCATTATAAACAAACTTGAGCTTTTCATCAAATTTCTCATGTACTTACATGTAAAGGAGTTCTTCCATCAGGGTCCACTTCAAATGGAGAGGCCTGACCTGTCCCGAACAGATGCTGCAAGCCATTGATGTTGCCATCCACACAATAAGCAAAGACGATCGCGTCATATGGCACGGTTCTGTATGTCCGTAGCCTTTGATCCCACCCTTGGCAGGACTTCCTAAGGTGCAGTTCGAATCTTCGACCATAGATCCAATGTAGAAGCCGAAAAGCATACGATGTTGTTCTTTGGTCCCCTCTTTCGCAGTAGGCAACATCGAGAAGTCCCATTAACAACTTTCTTCCGCGCTATGTTACCGAAACTCGTTCTTTCTTTGTTTCGACATGATTTGAGAAGCATGGCTGTGTTCCGTTGGCAAAGGAATCTTTGTAGGTTTCACCGCCTTGCTCATGCAACGCGCTTCCGATTGATGGAGGTTGTGCAATCGTGTCTTCCTCAGATATCCGCCATATAGCTGATTGGATATCCACGGCCTGACGGACCAAGATTTCGTGATGCTGTTCATGACTCATCCTCAACTCGTACATATCCCGCTCTAGGCTCTCCCATCTTTGATTCTGCGTTGCCTGATAGTACACCTGATTCGCCAACAACATCGTCGCCTTCGCACTCTCCAACCTTTTCCTAAAGTCTTCGATCATGTCTTTCTTTAAAGCGATTTTGAGAATACCTCTTTTCTTCCCTGCTGCCAGCCCAGCTTGTAGGGAATCAACAAGGGTACGCAGACCGTCGCTGCTATTCTTGCACAACCTGTAGCTTCTCAATACCACAGTCTTTACCCTCGGATCGAGGAACACTTGTTGCTGTACATTCCTATCGACATCTTCCAAGACCATACTCAAAGTTTCCAGTTCGTCCACTGCAAGTCGAATGTCGTCGGGCGCACCTTGGATCAGGCTGCAGAATGTTTTCAACTTTTCAATGCTCTCTGCCACCTGAACTGCGAGAGACACAACCGCAAAGGCGCTAGAAACGATTCCAAGGGCTTCCGCCATGTTGTTGATGATGATACGGATGTAGGAGATAAATAAGGAGAGAAACAGATGCGACGATCGAGGTTCGAGGTGGTGTTTAGTTCAGCCTTATAATTAATCAGCCCAACAACGTGGCGTGGAGTCTCAGGTTGAACCAATGAAACACCACTGGAATTTACCCCTCGTGATCAGAGCGATCTCGGATTTCCTGATTCGAACTTTTTGATGTGAACTTGAGAAAATACTCGTAGTAGAAAGAATTACCAGTCACTAATACAACAAAAACGTCTTCATTGCATTGTCCTTCCCGTTTTCATACTCTATATCCTTCACTTTATCCAACTTCCAAATCGGGGTACCGCTAGGTTAGAAATCCCAATTGCCAGCCACATCTGTATTGAGTAAGCTGTCAAAGAACATCATATCGCTCTCCTGAAAAGGCCATCCCGTAGTTGGGTCCACCACCTGTGCATCCAAAGTCGGAAACTGGCTACTCGTGAACTGCAACACGGTATTCTGCATCGCCGCGTCATTGCCATTCACATCCACTGTACCACCGAGGCTTTGATACTCTTTCTGCTTAGGAGCAGACATCGACGGCCGTGTAGACCCTGCGCCAGTTGACGAGGGGCTCGAATTGGAGCGTAAGGCTTGGAGTGGCGATTTACCCTGCATCGGGATCGATTGGGAGCGTGGATTTGCACCCAGTATACGCTCGCCCTCAAGAGATTGCACAGTTCCGCCACGCGCAACGCTGATGGTGCCAAAGTGCGGGATTGCAATGCGCAGAATGCCTGACGAGTTGCCTTCGTTTCGCACGATTCCAAGCAGGGTGTGGATGACAGAAATGCTTTGGCTGACGACATGCACGCCCGTGCCATACTGCTTCATGCCTTCAAAAACCTGGACTACTGTATCTACGAGCTGCAGATCCTCCTGTCTTTCTTTCAACACGACGGGGTCGGTACTGTGTGTAGTTCCTAGAAGCCCTAGGAGGAGCGTAATCGCCGCAGTGAAAGCCTGGAATTCAACCAGGTTGCTGAACAATGTTTGGCCGTGGAGCGAACGAATGAACATCCATCTCATGATCAGGCTTCTGCTCGCGCTCAAGCAGGAAACGCGCGAATATTCGTATCGTCGGTCGGTCGCCGTGCGCAGCATAAACGGCAGGTGAACAAGAGTCTGGAACTCGAAATGCCAGATGTGGCACATCATTCGCTGAAATTGGATAGCCGCTTCGTCGGTGCGGGCATCCGCGAAGCTGGTAGGGATTTCCCACCAACTTTGTGGCATCTGTTTTGCAAGAGATTCGAGCTCCTCGTCAATTTCTTGGGTGGTGGAGAAGGCGTGAGTCGAATCGCCTTGGTTGCGGGCGAGTATCAGGCCGGAGATTTGGCAGAGGTTCTTGTGGTAGAGGGCTTCTGTTGAAAGCCGCTGGGCCATTTCGTCGAAGGGAAATGGTGTTGAACCGGTGGCAGATGGTACACCCAGGATGAGAGAGACGTAGCGTTCCTATTGTATGTCAACGTGAGTTCAGACTATTTTAGATCTTTGCGTACCTCTTGCATTATTTGGAACCACATATAGTGACGCCTTGCCTCCATTGGATCCGTCGCTTCCTGGGATATCTTCAAAGAAACTCTATGCAATCCCATGAGTTGGGCTACATTGATTGCTTTGCGGTAGGCAAGCCATCCCCTTCGAAAATTGCCGGCAAAGATTTGATAGAGTCCCTGAAGTGTAAAACATTCGACGCCTTCAATGCTCCCGGTCAGCTCATCATCAGAAATTACCGTTCCGGTAACAAAGGCGACAATCTTCTCCATCAATTCTCGAAGTGGCACTTTGGTCCGAAGCCTTGGCAGGTTGGCGTCCGGAGGGAGTTGTTGGATACAGAGTGCTATGCAGAGAAGAAGTCTCGCAATGATCATCGGACCACTTGCCGAGACAGTCGAAACATCGAACCGCTTTCGCAGGTCGGTTTCTGGTATTCTGAGTAGATGCGGCAGCATATGTCGCTGGATCAGCCACCAACCGTGGCTCGAACCCGAGAGATAATCCACATCCTCTTGACAAGGTAACATGGCGGCGAGTTGTCGTTGGAGGTTCTGGATTCTTCCATTGGGAGTTACTTTACCAGCACTAGCATTCGTGTTTGAGTTTGAGATCGAGATAGATTGCGGTGTCGGAATGGAGGTATATGGCTCAGCCCGCTGCCCAAAACCCTCGTCGAATACTGACACAAACTGAGGCAGGGAGTCGTACCTGGACGGTGGAACTGATGAAGTCGCTAGCTCATTGACTGGATTGTAGGGGGCCCGGCTGTCATCTGACTGTGAAGCCTTATCCATCAATTTCTCTAGCAGCATTTCCACCCTTCCCATCCGCTGGTCCAGGGCAGAGGTTCTAGCATCGCGTAGAGGCTGATCTTCGACAAACTCCTGGCTGAGACAGACAGTGCCTTTGTCAATACAGCCCGCACAGATAGAATGGTCCTCTGATTGATAATTACACTTGATCTTCCTCCGTTTGCCTGCCAATTGTCAGCCTGGCTCGCAACTCGTCGCACGGGTTAGATACACTCCCAACAGCTCCTGGTCCCCTTCCGGACTCTCTTCCGACGACGCTCCCCGACAGGCACAGTAGAATTATCTGACATCTTCAGAGATCGTTGGCTTTTGGGATACGATGGAAGCCGTTTCGTGGTCTGAACCTCGTTCACGAAATTTGGGTGTCAGCAGGAGAGGCCCCTCGTCTTTAGGCGGTCGAGTCTCGGCCGAAATCCGGAGGAATGTCAAGTTGCACCGAGGCCAACCAATCAGGGATCTAGGGGCCTGACCAGAGAAAGGAGGGCAACAAAATCGAATGCGGGAGCGAGATCTTCTGCGTGCAAACCTTTAATTAATTGATTGGCCCCGAGGGACCAATCAATAAATCACGGCCGGAAATAATACTCGGTCGTTCCTCTATGTGCGCTTTCTCTCGCAGTCCCCGGCAAGAGCGTTCGAATCCCTGAAAATTAACCAAAAAGCTGCAGGTCTTTACTATCCCTGCAGACGCATCTAAAAGCCGCCGTTGGAAGAGTCGGCCGAACACCGTGGCCGCAGAAATGCTATGACGGGAATGGCGAGTAATTGGATCACCTAGCTAGCCCTCTTTTCTATCTCAATTGTCAACACAATCCTACTCATCCCTGGATATCAAAATTAACCTGCCACAACCTTAGGTCTTACCAAAGATCAAAAATTCAACCCCAAAGATGACGTTAATCGGTTCCTTGTTTCGTCAGTTCGTTGCCGTGCCCTCACTTCCATCAACGGCAATCTTGAAAAGTCAAGTAGTCTTTATTACAGGTGCCAACACCGGCATAGGACTTGCAAAACAGCTAGGTAATGCGTCGAATTAGGTGCTGAAAGGGTTATTTTTGCTGTGCAAACTATGTCGACTGGCGGAGTGGCCAAGGCATCTATTCAAGAGTCTCATCCCTCATCGGCTACCAAAATCGACATCTGGAACCTGGATCTGCAGTCTTTTGAATCAGTACTCTCTATTGGAAGCGGGCGGCCGACTTACCCAGACTCGACGTTGCAATCTTGAACGCGGGAGTATTCCCGTTCCAATAGACAACATCGTCGAATGGATGTTAGACTGGTCTCCAAGTCAACCATCTTGCAACGGCTATGTTAACACTAACTTTGATTCCAACCTTAAAGAGGTCTTCGAGAGAGTTGAGGCGACCTCACGCCTTACCTTCATTTCAGCCGAAGCCCACGACCTAACCAAGTTTTCAGTACAGTCAGCAGAGAATACACTAGGGATGCTGAGCGAGGAGGAATGTTATAATGGACCTATTAACAGGTATTGCACTTCGAAACTTCTGAATATCTTCTGGGTGAGGGGACTTGCATCACGATCGTCACGCGATGAGGTTATCATCATCTTCTTCAATCCTGGCGCTGTGAACACGGGGAACGTCTAACCATTCCCCTCTGTATCTCACCATCTCTTGTGGAGATTATACGCAAAGTCGCCATTGATTCAAAATAGTGAACATTGATACTTGATTCGACAATCCAGAATCCACCGAGAAGCCAACGTACTTATCCGGAAATTTGATGGTATTTCGGGAGAACTGTAGAATAAGGAGCATAACTTGCTCTCGATGCAGCCATTGTCAAGGGGCCGGAAAGCCATGGTGAATACATGAGTGAAGAGAGAATCCGAGAGTAAGTTGGAAGCTGTGAGCCGTAGTCTGAATCGCTTTACTGATATCGTTCCAGGCCATCGAAGTTGGTGCGCAGTGGCGAAGGTGCAGTACTTCGAAAAAAGATGTGGGTTGAGACTGAGGCTTTACTGCGGCAACATATTCCTTCAACAACTGGAATGGGTGATCGTTTTCGACTATGAATATATGGGACGGGGCGTTGGAGGTATTCTTTGCAATGTTTTGCGCTCTCACCGAGATACTCAATAGATAATAATTATGAACGTTCTTCTTCTGCAATTATAACAGCCAAGTATAAGTAACGTCTTGCAGGCCAAAAGAGAGTGAAAGGGGGCCAGGTCACGTGCGTGCATCATCCCGGGCAGCACAATAAATCATATCACCAAGTTAGTTGAATATCAAAACCCGCGTAACCCACCTTATAGAATTATCGGCAAGCATAGCTTAGTGTAAATATCAAATATATTTTCCCAACTGGTGCAAGAACCTCGAAGTCGGTCACATATAAACAGCCCATGAATGCTCTGTAAAAGGGGCTCGCTTCTTCCCGCCCTGAACCGCCATGAAAAATGGCGCTTGACCCCGAGACCAAGCATGTCCTTTAAAGCAACACACAAATGGAGAAATACTAAAGACTCCAACAAGTTTTGACGCACTTACGTGGCGCACCCCAACCACTGAAGTAAGCACCTCCATTACAACATATTAGCCAAAGACGCGGCTCACAAGGGCGTGCAGGAGTACGAGGCTCCCGAAGCGAAACCCCACCAAAAGTCAACTTATTCAAAATTTTATGAATCAACGAATTATATAGATATATCTATGTACCTTAAGATATAATTTCTGGATACTAGTTCAATCTCTTTCTTTTAATTAAACTAGTTTTTTTCTAAGCTTAAATAAGTAAATATTTATATTTTGAGAAAGAAAGTATAAATACGATAAAGCAAATTCAATAAATTACTTTGACTAGGTTAGCATTGCATTTCTTCTATAAGAAAGGAGTATCTAGCTTTTATTTAGTATTTTAAATTAGAGGATTAATTTCTAAACGTTAAAAGTAAAAGATGTTAATATTTTGAAAAGGCTGAAGTGTAGTAGGGTTTTCGCGTCGGGTACCACGTATTCCAGCACCCCCTGGTGGCTGAAGATAGCCGCATGGATCGCTCCTGCAAGCCCGTCCCAATCGGGCAGGTGGCGCCGTGCCACCAATACTCCTTTGAACTCAACTTTCATCTCATCTCACAACCTGTCCTTCTTTCCACCATCTCTTACAAACATTGCATGACTCCCTTCACAAATCCATCAAGATGAAGACAATATCGGCAATGACCCCCTGGTCCACCCTCACGCTCCTCTCCACGCTCCTCCTGCTCTCAGGATTCTCGGCAACTTCAGCGTCAGCGTCAGCCTCACCATCGACACAATTCTGCACAACCTCCACAAAACAGGACGTCAACACAGATCTCTGCTTCGCGGTCGCCTCGTCTCATAATGAGACGACTGGTGCAAAAGACCTCTCTCTCCATCTCTCCGCCCGTTTCCCCGACCAAAACACAGGATGGGCGGCCGTAGGCATCGGCTCCCACATGAAGGGCTCGCTGATGTTCGCCATGTACCCCTCATCCGCAGACGACTCTGTAGCCTTCTCAATCCGGACAACAAACGCGCACACTGCTCCCGTGCATCTCTCAGCATCCAGCTTAGCAGGCAAGAAAGGCCCCGATGTTCACGTGACGCGAAAATGGGTCGATGAGAACGGATACAGCAATGTGCAGGTCAGCTGTTTTGGGTGTGATAGATGGAGTGGAACTACGCTTAATGTGATGAGTACGAATCAGAGCTGGATTTGGGCGTGGAATGGGAAGCAGATGGCTGGGAGTGCGAGCGGGAAGATGGGGTTGCAAAAGCATGAACATAAAGGTTTGTTTGGCTTCCTTATTCCGCCTCTCTATCTCCAACCTTACCTTTCATGTTCAACGATTTGGATATCGTGCATTGGTCTGACCAGATAAAGGGGTCGCGCTCCTCGATATGAGCACCTCCTACGTGCCGTCCGGCGACCTACCCATGGCCCAAGTATCAGACGCCAGAGTATCAATACCAGCAGCAAAGGAAGAAAAGCCCAAAATACACGCCCACAGCCCCTTCGGCTTGGTCTCCCTCCATGGCTTCATTCTCTCTTCTTCTTTCCTTGCCCTCTCAATCGGGCTTCTAGCAATCCGCTCGGGCTTGGCGAAATCCTTCAAGTATCACTGGGTCATCCAACTCGTTGCATCGGGGTTTATCCTCATTGGTTGCAGTATGGGACTCATTCTTACGATTAAACACGGCGGTCATTTTAGGACGACGCATCAGTGGCTTGGGATGTTACTAGGACTGGGAGTTGTGGTGCAGAGCTGGCTGGGTTGGAGGCATCACGTGATTTTCGTGAAGATTGGGAGGAGGACCGCTGTCTCGAATTATCATGTTTGGATCGGTAGGGCTCTTGTTGTGATGGGGAATGTGAATGTGGCTTTGTAAGTGTTCCGTGAACTTTTATGACCTTGAAATTGTAGATGGAAGGGAATGCTGACTTTCGAAGTGGATTGAAACTTGGCCATGCGTCAAAGACAAAGTATATGTTCTGGTCATCGGGCGTTGGGTTACAACTTGCGGTGTTGATCCCGATGTGGTATTTCTGGAGCAGAGGGAAGAAGATCATGGATATCGTGGGAGCGAAGGAGAGTAATGACGGTGCCGAGAGGGGAGAGTATGTGGATGTGGGTGTCGAGGAAGAGGCGTTTCTTGTTGGAGACGAGGAAGAGATCGAACTTGACGAGGAGCAACACCTGCACGACAAAAAAGAGGATTTGGAAATAAAGTGAGATTTCGTGAGAACGATGATGGTTTGGGGCTTACGATGGCGTTTTCAAAAGAAGAGTAGATATTCAATACCATTTGCACATCAAGACTGCAGTGTACTCAGACTTATTTGAGGGGGTTCGACATTGTTAGTCAACTCTTTCATGTGCTTCAAAAAGAGCCGGCAATGAGCCGTCTCCACCCTCTGCCACAGCATCGCGCACGTCCAAGCCTGCAGCTTGTCCGTCTATAACTATTCCCTCAGAATCCCGTTGACTTCCTCCCAAGCCTCAATTTGTAACTGCATCATGAGGCTCGCGATCCGATTCGCAAGAAAAAGACGTTCACCGCCGCTCGAACACAAAATCCTACCACAGAACAGGATCCACAGCAAGAGGGGACCCTCAGTCCGGAGCCTGTGTGACGCATTGTTGTCGGTCTCCAAGTGCATGAGAATAGATACCAAGCTGTCTTTTAGTAATTGCGTCCCGGGATTACTTGGTTGCGCGTCTCGGAATTGAAGGTGGGTGTAGATTGAGCCCGCTATACAGCTTGCTTCGGGCGTAAGGTCGATGCAACGGGGACTTCCTAACGACAATGCTTGGGTAATGTAAGCGGGGAGGTGTTGCTCCATAGACGACAACCTTTCTTCCAAAGTTGCGTGCTCCGCTATATCAATTGCTTGCGTTAGGCCGGCTTAAACGCGTGTCAAACGCGCCAACTGCGAGAGAATGCCGAGGATCGACCCGTTCGGCTCGCTGGCGGTCTGAGGGGTGAGCATGAAGATGGTCCAGGGAGTTGGTGAGGTCAGGTCCATGGCGTACCCGGGGGGTGTCTACAAGTGGAGTTGGCAGGCTGCCTGAAGGGGGCTTGAATCGGGGCGGTTTGCCCGTTAGCCCTGCTACGATTCGATCGAACCGGTGGGGACTTAGATCTCTAGAGGCTATAACGTGCAGAAGAAGTGATTGGTGGGTTATTCCTATTAAGAGCCATAGTACTAAAATGTTAAAACAATTGTCGAGGTCTAGTGTTGCGGAAATAGTTTGCGTTCTTTAGTCGAAATAGGAAGGTGCCATAAGCTTGTAACCAGAATATCGTCCCCGTTACCGATTAAATAATGAATCGCAGTAGAATTCTGCTCACTTGCCGCTGCCGTTTGCACAGATAGGTTGACTTATTAGGAATGCTCGAGTTCGGGACCGGAGAATTGCTCCAATAAAGGGCCCGCTTTGTATTATTGTTTTAGCTTCTTAGTTAATTCATCGACCCGGCCTTCTAAAAAGCAATGGGATTTGTTGTGCATCCCCTGCGTTTATTTAATACAAAATTTCCAATTGCTAGTCACTAGGATTAGGTCTTCCCTCGTCTTCTTTTGGGTCAACTCTGTGTCGATTCTCTTTGGGCTATCTTCATAGGCTCAGGAATACATCGTCCTCTATCTGTCGTGCTTCTGGAAAGCAAGGCTTCAATTTAAGTAAATATACCCACGGTGACAGTACAAAATAAAAATTTGAGTGGAATCGGCAATTGAGATAGTTGACCGAATCGATTGGCATTGAGGTTGGAAGGTAGCTTACTTGAGGATATACTAAGAGGCCTAAAATTTAACGATGCGTACCCTATAATTTAGCGATTTTAGGGACGTTTATGCTAGGCTTATGCCAGGTTCAAACCTCCCACGGTTTGGTAAACTAATGGTTTTATACCGTTAATACCTCAAATTTCATTAGTATAACGCTAAGATTCGTCGGCCGCTAGAGTATGGGCTATTAGATAGGGGTGCGCAAAATTTAATTATTTAATTATTTAATTAAATAATAACGGTCTAGCCTTAATTATTATAATTATCTGGCCAAATATATAATACATAATTTTATACTACCTTTAAACCGGAATTATACTAGTCTAATAAAAATATAAATATGATCTTAGAAGAAAATCTTGAGTTATATAAATAAATAAAAACCCCCCCTAACTTATATACGAGGAATGCTCAGGTTTCGGACTTACCTATTCGGGAAGCCTTTACACCACCGGGCTACATAAAATTGCACAATGGTCTGGCCAAATCCCTAATTATGCCACCCCTAGTCAGATGGCAATGAAACATTCCGGATGACGCCAAGGGGCGGGGAATAGGCCAGTGCAAGCGCCACGTCGTAAATTTACTTTCCTCTCCCCTGCGCAAACGGTGCAGGAGGCTCCGACGGTTGAACGAAGAAAGGTTTTTGGGAGGATCGCCGATGGACCTAGTAATCCCATGCCAGCCACTATTACCCCCCGCCCCCTCCCCTCTGATCATATGTTTGTTTTCCACTAGCGTCTTGGCAGCCTCTTTACCATTCCTTTGTACGTACGTCCTTCTGGTTGCCTAGTAGGCTCCGGACCAGAGGATATAAACAATAAGCCAAAAGCAAAACTCATTCGGACATTAATTGCGTCACTGGTTTTTATATACTCTGCTAGCAAATATAACTTCAATTTTGGATTGTTTGGCTACAAAATAATATTGATTTTGGTAGGGAACCCCTATGTTTTTAACTACTAAAGCCGCCCGATAATTCGCCCTAATTTGGCCAGTAAGATCGGCACCACGAGTGGCAAACTAACATATGATCAGGGGGGGGTCCTGTCTGTACGAAGTACTCCGTATTGATTGAACACAACAGTCCGCGACCCTGGCTGGCCGAGTGGGAGCCGTCGCCGAGGCGTGGCCGATTTCAAGGCATCGGTTCTGCATTTCAAAACTCCTTGCATGGGATTTCCCCGGCTTATCATCCGTTAACCCTACTCGCTTCTGGGGAAGCCTTCCGCGCACGGTTTCTTCCCCACTACGCCCCAGAAAACCATGCCCTGTGCGTTTTGGCATCATCTTGGGGGTCTATGTTGTCGTTCGTCATACCTAGTCGGCCGTACTATTCGCTCTGCACTTCAAGCACCAGGGAACGCGCCGTCCCCATGCCCATGACTATGGAAAGCAATGGGGTCCCAGGTAGAATACAGGATGGGGTGATCTTGGAGAAACGCCTCACTCTGCCGTTTCAGCTTCAGCAAAGATATCGGTTTTGCGAAAGCTACGACAGTCATTGTTATTCCTTCAGTGTCTCCTAAACTCGAAGACTCTTCCTTCCTTCTATCCTTCATACTTGCTTAATTTCGTATGTTCTTCTCGTCAGACGGGTGTGCCCGATACCTCCCAAGATCCCCAGGTCTTAGCGTTCAGGGAACATTTCAACCTCGTTTCCCGCGACCACCACTTCGCAAGTTCAATCATGAGTGCGAGCACAGGCATTGTTGGCGCATTTCCGCCGCCAGACGGAATTACTCCTAATTTTGTGAATCCGGACTACATCGGATATCGCATTGTCGTCGTGGCCCTCGTCTTCACCACACTCGCATTTGCATTTCTATCGGTTCGATTATACACAAAACGCTTTGTGATAAGGAGACTTGAACTCGATGACTGCGAGTAATATTCCGCGATTCTTAAAAGACTAACCTGACTATATGCATTAGACTCGATCATTCTAGGATTCGTATGCCTACACCCATTCGTTGTAGCCCAGAGTTCTAACTCTTGTTGCCGTATTCCAAGGCTTTTTCCCTGTCGTACGCAACGTTGTCAATTTATCGTCAGTTTTCAGTAATATGAATTGGGTTATTTCACGGTTAACCTGTTTGCAGAGACCAGAAATGGCGTTGGCGTTCACATCTGGGATGTTCCCCTTGAGAATTTCAAGACGTTCATGCGCGCAGGTCCTCTCGATCCGCAGTATCTTGTCCAGTTCGTTTAGCCCACCTAACAATTCTCCTGAGGTAGCTGGGGTCCATTTTTGGTGGCACATCCTATAGCCTCGGAACGCTTTTTATCAAGGTTTCGGTCTTGCTACTTTACCTCCGACTCTCGGCCCATCGAGCTGTCCGGATCGTCATATACATCACCATGATCGTCGCTGTCAGTTATTGTATGTTTGGAGCCCTCGCCACCTTTTTCGTGTGTACACCGATGAAACGATACTGGGATTTCTCCGTCCCAGGGACATGCATTAACATTAGTGCTAATTTCGTCGCATTGGCGGCATTCAATGTTGGGACAGATGTGGTTATGTTGCTGCTGCCGATTTGGCTGCTAGGGCCGTTGAAGATCCAGAAACGACAGAAAATCGGCGTCACACTCATATTGATGATCGGATCTTTGTAGGTGGCTCCCAGTTTTAAATACCAAACCCTGAGAGATGAGGACCTTTGCTTACCCCCGACCTTAGCGTGTGCATCGTGAGTATACTCAGACTGGCATTTATTTTCCCGGGCCTAACGCAAATGGATACTACATGGCATTACGTTGACAACATCATCTGGATGTGGGTTATCCCCACCCTCCATTTGCCTCTCCTAATGTGACAAAATGCAGAATTCTTGAGATGTATGTTGGTGTAATCTGCGCCTGCCTACCCAGTCTCAAGGCCCTCATAAAGCACTACTTCCCAGAATTCTTCGACGGTAGCCATGTAGGACTCGGACGTAGAATACCATCTTTTGATGTTGCTACGCCTTTCCCACAACAGCGGGAGGATTCATCGAATATCTTCGAAGGACAGAAAAGCACCAATGCCGGCACTAGTGTACAACTGAAGAGCTTAGCCACCAGCTCGGAAGATGGTGCATGCGACAAAAGGAATCCAGTTCGCTCTTCTATTGCGTAGTCCCTTTGGCGCACTACTAATGCACTTTCATTCCATAATTTATAACTGTGACTGGTGTTCAAGTTGCTCAATTGGTGCAGGAAGGAAATGGGTTGCATAGTAATGGAGTTTTCGCCTTTACGTTCTGTTTGTTTCTCAGCGGAGGGAAAAGTTTTGCGACGTGGGAAAGGCTGTAGACAAATAGGTATCAAGGAAAGAAACTCGATTCATGCAGCATACGTCTCGCGCACTAAGCACGCCAAGGTTTTTAGCATATTCTGTTTCTCAGCTAACATGTTCTAAGTGTATTTCACTCATGTACACACGATGTGGGATTTGAAATTTTGTCCCACACATCTGCGGACACAGATCCCAAAAAGGTGGTAGAATCAGAGCGCTTTGGAGATGTAGCCTCAAGAGACTTACTCACTCAACCTTAACGAGGATGGTGGTCGAGTAATCAGAAACGGCGATTTCTAGGAAACCTAGATCAATGGCGATAAGACCGGTATTCCGACTAGACTAAATACATCTTTCCCACTCACCGCCACCCGCGATGCCGGATACCCCCCGCGCAAGCATTCGCCCTCTATAAATGCTCGAGCTCTGGCCTTAATCCTCAGTCCAGATTCCGCGAACGAAGTCCTAAACAATCAACTTCAGTCGGAGTTGGAATTGAGAGGAGAAATTGAGCTCGCTGACCACACTGCAAAGACCACTCATTCATCCATCGTCGGACCGAGAAAGGAGAAAGCAGATGTGGGAGCTCATGTCTTTGGAGTCAGGGAGCCTGGACAAGGGACCAGGTGGATGTCGATACTCGTGCCCTTCTCTAGTCCCAATGCCTCTGCGGATTTAAATAAAGAGAAGGGCCCTGTATTAGGCTTAGACGTGGCTTCGATGTAAGACTAATAGTACGACTTTTTCATTTTTTATTGCTGTATTGCAGAGTCTTACCCACTCTTTCCAAGCAGAATTATGGAGGCTCATTTACTGTGGTTGCCTATGGCGCCGCAGTGGCCCGTGACTTTTCAGGGAATGACTTGCTATCGATATAACAGGCGTAGAGGGGGGGAATAAAGTGATTATAAAGCTTGGTGTATGTTGCGGCGCGGCCTAAGCGAGCCACCCCTTTCTTTTCGCTTGACGTAGAGATATGTGTTAGAAAATAGGGGGTACTAGTTTGAGTTCAATGCACTGAACTGAATATTAGGTCCGAGTATGAGAGGCGAAAAGTAGCGAATCTGAAGTTTCAACAAAGGAATGCTAGCAACCTCGCCCAACTCAAATAAACACGGACGCCTCACGTCTAACCTAGGGAATTAAAGTCATGCTAATAGAATATAGAGTATACAGCTACCCTTGGCAAGATCTCATGCTCGTGTGCCTAATATCTTCCCTGGCATCGTAATGTACTGCCTAGCAGCAGCCTCAGCCTTCGTTCCACTAGGTTTCTGATTGATATGAGAAGCGATATCCCAATCTTCCAATCCATCCTTTCAGGTACTTCCACTCCTCACCCTCCTCAGGGAACAACACCACGCCCCCCAAACTCCTGCCCTGCCTGCCAGACCCCGGCATCCCACCCCCAACAACACCACTCAGCATCTCCTTCCTGCCATCCAGGTCAAGCACGGTGTGGGCTTTGCAGCAGCAAAGGCACTCGCAAGTGCCTCCAACATTTTCCAAGTCATATTAGCGAGTCGCTCTCTCTCGAAGGGCAGCACCGTAAAGGCCGAAATTGAAGCAGGAGGCATCAAAGGTATTTTCTCAGCGATTTAATTCGATGTCACAGACAAGGTTTCAGTCTCCAAAGCCGTAGTCCATGTACAACAATTTGGACGATTGGGCGTGCCCATAAACGACGCGGGCCTCTTGGGAACCATGGAGGACAACATTAAGACTCGGTTTAAAACGGTCTTGGGTCTTTGCTACTTTAGTCTAGAAACCCGAATTCACTTTCCGTGAGTTGCGGCCAGGGGACACTCGTTCGCAATACCGCGAGGAATGTAAGCGCGGATTGGAACATCAGGAATGGGGATGGGTATGTGGCGAGCAAGGCAGCGCTGAATATTCTTGTCGCGCTGGAGCATGCGGAATTTGGGGAGAAGAGGTTGAAGGTATTTGCTGCCAGCCTGTGGTGTGTGAGGAGTAATTTGAGGGGAGAGAGCGAGCAGGCGAGGAGCGGGTGGAGAGGGGTAGGGGATGCGGAGGTGGCTGGAGAGTTGGTGTTGAGTATTGTGGAAGGGAAGTGGGATGCTGATGTTGGGTGTTTGGTTTATAAGGATGGGATTTATGCTTGGTGAAGATTGAAGAAGATACGGTCAGGCGGGAGAGGCGTGTTTTGGTGGGTTAGTTGATGAAAGTGTAGGTGGTCTAAGACTTTACTGGGATTGGTAGAAGCGTCGAATATGCTCACATCTGTGCCATCCCAGTAAGTACTGCCCAGGGACCACAGGAAGGGCCGACAAGATGAAAAGCATCTCAAAGTGCGCTAAGCAGTTGTGACATCAAGAAAGAAAGCTATAAGCTGGGCTTGGAATAACTTCAGTGTCGGCTTGAACTTGTGGAACGAAAGTGTTTAGGAGACAATCAAAACCAGCTGAAGCATTCAGCCAACCACAGTTCATTAATCCATCGTCAACACATTATTGGCTTTTCAACCCACAATTTTCCTCCAGTGAATTTGCTTGAGAAAAAATCAATCAAACTTCGTCAAGCCAAGTCGGGTTTTGAGAACGGTGAGCTTTGAGAGTGGGGTAAATCGACCTCTGATGACAGGTGAGCATAAATGTCTTCCGTGGGAGCTCACTAGGTCCGGAAGAAGCTTGATTTGTACGGAATTCTCGGCCTTCCGTTCTTAGCTCGCTGAATGTCAAAGGGGGCGATGAGACAAAGTGCCAATGAAGAGCATGTTCTCGTTGCACGTTGACGTTGATCTACGGAGGGTATGGTCGGCCGACAGCAAAGGCTGCAGAGCCGAATAGCGCAGCAGATAGCTTAATTTATAGTGATCCCTGCACCATGTCTCAGGCACCACAGAGCCTGCACGTGGCGGCGCTACCCTGTAAATTGTGCAGCTTTAGGGCCAATCTCAGGGATGGAGCTTTCGGCGCGATTACCACATCCATCATCAACTCCCGCCTCACCTGAACCGCACCACTTCGGATTCATATAAGATGACCTTTCAACCTCACTGTTGGCTCGTGTCTTAGACCTCACCGCTCCTCCATCTTTTGATCGTCGCATCGTCGAGCGACCTTCATCATGAAAGGTCTAATCACCACCGTCCTAGCCCTGGGCACCGCTCTGGCATTCCCAGCCCCACGCGGTACCTCCTCCCTGTCCTCGCTCGCCCTGCAGAAAGTCCTCAGCGATGCGTCTCCTATCTTGGGGGCCTACGCGAAGAGCAGCCTCTCAACTGCTAGCTGGATGCACCACTACCCTGACAGCACCAAGCTCGTGCACATGAACCTGCCCGGTGTGCACGACGCCCAAACATGGAACTACTCCCAAGCAACCCAGGACGCACTCAAGCACGTGACAGACCTCGACGGAAACACTGTGTATCCACCTGAGATATATCGATGCCAGGAGAAAAGCATCATTGACATGTTGAATGCGGGGATCAGGGTCTTTGATGTGCGATACGCATATGATCCGACAAATTCTACGCTGGTGTTTTGGCACTCGGAGGCGTTGATGAGCGAGACGGCTACGGTAGAAGACGTGCTCTTTGGATTTTACCGATGGCTGGATGAACAACCGAGTGAGACGTTGATGTTGTCTTTCCAGTACGAGGGTGGAACTACCATCAACGCGAAGAACGACGCAGCGACTCAGATGGAGCTGTTCAGGACTCTCACGACACCAGCAGCGAAAAAGTATTTCCTGCAAACGAAAGATCAGTTTGGAACTCTTGGGGAAGCAAGGGGAAAGATCACTCTCTTGAAGAGGTTTGATCTCGATCAATTGCCTGCATCATACGGCGACGCCCTTCCCGGGATCCATTTCTCACCCGCCCTCTGGACGGACGACGGCGTTGACATTGCCTTAACCTACAACAGCGCCAAGAATCTTACAGCATACATAGAAGATTACTACCAGCCCAATTCCCCTATCGGCATGGGTGCCGCGTACAACATCGAGCTGAAGCTCAACGCTACAACGCAACATTTGGTCAAGGCGAGTGGGATGTATCCAGATAGTCTGTTCTGGAGCTTTGCGAGCAGTAATTATGATGTGGATTCGCCGCCCGAGACGCCGAGGATTATGGCGTTGGGGAATGGGACGCAATTGACGCCGAAAGGCGGGGTCAATCAACAACTTGTTCCTTTCTTGAAGGGCATGAAGGGGAAGAGGGTGGGGATTGTGATGTTTGACTTCTTTGACACGCCGGGGGATTTGGTTCAGGCGCTGTTGGATCTGTGAATTTGGGATTGGGGAAGGTCTCGCGCACGAGTCAGGAATGAGTTGTCGAACGGGTCAAAAGAGGGGCAAAACAGTAATGACACACAATTCTACCCAACATCGACTCACCATCCTTTTAACAAAAGCGCCATTTTTGAGCGCCATGAGGTTGCACAGTCATGCCATCTTCCGCATCCTCATCACCCAGCCCCAACTTCTTTGATAGCAGACTCATCTGCGTCTCCTGTTCTACCTCAGCCATCTGCACGTCCACCTCAACTTTTACCTTCCCCACTTCAGAAGCCCAAACACTACACCCCAAATCCACGTCTTCAAACCCAAATGCACACTCCTTCAACGGACTACTCGGCACCACATCACCCTCAGCAGCCGCATCCAGAGACTTGCGTCTACACTTCGCATACGCAGCCTCCTTGCTCTCTTCCCCAAGCCCATCACAATCCGTGCCCAAAGGCCCTAAATTCTCCCCTGGCTTTTCCTCTCCGGGTTCCTCTGCAACCACGCCACACATTTCCGCCTCATCACCATGCGCATTTTCGTGCTCCGAACACTTCTCAGTATCATAGAACTGCGCAGTGTCAACCTCATCCACGCCATGCATCCCAACATCTCCGTCGTCATTGGATGAAGATGAGCTCGAGAAGTCGGCGTCCATAAGATCTTGCACACGCGCTTGTTCCTTCGCCCACTCCTCCTCAAGAATCCTCATCTTCTCCCTCCGCACCCTCGACTCCCGCTCCCTGACCCTCTCATTCAAACACTCAGACGGAAAATCGCAATCGCGCCAGCAATCCTTCTTACTCCTCACTCTCTCATCAAAGTTCAAGTTCCCGAACTCTCCATACCTGATCGCCCGCACCTCCCTCCGCCAATCATTATAGCCAGACCAACCCGTATAGTCAAACTCGGTTTTACACCCTTTAGCAGCCTTCTTCTTCCTCTCTCGCCTCCTCTCCTTCCTCTCCCTCTCCTTAGCCCGCAGCAGCTGCTCAACGGGATCGCCAAATCCTGCGCCGAGAGCATCTTGGGATTGGCGGTCGGAAGAAGAGGAAGAGGAGGAGGAGGAGGAAAACGTGGAGGGTGGAGGTGAGGGCGGAGGAGATGGGATACTGCAGAAGAAGTGCCCGTCCTCTAGACAGCGCCGAGTCACGCTGAGGCGGTAGACCGAACTGCAAAGATGGCATTTCCAGATCCAGGGATAGGGGAGTTTTGGTGCTGTAGCTTGAATTCTGGGGTTTAAGCGAGCGGCGGGAGGAGGAGAGATGAGGGTGCGGAGGTGTAAGGCTGCTGGTGCGGTGGGTGGATCGGATGAGGAAGAGGAAGAGGAAGAGGAGGGTGTTGATGGCGATGAAGGTGCAGAACTAGGTGGCGTTGTTCGAGGAGAGGCTGGTGAGGAGGGCGATTCGTCGTTTTGGAGGGGGGAGCGGGGCCGGAGGAATGAGAGAGAGGGGGTTTTGCGGGGCATTTTCTCCTTCAACGCCGAATCTGGTGAATGCGGCGTGAGAGAAGGATTAAAGATGGGTTGGGTGGTGCGTTTGGTGTTCGGACGGAACGGCTGATATGTAGACCTGATATTCGTGATTGATTACAAAAGGCGAGGCACGACGTGTAGGTCAGTGGGATGAAGTAAAAGTAGAATAGAAATAGAACATGGTACCCTCGAAGAGCTGCTTTGAGATCTAACAAAGAAATCTGAATTCGAGCATGTAATTGCTCAAGAATTTGCAACGAAGTGGCCACCGTTATATTGCTCTTCCATCTGCTCAATGCGGCGCCGACTGTCATCGAAGAAAGACATGTTCAATTCAACGGACGAAATTCTTTGTGCGTCTTTGAGGCTCTGTTGCAGCGTCGTCGCATTGGGCGAGTGTTGGAGTCGGAGCCACTCAGCTCGATTAGAGACAAAGAAAGATATTGACTCGAACATCAAGTGAATAAAACATCGGAAATTTCAAGGTTGCGAAACACACGATAGGATGATTTGTTTCGTCTCATCTTGGATTTCGAAACTTATGTGAATCACATGCTGATGCATCCAAAGACACCACCTAATGTAAGAAGCTTTCATTGACTTGTAGTAGTAGTACAACCCATAACCATTTCTCTGTCTCGGAGCATGAAGTTCCTCGAGATGTCATTTCCTCAGACTCGTCTCCTCATGACCCCATAGCAATGGCAGAAAAACGCAGAAGCAAAGAAAGATTCCTTCCGTTCGGTTCCCCATACACCACCAATCCATCCCACATTACGAAAGCGCAAGGGCTCAATAGAAAGAAAATGCCTAGACCAAAGATCAAGCAGACCGAATCTAAACCTCGAGAGCCTTGTTCTTCTTCTTCTGCTCGACCTTCAACAACAGAGCACGGTTGATATGCGGGAGGACACCACCAAAGGCGATCGTGGCGCGGATGAGCGTGTCGAGTTCTTCGTCTCCGCGGATGGCGAGTTGCAGGTGACGAGGGGTGATACGCTTGACTTTGAGATCCTTGGCGGCGTTCTAGAGAGCAGGTTAGCGTGACGTAAATCAGGTAGAGGATTGAGATGACTCACTCCTGCGAGCTCGAGGACTTCAGCGGTCAGGTATTCGAGGACGGCGGTAACATAAACTGCAGCCTTGGCTCCAACACGCATCTTATTTTGGGTGTTGTTCTTCAAGAAACGCTTGACACGACCGCAGGGGAACTGGAAAATTGGGTATTAGCAGATATCTCTAGCTTAGAGACGCGCAGATTCGGAAAATGGAGAGAAAGGTCGGATTCGAGGTCTGCTGCGGGGTGTTCGATCTGCGGTCAGGGATTGTTGATTCGGGGCGCGTTACAAAATTCGAGCTCAGTTGCCCTCGAATGGCAATTTTGCAAGTATTTCTCGATGATTTTGGATGTGGCGCATCGTGTTTTCCCCCAAATTCAAGCTTCCCAGCCATCTCGTTCTTGTTTATCGGTGTGACGCGACTCGGCGGGGTGACCTTCGAGGACCCTCCAACATTGATGCAGACCTCGAAATGCTCCAAAACTACCCAAGAACACTTCCAGGAGGTGTATTTCAGCTTCGCGCAATACTAACCTGGAGACCAGCCTTGCTCGAGTGGCTCTGTTGCTTCTTTCCGCCATCGGCTCCGACCTTGCCTCCAGACGACTTGCCGCCAGATGATTTTCCCTTGCCTCCAGCCATGTCGGATGTTTGTTATTCGGAAGATGAGCGAGTTGTTTTGAGGTTGTCGGTACGAAGTTGATGTTTGTTGTCGATGAATGGTCGAAGATGTTGATGTTTGGTGAGACGGCGCGTTGAAAGGGAAGATATGCACCAGCCTTCTTTCCGAGCGATGCCTGATTGGGGCGGCTAAGCGAGGCAGGAGCGATGCGCCTCGAGCAGTGGAAGAGCGCCAGATGGGCGAAGGGGAAAGGGGTAAAGCATCACCAATATGCGGTGCGAAGGGAAACAGAAAGATGGATGAGATAGAGGAAGTTGGAAATATTGATGGAAACCATAGAAACGTGAACAAAGACCAAAGGTGGAGGAGACGCAGCGACATATATGAGAGAGGGTGACAGCGTCGAGAGGCGTGAGGTTGCCGTGGTACTGGCAACTTTCACGCCAACTCCATTCTGATGACAAGTGACTTACCTGTGATATATTTGGGACCTTTTGCCATGGTGAGCAGGATAAGGGAGAGTTGTTAGGTATTGATCGTGGTGTTGAGGGTTGAAGTTGGTCGTTGATTGAGATCGTGGTTTATGATTTTGGAGTGCCTCAGTCCTCAAGTCAGGTGATGAGACCCGATCAAACAGGACAAACATGCACGCTTGATTAACTTATGTAAGCGGAGGCGTTATCCCACCAGTCCCGCCATCCTACCATCCACCATTATTTCCTCCCCAACGTCGCAATACGTTTGGGTGCAAAAAAGGCTCAACGCTTGGCCCATTGTATTTCTTCTATATCCAGTGTTCTCCTCCGACCAATCGCGGTAACTGATTTCTCGCTCTACTTTGCGCCCTTCTGCTTTGGTGCAGTTACATCCTTGTTGCGGGACATTACTATAGATCAAAAGGAATGTGATATAGATATCACGGATCTTCCACGAACATTTCGAGATGCTGTCCGAGTATCTTATGCGTAAGAAATCCACTACTTGTGGATCGACTCTTTGTGCATATATCTTAATCGACACCGAACGAAATACCACGCAAACTTGAGGCTTGTAGCTCTGTTTTCTGGGGTGTTTCGTTTTCGGGTAAGTTCGCCTTCGTGTCGCCTTACCCTCTGCGTTTCCTTACTTTGAAGGTTGCGAATTCCACTTTCGCCCGCCTCACCCAAAACGGAGCTAGACCTCGTACCGTAGCAAAATCCCGTCGATCCGACAATCAATCTCCCATTGGCCACGTCACTAAACGGCTGCAGACGTCGGCAGTGGCCGCTTTTTCCCAAGCAGAGGGTGAGAGGAGACTGGGCAGCCTGGGCACCTAGCGTGATCCATCTTGAGCAAACATGAGGGTATTAACTTGTTCTTACTTGGCTATTTCATCACGCCGCGATATCGAATTAAGGCAAACCACAATTGATTTAATTCCTCACCGCGGGGCGACCCCGACGTTCACAAGAATGTGTGATCAGTATGTTAATTCGAAACAAGTTAAGCGCAAGGCTCCTGATAATGCGCCTGTCAAATCATGGCAAGTCTTTAAGCAGAAATCCCGGTACGCCACAATCTATTCCAAAAGTAACACCTCTTGCCGAATTCCCGAAAACTTGCTCGACTCCCCATACATAATGCCATGCACATAGCATTCCCCAACAAGACTGTAGGTGCTGACCTTTTTATCCAGCACGAATGGCACTACTGCTCCGCCGAAGACGAATATCTGATCACCACTCTTTGTTAGCGGTGGACCCACTCCGATGTAGCCGCGCCTGGTACTAAAAAATCTACCATGAGAGAGTCTTTTCAAAAATGTAGCCGCTGTAAGCCAGTATTTCCAGGTTATTTCGCGCTTTTCTCGGTTCTGCTTGAAGAATTGGAGCATATCTTCCAAGGATTGAATGCCATTGCCCGCCTCATTCCATTGGAAATCGACGTACTGGTCACCGTCCTCTGCAGTTTGGAACGATCCAATCTCATCGTCACAGGGTTTGATCGCGTTGCCAATCGGGATCTTAAGCAAGAGATCGCGCTGGCTTTCGCCGGTAGGATAGCGTTTTATCCCTTGGACGAGGTCATTTAGACTATTGATGACTGTTATCAGGTCGGAAGTTGCTGTGGTTTTCCATCCAGTTCTGACAACCGTGTCTATCATGGCTCCAGTGACTTCAAGCTGGCTAGAGTTAAGTGGAGCTAGTCTAGGAAATGCTAAAGAGGGTCCACCGGCTGAAAATATTCCATGAGCGCCTCTCCATGTTTAAATGGTCCTGGATGGCTCGTTCGAAGTCCAATTCGGAATCCATGAGGAGAAGGAGTAGGACTTGGATCTACCACTTCTATGTAAGAGATCCATCGCGTGACCCCTGTCGATGAACTCTGCGGCGTAGCGACGGACGATTGTCTGAATCGATGAGGAATAGTCGGGATCAAAGGCTGCGGTTTCGGCACCAAAAGAGATGCCGAGAAGCGCAAAGAGCTTGTCACACTCTTTTGTCGACTGAGTATGCGCAAACTCATCCAGGAGTGCCATTAAGTTAAAACGAGGAGCCAGATTCATCTGCTGGAACGCTGCCCGGGTCTCGGCAAGGGTGTACGATGGCTTCAGGCTGGAGAGCATTTCTCTGACTCGATTATCATCTACTCCTAGCGTGCTGGACCATTCTAAACAGAGTTTGACGGCGAAGAAGATGTCGTCCCAGGAGATCTCCCAAGAGCCACATACAATCCTTACTTCAGAAGCTAGCACAACCTCTTGAACGATCCAAGCCCGCCGAAACCATTCACGTTGAAATAGCACGGCAATGTGCTTCCACACGTCACTCTTCACTGGGGGGATGCCCGGGTATTGCCATGTCAGTGGGACACGAGGCAAGCCTTTCGGCCAAACATCTGGTTTGACTTGATTTGTTCGTATCTGAAGTAGTGTCTGCAAAGCTTGGTAGCTGTCATCCTCTTCATTCCCGATCCACGCAAAAACCAATCTGGCGGATTGAAATATCTTTGGCAACAGTCGAATTTGAGTCACTTTCTCGTGGACGTTAGCTTGATCTATACAGATGGCATCGGCCCACAAGATAACGGACTCAGTTCTAGTTCGAAGTCTCTTTAGAGCGGCATGGAGCGATGAAGTCAGTGGTATTTTGCCTTCTTCTGTCTGAATGTGGAACGGTTTGAGAGGAGGCCCCCATGCATAGGAAATGGCGCTGAATTTGTGGTTCTCGGATAGAGATACGTGCTGAACAAGTCCTTCGATTGCGTCGTCGTCCTCTCCGGGAAGCAGTTCCAAGAGTCTGATCTGCTGAAGCTTCAAAGCTGTGTAGGTATACAGTCGTTCGGACGGTGGAATTACAGGAGTGTCGTCCGTGACCGTCTCCGTGTCGGACCTCTTCCTCTTTCTTGACGGCCGGCCTTTTTCAAACGTCATGTCCCACAATACAGAGGAGGGAGGAGCGCTTTGGAACGCTGCCGAGAAGCGAGATGCTGATGTCAGTTGCAATTCTCCGGCGGCGTGCATTTGCCACGGATCAACATAGAGGGCTACCTGAGGGTATTCGCGAACATCTACTATACGAATGAGTACGAACACCTCGCCAAACGTAACGAGTGTGCCATTGACTTTTCGAGTCTGGTGGCACTTCCAGGCCTGAATAAATGTTAGCAAAAGCGAGGCACTCAAGATTGTTAGAAGGCGGAAAACAATAATGAAGTCGCAAGTAGCGACGCAAACTCACCTTCTGAACCTGGGACGGCTCAAGTGCAAACCTGGACATATGGCCTCCTTCAGTGGTGACAACTTCGATGTGGAACACTGGGGCCCCGATGCTTTTGTCGGGTATGGGGTGGCCCTTTCTCGTCAGCATATGAGCAAAGGCATGCGCGGCGTCTTGGTCCTTAATCGTGAAAGTCGATGCCTCATTCTCATCCCCCGTGAATGGGCTTAGTCCAGCTTTTTGCCGAAGTGAGCTGGTCCAGTGCAGAACGGGGCTGTACACCTCACCCAACTCGTTCTCGAGCAACTTGGAGACCTGTCCCACTTGTTAGCAGTCTGTCGGCAAGGCAGTGTCGTGAAGAGTGGACAAACGTAGAGCTCGCCAGCTAGCATCACATCTCTAGCGACATCTACCGTCGAAGCTGGCAGCATTTCAATTACGGTGTGTTTAGCTCTATCAATTTTGACAAGAGCCGGAAAGGCTTGAGTAGGCCGAAGGCGAGATGTTTTCCCAAAGCTTTCGGTACCAGTGATGAAGCTGATTGAGGTTGGGTCGTCGAGATAAGCACCTGCTTGTCGTAATCTATTGTCCCAGGGCGAGATTACCGTTCGTGGCAGCAGTGTGTATGGATCGACATTCTCAAGTCTGCATAAGTGGGAAAGCACTGAATCCATTTTGATTGATGACCATGGTCGTGCCTTGGTGTTGTCCCACCGGTTCAGTGCGGTGAAGCGAGCCATGAAGGTTGACACTGCATCGAAAGTTGCGTCACGATCTCGCAAGTAATCATCGTCTCCATAATTTCCGTTCCCCATTGATGACCAAAAGTCTGGGTTTAGCTTCTTCGAATCTAGTAGGGATGTGAATTCTGGTGCATCTTTCTGCAAGCCCCGCCTCCCGAATATGGCATCCATATCACTAGCGTTGGTTACAGTCATCACGCCATGAAGGATGGCAACATTGGCGGCATCAAGCAGTTGGCAGAAGTTGGTCATTTCCTCCAGCAGCTCGAGAGGCGGACGAGAAATATCAGAATCACTTTTGCGAAGGAATATTTCCAGACATTTGCCCACCACAGCGATTTTTACTCGCCCAGAATCGGCTCGCCCTACAACCTCTCCTCTACCGGACACTTTGACCGCCCATCTCAAAGTGATTCTTCTTACGACAAACACTTTTGCGTTGCATAGCTGCTCGATGATGGCCTTCCTATTTGCAAGCTTCGGTTTCAACAATCTGTACTACCCTGTGAGCATGAAAGGTCGATGGGGGAGATTAAAGATAACTTGTACTATCTTAGAGCGGATTGGATGGTACTTACCTTGCAATGAACCTAGCCCTAGTGTGAATGACTCTCGTATAGTCGTCATTTAGCTGCGCATCGCTTCCAGCATCTGGGACTCCATGGGCAAGGCGGGAAAGTAATCTCCTATTCCAGCCGAGAGCCATCATAAGAGGACCAATCTTCGCTATCGATTCTTCGTCGAGGGCAAGCAGGGGAATGTGACCGCGAAATGCATGTTTCAGGTGTGGTCTGTCAGCAATGAGCCACGTTGCGTCCGTTTGAGAAGTACTTAGATAGTCGAATGTGCTTCCAGACTTTCCTTCGTCAACTGGAACAATAGTTGACCTTGTAAGAGCCGCAATCATTTTCGTCCTTGCTTTGGTAGCCTTTGATTTCTCCGATGCTGGGAAGTATTCACTTATCAACTCAAAAATGGCCGAAATGTACTTGAGGGGATCACAGGGTTCGATCATTTGAGCCTCACCTGCCAGGGTGGTCCAATCCGCGTTGCCCAGACCTAGCGTTATGCTAAAGAAAGAATAATGCTCCGGATAGAATCGCGAAAGGCAGGCTATTTTCCTTAAACAGGTCGGTCCGTCCCAAACACAGCTTTCAAGACCATGCCATTCTTTTCCGGTCCATCTCGCAGACTTTGGTGTAAATACCAGTGCATCTGATTCAAAGGCGCTCTTACAAGCCCTATTATTTGTTAATGTCGGGCATTTGTCCCCGATAGATGATTTTGACTTACGGTATAAGTGTTGGATCCAAGTTGCATTGAGTGTGCAACTGCTTGTAAAGCTCAGATGCCTCCTTCGACGTACCCCCGGACTCTTTCAAGATCTCTAGGTACTTGATAAATGGGCCAATACCGGGGGTGACAAGAACGCCAAAATGACGGAGCTGTCTCCATTGAGGATGCTCCGGCTCTGGAATTTCAAGAAATGACATGGATACCAAGCTTGAGGCCTCCATGTTAGGCGTCGGTAGAAGGGTTTTTTTCAGCATCGCAGATATGCCACCTTTGCAGGACACCGAAAGGTTGCCAATTGCTTCTTTCACCTGCCGCGCGCATTCTCTGGCAGATTTCTTTTCTTCGCTTATCCATTTGGCGTAATGATCCCAATTATCCCTCAGCAGTAATAGGACGGGTAAATAATCCGCATGACTGAGAAGAAATTGAAAGTCCTCACTCAACTCCGGCTCCGAGTCATTGTATGACACCATTCGCGGAATATCTGCCACGCCAAGGTTCGCCACCATCCATGCCCTCAGTTTGGGCTGCGTGTTAGGAGGAACTGCCAAGTAGTCACTGTGTATGAAGGGAAATAAATTCCTGTCTTTTCCGAATAGTATAGAAGCAGAAAAAGACTTATCGGAGTCTATGTATGCATCGAAACTAGCCTTCGCTGTACCGGACTCCGTTACAAGCCATAGACTCTTAGGTTTAACCCTTGTCCAATTTGCATGAAACAAGAACATAATATGGGAAATCAGATCCTTGGGAGGAAGATTTTGGGGGCGAAATGAACGAGATGCATGAGTCGAAGTGATGGCTTGGCAAACCTTTTCGTTCGTCCACATTCGAGCCCCTAGTAGCATGTAAAGATTCCGTCTTGAAAGATCAGACGCTGCTACAAAGTCGATCTCCTTCATTTCCAAGCCGTTCGGAATCTGGACGTCTTTCTTTTTCTCGTCGGAGAAGTACAAGTCTTGATGCGAGGATGATATCCATTGACCGCCGATGAGGGGAATGAGTTCTAAACAAGACACCTTGTTCTTGACGGCGGCTGTACCCTCTGAAAACTGAGAAAGTAATTTACAGAGGCCCGAGTGCCAAGTTTGAGGCATACTGTGGAACTTTTCTGGATAGGATGTTATGAACACCTTCAGGTCGTCAACACACTCTTCCGGGGTAACATCTTTTACCCCCAGAAACGCGAGCTCGGCCCTGTGTGTTTCGAGGGGATACTTCGGTGAGATGTACTTGGACAAGGACAGATCGCTTGGGAGGAATGGCCGCTCATCATCTCCAAGCATCGAGACCGGGACCGTTCTTAAATTGGACGGGATCATGAGCGCGCCACTTTGAGACTCTAGGATTGGCGAGGTAGACAACTCTTCAACGATTGCGCCTTCGAGGGGGGAGAAAAAGTCCGAACATGGCGACCTATTTTGAAGAAACTTTACCCAGGAGTATCTGAGGTCTCCGGAGTTGAATTCGTCAACAGCTAGGCGGAATGCCTGGGGAATGTTCTCTAGTAATGCCTGGTTCCACGGCGAAGAGCAGTCGATTTCTTCGCGGCTTGCACTCAGAAGGAAGTCTGCTTGAATCAAGAACTAGAATGCTTAGCTGGGAATCTTTTAGCGGTTATGAAGTTACTCACTTTGAAGCCATAATCACGTATGGGCAAAAAAGCATACACGTTCTGCGACACCATCGAGGGCCCATCGAAGTCGACGAGAGGGAAGGCAAGGACAATTTGGGAGGTATGGCAACCAGGACGTTTTATTTCCTGTGGAAGTCCTGAGATGGCATGACGGATGATCTTGTACAATCGAGACTCTTCATCCTGGTGAAGCTTGATCAGTTCCTCGCCATTTGTTGTTCCGACCTCTTCGCACTTCAACTTTGTTTCCCACGTGGGGAAAGTCTCCTCATGAACGACTATGTTGATTTCTCGTAATTTGCGGAGGAAGATGAGAAGCCTGGTGTCTAACGATTTGATTTCGGCTCGGAGCTCGCTTAAATTGCAATCGTCCGTCAGCTGCAGGCACATTGACGTGAAAGCAGCCTTTGGCGGACATGGGAACACAGTCCAAACCGGTGTAATCATACCCAGCTTGGAATTCTTATCGAACATGAAGGAGTAGTGCCCCGAGTGGATCCAAACAATATCGGCGATCTTGAAGACTGATTTGAAGCCAATGCCTTTTTCGCCAATATATCCTGCTGATTTATCGAGGCCTGCTTTTGTACTTCGACCAATCCTACAGATGGCCTCGGCATTACGTCTGGTAAAGCCAACCTCATTTGCGTCGATTCGCAATGTACGCCCGGCGAGGGTGATATTAAGCGTTGGATTCGAGGATGCATAATTATTATCGTCAGCATTCTGGATAAGCTCCAGGAGAAAATGAGTAGATTTGTGGTAAAGCTGCTCTGCCAGGCTGCGGAATGCAATCAGCGATGATACAATTTGCAGACTGTCTCTGCGGGTGTGTCTTACATGACGAGAGCGTTTTCAAGATCGGAGGTATCGCTCGTCTCATCGTCCGAACTTTTAGCAGCTCGAATCTGGGCAATATGAGCCCGTGCCTCGTCTTCACTCTGTGGAATGTCCATTTCAAACCTGTCCAGTGTCCTCTAGTCAATTGTCCAGCTTGGAAAGTTGATCGAGAACTGCTCAGGAAGTGTGGGAGCCTTGGACAGTGGGAAAGGGAGATGCAGGGAATTAAAGATATTACGAGTGAGACCCTGCATTCAATAATGGCTGATGAGAGTGCCCGATGCACACTTTTAGCATTCGTCACATAGCAGCATGGCGCTTGCACCGCCCACAATGGTGGAGGCGCAGCGCAAAGCGATAGGCGTTCTCCAGCTTTTCAAATGCAACCGCGAATTTCTGTGGTTGTATAAAACACGATGTGTTAAGATTCGATAGATTGGGAGAGACTGAACCTCCGAGTAACACATGTTGCCAGTGCGAAACCGGGAAAGGGGGTTGCAAGACACTAATTCTTACCCCAAAGAAAATTCAATAAGAAATGTTATTATAATAATGCAAAAAACCTTCTAATATACTCTCTTATATTAAGCCATATATTACCAAAGAATTTAGGACATTGTATAAGATATTTAATTAATTGTATAGAAATTAGTGAAGGGTGGAGATGGCAGGGTAAAAATCAGTGGGAAAATGCCAAAATGCTACTAAATAAATAATTTTAGCAATACCAAATAGTTTTAAAGTAATATATAGCCATTAGGGGGTTAAGAATACTATAAAGTATTAGTATTCAATAGGAATTAAAATTTTATTAAGGCGTTAATTAAATATTAAGATTTTAATTTTGGGCGGTTGAGTAGTTTGGGCGGTTGGCCAGTGAAACCTCCTAAACTTTTCTTATCATCTGATTATTTTTATTGATTATTCGAGCTAAGCGTTAACGCCCTAAGCAACACCATAGAAGGCTGAGCGAAAAGCACCTTGCAACTGTTGGGAGAATTATGAGGAGATGTATTTGCGCACAAAATCTGAATTGCTGCGAAGTTGAGGCACCCGTGATTTGTCCTGGCACGGAGATGAGTAGTGGATATCGGCGAATTGTACAAGCTTTTGTATACTCATCGCATAGAGTTGAAATTGATTTTGAGGTGCCACGCTAATTATGCATGGCTATCCCGATAATAAGGAGGATCGAAAACCGGGACCGTGAGCGAGACTGAACAGACCATGAGCAACCTGAGGCAAGCTGGACTTGAACTTGAGCAAGGCTGAGCAAGGCTGAGCAAGCTAGAGCCGTGGCAGTGTAGGACTGAGGCTCTGAGCCCCCTTAAGCCGGGGTTGAGCCAAGCCTGAGCTGGACATGTTTTTGCTGATTAATTCGTCAGGATCGACCAACCTAACTGGGTGTATGGAGAGACCAGTTTTGACCGAAATATAGCTTTGAAAATATTAAACCACAAGCTCTCTATTCTCCGTAAATCTCGTCAAGTTCAGAACGTTATTCATATTTACAGTGTAATATTTTCGCATTGTTGAGTATCTACGGAGGTCGCGGTATAGAGTATCTGGAATACAGGGCATTTTGACCCTTGGTATTCTACAGGGAACGAATTTAGGGCAAGAGTTCAATAAAAACAATTTTGTGGTTTTATATCAAAATTAATAGCCCAAGTTATAGCTCTAAATAAAGAGGATATTAATATTATAAAGCATTAAAATAGTACTAGATTACTTATATAGCTTTCTCTAGTATTAAGAGCCGATTTTTACTTTATTATAAGTTATTTAAGCTAATTTGATTTATATTTTAAAGTCTTTTATATATTTATATAAAAGCAAGTAATATAATATATTAAGAAATTACTTAATTATAGTATTTTATATATTACTTTATTTAATAAAGGGCTTATTAAATACTTTATTACTAATTATGAAAGTAATATATAAAATTATAAAATAATTATTAATACAATTTTATTTTATTTAGTAATTTAATTAATTAAACTAATATTAAATAAATAAAAATTTATTATAGCTATTATTATAACTAAATATTTTTCTTTAATACTAGTAATAATGGAAGATTTATAACTAAAGTAATTACTTAAGAAAATATTAATTTTTATTAGTTTAATTAAAGTAAAAACAAATACTTAAAGTATTTTATATTTAGTTATAAATATTTAACTTTTATAAAAAAAATCAAGTATATTAATATTAAATACTATTTTATTAAGAATTATATTAATATTAAGAAAATGAATTTTAAGTATATATTTATAAAGAAAATATATGAGGTATTTATTAGTAAGTTATAAAACTATAGTATTAAATTTAGTATAGAACTAATCTCTATTTCTCTTATAAGGTCTAGAGAAGCCTTCTCTAAATAGGAGGCCCCGATAATATATATATAATTAGTAATTTATAAGCCTAATACTTATAATATAAATAGTAGTATAATTATAATATTAAAGAGCCGTTGATCTCTCTAATTAATACACGCAATATCCGAAGTTCATTACATGCCCTTGAGTCACATGCGACCCTATATATATCACAAAATAATAGCTAATATTCTTGTTAAATTAATTATTAGACTTGCTTTTAAATTAATATAATTAAATACTAGAGCTTATTAGCCTTAATAATATTAAACCTCGAGTATAAAAAGGAAATATATTAAAACTAATATACTAGCCTGGTATAGTACGGCAAGCTGTACTCTATTAAAATCGCTTTATTTTGACAGTTTTGATATTTTGGTCACATAATAAAGGCTAGGGCCTTTTGCACGTGACTTGCGGAAATCACATAAGAAAGCTGGTTTTTCTGTAGTTCTAGATAATAATCCCTCCTCTATATTTAATCAATTGAGCTTTTGCATACTGCACACTGTTTATGCTTTACTGTTTATACCTTTGATCTTGTTGTTTTGCTGTCAAGTCACGTTTTGCACTCTGGTATACTTTATATGGGTTTTTGTCTTGTTACAGTTTCCCTCTCACACTGGCTAGCTTTCTATTTCTTCTAATACTAGATTCAATTACTAATTTAGTCTTCTCTACTCTTATTTGTAATGCATTACTTGCAGAGCTTATTAAATACTCACTAATATTGTAATGGGGATATAAAACACGGAGTAATATAGATAGTAGAATGGGCTTCCACAGCGTGGGATTACAGTATACGAGTGAGGAGTGAAATTAGAGAGTGAAGGTTAGTTGATTTCTAAACTAAGAAGGAAAGAGGGGTAATATATAAGCGGGTTGCGGACTGCGGACGTCCGGAGGTCACATGACCGTACCACGTGACTAATAGGGGTAAAATCCCCACCACAATATATAGTTATTTGCTTTATTAGCTAATTCATAATATATCGGAGAAAGTGAGTTTGGTATTATTTATATTATTAAAGGCTAATACAGATAAGAACTTTACTTTAAACACTTTTCTCTCTGCTTTTACTCTTATTCTACCTGTACTTTAGTTATTTTAGGCCTTGCCAACTCTCAATATGTCAGTTTTGCACCTTCATATTGTTCCCATTTCAATATTTTTCTTATAGGCTCCCATTCACGTCCGTCGGGGGCGGGACAACCGCCAATTCTATACTGCATCTCGGCTCATTCAGTGGCTAATCAGATGCCCCCGGCTGGACGAAACCGCCCAGAAGACGAAAACCTTCTTCTGCTTTCGTGCCAGTTTCTATTTCCGTCTATGTCAATTTGAGCTGGTGAGAGGTGATTTTCAGCTCACAATGCCCCACTTCACCAGGAGCCCTGAGAGGACCGAGAGTTACCCCTCACTGCCCCTCCAAGACATCCCTAAAGACATTTCCTCCCTGGTTTTGAAACAAAATTTAATCCCCTTCTATATCAATCGAAGCGAATAATGTAGCAGAAAGATTTAAATCTGTTTGAGAACTTTCAACGTAGATATAGAATCCCTTTCTCGACTCCGGAATAGGAAGGTGGGAAAATGGCGCCATGTGATGTCATCGAGATTGCAGTGCTGCCTGTCCTTTATTGCGACCACAAATAAAGAGCCGCTCACTCTCCTCAATTGTCCATTGAAGTCAACAACTATTTTTGTGGAAATTCCCGTGGGAAATGACGCGACAGCCTAGCATGCGCAAAGATACAGCGCCTCGGGGTCCAAATTCTCAACTCACAGTCCACACATCACTTCTATTCGACTCCAAGCACAAGAAGCTCGACTCGGAAACTTCTATTGTAATTGACACTGAAACCGGCCTCATCACCAGGGTCTTCAAGCGAGACTAATTACCTCTTCGTAATGTCTCGAGCTCGAATACAATTGACCTTCGAGGCCTCACAGTGCTCCCAGGCTTAGTGGACGCACATACACACATCTTCCTGCATGCCTACTCCGAGACACCATCGCTGAACCAAGAGCGGGATGAAAGCTTCGTGGAGAGGATCGTGCGTGCTACAAATCATGCCAAAGCCGCGCTGGAGGCGGGCTACACCACGTATCGTGATCTGGGTACGGAAGGGCTAGGGAATGCAGACGTCCATTTCAGAGACACTATCAACCGAGGCATCATTCCCGGCCCACGGATGTTTGTCGCCACAGAATGCATCGCCTCCAGCAGTGGCTACGCGATCAGGCAGGAGAACGGTATGTCGGGAGGGACTACTGTGCCCAGGATATCCGATCCTGCCGAAGGGGTCGACGGAGTGCGAGCTGCTGTTCGCAGACGACTCGGGGCATGCGCAGACACAGTGAAGTTCTACGCCGACTATCGCAAACGAGTGCTGCGATTTCCTCCTGCAGCTTGGCCAGGTGGGAGGGACATCATGTTTATTGAAAAGTAATCGATTTATTAATGGAAAATCGATTTATTGAAGGTTGACAGACTACAGAATGACTAGATACAGAAGAGTGAGTTCTGGAAACAGAGGAAAAGTGTCCAAAGTAAGGGATTTATTCCCATTACCCTTCGGCGATACCGGTGATGCCGAACCCGCTTTCTCCGATACATTATCAATCAGCTGATAAACCAAAGGTAATCAAAATGACAATATACTAGTAAGCTTGGTAAGCTCGGCGAGTGACGCATGACAAATGAGAGTGGAGAACCCTAAATTAGTGGTTAAACCTGGTGCTGGAAGGACTGGTAAGCTAGCTATGGTAGCGTACCAATTTCAACAATGTTCCCACCCTCGAGCGATTTGTTCACAGGAGACCGCAACCCTAACTTGCTTCAGTTCACGCAGATGGAGATGAATGAGATGGTAGCAGAGGCAAAAAGAAGAAGAGCGCCCATAGCCGCGCATGCACAGGACCCAGAAGCGGTCATCATGGCTGCCAAGGCTGGCGTTACTTCAGTCGAACACGGCAGTATGCCCAGCGAAGAAGCACTGCAGGCTATGAAAGAAAATAGTACGATATTCGTCCCAACGCTTTCCGTTTTCGACTCCGAGATTCGTAGAGGAGGTGGCAAGGACTCAGAGCGTACTTTAGGGGCTATCCTTGACCATACGAAAGCGGCTTACGACAAAGGCATAAAACTTGCCTGCGGCGGTGACACGGGTGCTATTGCACACGGTGAGAACGCGCGGGAGATAGAGCTAATGGTGGAAGCGGGTATCCCGATATCGGATGTCCTGCAGGCTGCTACTCTACACGGCTGGGAATCCTGTGGCGGAGACCTTTGTGGTAGGAGATTTGGGTTAGTAGAAGAAGGTTGGGCTGCTGATCTCATCGCCCTAGACGATAACCCGACAGAGAATATAGGGGCCATAAGGAAAGTGAAATTCGTAATGAAGGATGGAAAAGTGTATAAATGACAGGACTTGCGAATGATATAGTAAAATGCCTATATATCCCATCACTCAGTTGGTACTCTTCCGCCGCGACCCTGCTCCCGAATGAACAACGAACCGTTTTTAGACACGTAAAGGTAGATGATATGATGCAGGAATTCTGAGCATCTAAGGATATACGGCAGTGACAAATTTTTGACCCTGACTGGGTGGAGGGTGTGTCTCTTTCATGCTCTTCGTTAAAAGTTGGCGAATTCTAGCAAGAGGATTTAATAGGTGAGCAGACCTGAGCAGGCCATCGTCAATATCTCCATGGAAGAGCACCCCGATTAAGACGTTCGCGGTGCATGGTTGTAACAGGAGCTGGTGGTAGGCCCCCAGTCGACACTCCTTGGTTCAGCTGGAAGCCTTTGTCCACGAATACCCCCTGTTTCAAGGGTTGGTTATTGCGATGTACAAGCCAATGGCTATGCAATAGAGAGCGCTGAGCGCGGAGAACGTCAATTCCTCGCTATATATTTTATAGCTATAGGAAGCGGATGAACATAGACCGGGTGGTACATTTGACTTATTATTTCTTAATCGTTAAGATTACTTGGAACAAATTCTCCTCGAGAAACTCCTCGCTATATATATCTTTCCGATAGTCCGACAGAAAAAAAAACTTTCTGGATGCCTCCGCGGACAGGATTTCAAGAAAGGGAAAGATTAGCACAAAGGGAAGCTGCTATAAGCAGAGAAACGAATGAATCCTATTCCCACGAGCCTGGTTGTCTATGCCACTGAAATACTGTCCACGTACACGCTTGCAACTTTGCTACTTGTACAGTAAGTCACCACACTGACTGTGATAGGGCTGGTAGAAGCCGTGAACTGGTAACTGAATTGCGAGTAGGCCGTGGTAGTAAGAGGTGCCTCGGATCCACAGCCGCCGTCAGCACAGATCTTAGCAAAACAATTTCCGGTGAATGTGCCAGAAATCACCTCTCCAGCCCACCCAGTCAGTGTGTACGATTGTCCGGGACAAGCCGATATCTTCTGGCTCAAAGTGACAAGGTTGGAAGTGCCGGCGCTGGCAGGGAATGTTTGCTTCCTACAGAATTTGTCAAGAGTATGCTCATGATTAACGCAAGAGATGGAACTTACACGTTGTATTGACCTGCTTGTGGACCGGGTGGCTTTCCTGACGGGGTTGACGGGCCACTCGTGGTGACGCTGTAGCCATTGGGTGCCGAAGTAGTCCACGGGTTGGGGGCCAGAACGGTTTCAAAGCCTCCATTTACTATCGCTGCCGCAGTGCACGTCGTTGTTTGCACCGTCGTGAATGTAGTACCAAGTGTGGTGGGCACAAAGCTGGTGACGGTAGAAATAGCGCTGATAGTCGTCGATACAGTTGTAGTGCCTGGAATGAGGCTCGTATCAACAACCGTCGTCGAGAGAGTGTAGAAATTGGTTCCGGTGATGGTAATAGATACTGTGGAGTATGCAGTGATGTAGCTTGTAGCTGTAACTGTTGCTTGATCGCTCTGAGTTGAGGTAATGGTGGAGTAAGCTGTAACGTAGCCTAGAATATTCGAATTAGTAATTTTCTCTCTATAATAATGCCCTAAGAGCATCTTGAATAATAGTGGAGCGTTGTCTTGAATGTTCCATAACTTGAGGGACATTTGGTGGGTTAAGGTTCTTTCAGGCTGTGGTGGTTGAGAGTAAGGAGAAACGTCTTTCGTATTTTCAAAATTATCCCCAAGCAGACTGAACCATACCAGTAGAGAGATTTCACGACTTCTCGGGATCAAATTGAGCAATACAATTTAGCATCTTTTCAATGCCCGGCAACTTGCGGGACATTTGCCAGTTGAGTCTTTCAGAATGCCTCGTGAGCATATTGAAGAATAAAAGAGTGCTTACTTGTTGAGATCAAGGTCACTGTAGCTGAGTCGCTTTCAGTTGAAGTAATTGTTGCAAAAGCGGTGGAAATAAGAGTGACGGTTGCCGAATCGACTTCCGTATTGGTTATTCTGGGGAATAGAGGAGTTAGCAAGCATGATTCAGTCTTTGACTAGAGTAGACGAGAAGATTATGAGGAATTATGACACCTACGTTGCTGAATCAACCTCTGTATTGGTAATTGTGGCTGAATCGACTTCAGTATTAGTAATCCTGCCGGGAGTTAGCAAGTGTCTTGTAAGAACCGGAATAATGTCTCGAGTAATTCCGTGAGACAATGAAAAAAAAATGAAAGGTCCTTCCGGCCCCAGACCTACGTCGCAGAATCCACTTCGGTTCGGGTAACTGTTGCTGAATCAATTTGAGTGTTCGTGATCCTGGATGCCCCCGGCGTTAGTGAGTGTTTAATACAGAGGGGTTCAGGAGACCTGGTACAATGCCTCAGGAGAAACTATGAGACAACTTACGTAGCTGAGTCTACCTCTGTATTCGTAATAGTAGCAGAATCAACCTCGGTGTTCGTAATCCTGCGTGGACAGATTAGCAAGAGAATTGAGAAAATTTTGAAGTGGATTCTCCTTCGAACTTACGTTGCTGAATCCACCTCAGTGCGGGTAATTGTAGCGCTATCAACCTCTGTGTTTGTTATCGTAGCCGAATCGACCTCAGTGTTAGTGATTCTGCGTAACAGGTAGAGTCAGCATGTGCTTAAGATAGATTATTGTTTTTATGCAAACTGAAAATAACCTGGAAGGAGATCTCCCGCTACCTACGTTGCCGAATCAGTCTCCGTATTCGTGACAGTTGCGCTATCCACCTCAGTGTTTGTGATTCTAAGGGATACGGAGTTAGCAAGTGTTTTTGAGAAGGCGTGCTCCTTCAGAAATAGGAATATGAGAGCAGGTTCGTCCATAACACCTACGTTGCAGAATCAGTCTCTGTATTCGTGACAGTTGCGCTATCCACCTCAGTGTTTGTGATTCTAAGAGATACGGAGTTAGCAAGTGTTTTTGAGAAGGCGTGCTCCTTCAGAAATAGGAGCATGAGAGCAGGTTCGTCCACAACACCTACGTTGCTGAATCAGTCTCCGTATTCGTGACAGTTGCACTATTGGTCTGCGTATTCGTAATCCTAAAGTACCAGGATGTTAGTAAGCGCCGAATAGCTCATTTGGTAGGACTTTGAAGGATTCAGATGAGATTCTCTCAAAACCTACGTTGCTGAATCAACCTCGGTGTTGGTAATTGTAGCGCTATCGACCTCGGTACTTGTGATACTAGATGTAAATTAGCAAGTGCTTAATAAGATTATTCGTGAGAACCAAGAGAGGAAGAATTGCAGAGGCGTTTCTCCTATAGCACTTACGTCGCTGAGTCAACCTCGGTGTTGGTAATTGTAGCACTATCAACCTCGGTACTTGTGATCCTAGATGTAAATTAGTAAGTGCTTAATAAGATTATTCGTGAGAACCGAGAGAAGAAGAATTGCAGAGGCGTTTCTCCTATAAAACTTACGTCGCTGAGTCAACCTCAGTATTTGTGATAGTTGCGCTGTCAGTCTGGGTATTCGTGATAGTTTCACTGTCCACTTCGGTGTTGGTGATCCTGAGTAACGAAAGTTAGCAGATACCAGATGCGGGGTGTTCTGGGAGAACTGGGACTGTCTCGGGAGACTTACGTTACAGAGTTAGTCTGCGTGTTGGTAATAGTTGCACTCTCAGTCTGTGTGTTCGTGATCGTAGCACTGTCCACTTCGGTATTCGTGATCCTGGGAGAAGAGAGTTAACACGGACCTGATTCAGAGTGTTCCCTGAGAGCTGGGACAATGTCTCGGGATACTTACGTTGCGGAATTAGTTTGGGTGTTTGTAATAGTTGCACTGTCCACCCTGAAACACCGAGAGTCAGTATTCATCTCATTGGCAAATTCCCGGGATCAAATTGAAGCTGAGATGCTCTACGGGATTGGTTGCGAGGGTATATGAGAGAGAAAAATAATCTGGGAATTTGGGACGAAAGGATCTAGGAACCGGATCGCTTTACTCAGTATTTGTAATCGTTGCCGAATCAGTTTGGGTATTTGTAATTGTTGCGCTGTCGACCCTAGAACATCGTGGGGTTAGCATTGTTCTAATTTTGAATTTCCTAAGGTCGAATTAAATAATAGAGGCTGTGTTGGGAGCGTAAAGACGAAGGGATGCAGTCTTTGGACTTGCGACAAAGAATCTAAGAAACCAATTCTCCTTACTGTGTGTTGGTGATCGTTGCACGGTCAGTTTCCGTGTTTGTTAAGGTCGTGCCGTCCACTTCTACATTTGTCGATGTACTCGTGTAGAAATCGGTCAAGGTATCACTTTCTGTGGTATATAGTGTGACAGTAACGCCCTGGAAACCAGCAACTGTAATCGTGGACTTGGCAATCGTTTTTGTGACCTGCGTGGTGGGCGATTTAGTATGAACTTTGGAGAAAGATTGTTTGTAGGGGACAGAAAGAACTTGAAAGGTTCTATCTCCTAATACTTACTGTGATCGTTGGTGTTGAGGTTGCGAGGACTGTTGTGGTAACGGTCTTTGTCCTGCTTGTTGCCTCGTGAGTTGTTGTGGTTTTGACAGTCTGTGTTACCACACTTGTCCGAGTAGTTGTGGCTGTTGAAACACAGGCAGCTCGTTCATTAAGCAAAGCGCGAACATCAGCTGCCTGAACGAGTGTGAATAGGGAGAGGAAGTAAACAGGCAGCCAAGAGAATGACGGTGCCATCTTGAATGTGTGACGATGCAAAACTGTAAAGGAAAGTATGAGATGGCTGGGATGGACAGAATAAGGGAGCTTGGAGAGAATGGGCAAACTATTAGGTTGCTACCTTATGATGAAATTCAAACCTCATCGCGTTACGGAACGCCTGGATATCTCTTTCGATAGCGGCATCTCCGGTTCAGAGCAACGCAATATTTTCGTATGCTCATAGAGCGTAGGCTTTGGTCTTAAGCCCCCGGCCGAAAGAGATCGCACACGGAAATGAAGAGGCTGAGAAAATCTAGGTTTTGAAGATCGATTCGCTTGAAACCTCACAAATCGGATCATTATTAGTGACGGGACAGAAAACGCTGTGTAAGGGGTAGAGTGGTCAGCTAAGGGTGATGCTGGGAAGGCAATCGCCACAGTCCATTTTTGAATTGGC